ATCTGTGGTTAAATATAGATAATAATAATAATCTTTATTCACAAAAGGTTACAAACCCATGAGTGTCATGGTATACAATCAATCATTTAATAATAAATATAGGTCAATGGTGACATATAACAATGACATATAATAGTCTCTAAAAGACATGTAATTACACATTTTATGTAACAATTCTTAATAGAATTAATTGTGTTGCATGCATAAAGCTTTTAAACACTAAGAAATAAAAAAAGTAAATAAAATAAATTGCATTATGTTCTAACCGGAAGAAACTTAATAATTCACAGTAGAACCTGAACTTGTGATTTAATACATTACAATCACATATAAATATGTATGTTTTACTAGAAGAAACTTAATATTGCATAATATAACATGAACTAATAATCAAATACACATGTGCATTACACTTACATATAAAATGTATATTTTTAAGTATTGAATGATTAAACAAAACAGATTATTAATATATACTTGTAAAAATGACGTTGTAGGAGAAAAGTGTGAGTGAAAATATTTTTAAGAAAAGTAAATCGGTGTACGGATTTCAAAAGCTTTATAAATAAAAGTGGACAGTTTTTTTATTATAGTAGTCGATTCATTTGACATTAATTCGATAAATTTAGGTATGTTTGGTCTTTTCCAGTAGTACTTTGGTAAATACTTCGTTCTTATATCACAATATAAAGTACATTCTAATAAAAAATGGTATTCATCCTCGAGTTTGTTACATATTATACATTTTCTTTCATTTCTTGAAATTTTGTTTGGTTTATGCCATCTCCCTGTTTCAATTAATAACCTATGTGCTGAAACTCTAAATCTTGTTAATGCTATTCTAAATTTCTGAATGTTAATTTGTTCAAGATACAATTTAAAATCAAAGTTTGAAAAAAGAATGTAAAGGGAAGCTCTTGATGAATTGCGTAGAGATTCAGTCCAGTTTTGCATGTAGTTATCTTTAAGTCTCTGTTTTACCAAGTTCAAAAATAAAATTTCATTTCCCACTCCCTGATTAACCCAAACATGATAAAACCCTAGTCTCTGAAGTAATTGTTTAATTGAATTTGCCCAACATTTATAATTTGGTTTTTGCTCTGTATTAAAGATCATCATATCGTAAACTTTTTTAATGTACAAATTAATGTTGTTCCGATTTCAAAATTTTAAACCAAAATTTTAAAATTCGTATCATTCTAAGCTGTATTAATTGTTCTCTGCCTAATTCTCCGTAAACGAAGTTATCTTGAGTTTGTGGCCTTATAAATTTTTGCAAAATTTCAAATGTATATTTTCTATCTTTTTTGCTTCCATAAAACCCCATACCTCGCATCCATAGCTTAAAATACGTGTTATTAACTTGTCAAAAAGGTCGAGTGTATGTGAAACTGAGATATTAGGAAAGTTTTGCATATAAGAGTTAAGCTTAAAAATTGCCTTTAATGCTTGTCCTGAAAGTGCTTCGAAAGTTTTGGAAAATGATCCTCCCACTGTAAAAACGATTCCTAAATATGTGGAATTTATTTACTATTTCAATTTCTGTATTTCCATATAAAAATCTTAAATTCTGCTGATTTCTCCCTCCCTTTTTAAAAGCCATTATTTTTGTTTTATTAACGTTTAGTTTTAGTTTCCATTCGTCGCAATAATCTTTTAAAATATTTAATCCATTTTGAAGATCTTCTTTTGTTTCCGATATAATAGCAATGTCGTCCGCATATAATAATAAGAACAATTTTAGAGTACCTAAGTCTATGCCTTTAAAACCCTTTAATATAAAAGTATCTTCTAAGTCATTTATGTACATAGAAAAGAGAAAAGGGGACAAGCTGTCCCCTTGACGGACCCCTAATGAACACATGAAAGTTTCGCTCAATGTATTTGATAATTTAATTCTGGATTTGACGTTTGTATACATAGATTTCAAAACTTTCATTACTTTTCCCCTGACTCCTAATTTTATTAGCTTTAACCATAGATTATCCCTAACAATAAAATCAAATGCTTTTGTAAAGTCAACGAAGCAAACAAAAAGACGTTTATTTTCAGAAATTATAGGATTAATTATACTTTGTAATACAAAAATATTATCTACAGTTCCCATCTTTGACCTAAATACTGCTTGCGCGTCAATGTAAACGTGATAGTTCTCTGCCCAATTATTAAGACGTGTATTAAGTATTTTTGAAAAAAGTTTACCTAGGGTACTTAGTAATGTCACTCCCTTGTAATTTTCCGGATAAATTATTATCTCCTTTTTTATAGATAGGTATTATGAAACCTTCAGACCACATTTGGGGAAAATAACCTTGTGATAGTAATTTGTTGAAAAGCTTGAGTAAATATGGCAGTAGCGAGTTTATTCCGTATCTGTAAAATTCATTTATAAAATAGTCGGGTCCTCCGGAACGATCATTCTTAAGTTCTGAGCATGCGCGTAATATTTCATTTTCCGTGATTTCTAAATCAAGTTCATCAAACATACACTGAAATTCCCCATTGACATATCGTTCGTTAAAATAAATTGCGTCATCGTCCGGTTGAAAAAAAAAATTGAATCTGGGTTATTTATCGCTTTAAAGTATTCGGCGAAATGTGTACAGGATATACTATGTTTTTCTGCCCTTATACCTGTATTCTTTAATAGCTTCCAATATTCTTTTGCATTTTTATAACGGAATTTTTCTAATTTTCGGTTTCCTGAATATCGTGATTAAGCTTTTTATTTTTAATTAATGTTTTATACTCCGTTCTAGATTTTACCATATTGATTCTATTTTCTGTAGTTTTTATATGCTCTATAAATATTCAAGTTTCTATAAAATTCTTTTTGTTTCCCCTTACAGTCATTATCGTACCAATTATTTCTTTGTTTTGTTTTTTTCGGGTTATTTGCCTTTTTTCTGAAGATTGGGTCACATACACTGGACAAAAACTTATTAAATTCTTGTAAATATATGGCAATACATTACTTAATTAAACAAACGAAAGTATTAAATGGTGTTTAATATTGCAATATGCGTTTCATTATAATCAAATTTGATTCAATATCAAAACATTCCTCTGTATTAAGCGTTTCAAAATATATGGCAATACATTACTTAATTAAGCAAACGAACGTATTAAATGGTGTTTAATATTACAATTGCGTTTCATTATAATCAAATTTGATTCAATATCAAAACATTTCCTTTCTATTTAGCGTTTCAAATTATCTAATAATTGCCAAACAGTTAACATTATTTGGCATTTTAAGCTATCTAAAGACCTATGAAAACCAATATCAATGTTTAATTTTGATGATTGCAGGTTGCAAAATAATTTCAGTTGATGAATTTCAATCAAACCGTAATTAGATTTTTGATTTGATAATTTTCAACGATATCAAATACACAAATGTACTCTTAAATTTTAATATTATATTGTAGCACATTTCCGCTCCTAGTTAAACACATAATTTTAATATCTATTTTCACTATATAATAATTTTATTTTTAGATAGGTATCTGTTTAATTAGCCAAATTGCAAGGTTTTAGATATTGCAGAATACTTTGTTACATTCTTTGCAGCAAATATGTTAACGCGAGGGATATGTCCGAAGTATTCCGCATAATCTTGTAACTGACAATTTAACTGTTTTTACAGATAATGGTCACTTACTTATCATACATATTTACTCATACGAAATTTGTAGGATAAATAGATAAATATATTAATTTATCGGGAAGTAGAGATCTTTTCTTGTTAAGCCGTTGATTTGTCGGATGATAATTGTAAACGCAATGAATATGTCCGAGGAATTCCGCATTATCTAGTAACAGAAAAAAAAAGCTTAATGTAGAGGGGCTAACATCCTTAACTTCTTAACAAATCTGTTTGATTTATTTTTAATTCAATATGTTTCCGCACATCTTTTAGTAATAAATGAAATTTTAAGTAATTTATTAGATTTACCTCTAACTGGAACTTTAATCAAAAATAAGAATTAATGATTATCAAAATTAACCTTTAGATATCATTTATATGTTAATTATATTTGGCAATTTTTCACTGCAATTAGATAGTAATCTTTGCTATTTGAATTGAATAGTCATTTATTTCGTTTTATATTTCAAGAGCAGCGGGCATAAAAACTGCATTTGATATAGTGAATTTCATATCAGAAATTAAGAGCAGAATAATTTAGAAATATATTTGAATGCCATACACGAGTATGCTTTCACAATCGTAATCTAAGCTCTTATGTTTTCATTTGTGTTTAGATATTCTCCAAATTAGCATTTGCTCCCGAGAAACTGCTCGTGCACATGGCAACCAAACTACCAATACTACTAGAACTGTCAACAATGATAATAATACAGAGTTTATTAGCTTATCAGAAATGGACATACCCTTTTGGACAAGTTTCTTCCTTATCAAAACAGCAAGTGTTTAATTTTAATTATTAATAAAAAGTTTATTATATTTCTAGTGTAAGAACTTCCTACATTTCTTAAAGATTTTATTATCCACTTCTTATTTATAAATAATTGAATGGTTGTCTGACATATAGGGCACGCATTTCATACATTGTGGATGCTGTAACATTATAATGATGTTCCGTCTATATCAGGGTATATGATCTAATGAAACAATATGTAAGGTAACATTATGCTGTTTCTATAACGCTGAATGTCTCCGTAATCTAATGTACATGAATATTCTATGTAAACAGACTTATTTGTTTTTTTTTTGTTGTTGTTTTTTTTTACAAAATACCTGTCATAGTTACGTACGGTTCTGCCAATTTTTCAATGATTTAGTGCGTAGGTCATTAAAAAGAAGACGTATATAAATATATTTCTTTTCTACATATATTTTGGAATTATTCTTTTACAAAATAAAATAATTCTCTTTTATACACGATAATACGTGTTTTGTACCATATATTAATTAAAAGACCAAATGCCAGTGGCCATTAAATTTGTTATAATCTTATTACTTTTGGTAGGATTCTGTAGCATGTCCAAAACATAAAAGTGCCACTGTAAGTGAGGAAACCTTATATCTGGAACAATACAGCACAGACCAAAATGTTCAAATGTTGCCAGCGACCAACACCTTTTGTTATTATGAATTAAATACATATTCTGATGGTAAGTATGTATATTGGTATACATTTACAATTGTGAAACGTTTAAAAACAAGCAACACCAGTTACTTGAAAGCATAGTTTGATGTACAAATGAACGGAAATATTATGCTTGAGGAAAAACAATAAAAATTGACAAAAAGTATTTTTTGTTTACTTGTTTAAAGATAGACATGATAAAGTACACATACATACATGTACTAAAATAAGTCAACATCATGTGCCATCTTTTAACATCAAAAATACTAAAAAAAAATTCTTTTTTGCGGCCGAAGGCCGTTTATAATCAGTTTGACTTCCTGTAAAATGTACTGGGAAGAATTGAATATAAGAAGAATTTTCATTGGTCATTTAAAATTACAAATTGATATCTTGGAATCTAATTGGCCAATCTAAAATTAAATGTAAATGATAGTTCTTGCCATTCAAAAATACTTTTTAAGGATATTTCTAAAAATATTAAGTATAGATCCAAGTAAAAACAAATAATAGGGACACCTAGTTAAATACTGACTGTAAAACAGAAGTTGTCCTACTTTGAAGATTTATCAGTATCAATATGCTTATAATTAAATTTCTAAAATGGTCTTTCTTTTCTTAGCTACAAGAAATCATTTTTCATTGTTTTGCAAGCATTTTTAAACAATTCCGTAAATATGTATCGAAATATGCATGTTAATTAGTTTTACTTCGGACGAGTATCTTTTTTAAAAAGATATTTGTTGTTTGTAAGTGGGATTGTCCAGCTTATTTATATTTTAGGAATATCGTTATGAAAATTTGAAGTTGATCAGAGGAAAGTATAGCAAACTAGCGACAGGGTGATCCCCCGGAAGCATCATTATCATCAACAACAAAACCAACAATAACAACACCATCAATACATGAAAATTGCAGACTCGTTTTAAATTTCAGTTTTAGCAGCCTTGTGGTTAATACGCCTTTTTTTTATTTTATTTTTTCAGAAATGGAGACTTGGTTGCTAGAAAAAAGATTAAAGAAAGGTATGGCGGAAATGATTTTTTTTGCAAGCAATGTCAGTTGCAATTATATGTGATTTGTTCAAAGTGACACTATGCTGAAACTTTCATTGTCAAAAAGAGCTGAATTGACAATATATTTCCAAAGATTGATTGTTTTAATGGTGACTGAGCAACAGTTGATATAGAAAAAAACGTTAAGGATAAAAATAAATCAAGTATAGGTTAAAGTTTATTAGTACCTATTTACAAAATTAAGTTGGTCAGGCGCGGCGCAGCAAAGCGACCAATTTAACTTTGTATATACGTATTAATAAATTTAAATAGCTTAAACAGTGTTTTAAATAATTTTTAAAGTTTGCCGATTTACCAAAGTAAATGTGTTACGATTCATTTGAAATACTGTCATCCTATTGGACAAAAAATAATTTCAAACACTATAGTATAAAAAGATTGCCAAACTCTTTATATACATTGAAAGTTACAGGTTAATCCCGATGTATATTTACAGAAATTCCCTCGGGTCACGTGATTTTTATCGTTCATCCGAAATGAATTATAAATTGAATTTTGACAAACCTGTTCACTCATTATCAACGCTTGCATGGGCAGATTGATACTTTAATGTATATTAATGCATGTGTTTTAAAAAAAATACCATATTATGGGATTATCATGTAATTTAACATTTTAATGTATGTACTGCGACAGCATTTTATAGTTTTCAATAACGTATTAGTATACATGTATATATACGAAATATCCTTTTTGATTTTAAGTTTTCTTACCCATAGGTTATATTTGCATAGTTTTTCATGGTTAAACAAAATTTGAAAATATAAAATAGCAATTTGCACAAAATGTTAACAATCTAATCCTATTCTGTAAGGTATTACTCTTGTTTGAAAGAAAACATGCATACAATTTTCCAATGGTCGATCTTTTTATGCTCCCCGAAAAAATTTCGGGGGAGCATATAGTCGCCGCCTTGTCCGTCCGTCCGTCCATCCGTCCGTCCGTCCGTCTTTCCGTCCGTCCGTCCGTCCGTCCGTCCCCTTTTCTTGTCCGGGACATAACTTTGAAACAACAAGAGGTATCAACATGAAACTTTGTAGGTAGATAGATCTCATTGAGTAGGTGTGCAGTGCACAAGAACCGTAACTCTGCCTTGCCTAATTTTTGAATTATTCCCCTTTGTTTATTTTTACACTTTGAACTTTGTCCGGGACATAACTCTAAAAGTATAAGAGGTATCAACATGAAATTTTGTAGGTAGATAGATCTCATTGAGTAGGTGTGCAGTGCACAAGAACCATAACTCTGCCTTGCCTAAATTTTGAATTATTCTCCTTTGTTTATTTTACACTTTGAACTTTGTCCGGGACATAATTCTAAAAGTATAAGAGGTATCAACATGAAACTTTGTAGGTAGATAGATCTCATTGAGTAGGTGTGCAGTGCACAAGAACCGTAACTCTGCCTTGCCTAATTTTTGAATTACCCCCCTTTGATTATTTTACACTTTGAAATTTGTCCGGGACATAACTCTAAAAGTATAAGAGGTATCAACATAAAACTTTGTAGGTAGATAGATCTCATTGAATAGGTGTGCAGTGCACAAGAACCGTAACTCTGTCTTGTCTTATTTTTGAATTATCCCCCTTTGTTTATTTTACACTTTGAACTTTGTCCGCGACATAACTCTAAAAGTATAAGAGGTATCAACATGAAACTTTGTAGGTAGATAGATCTCATTGAGTAGGTGTGCAGTGCACAAGAACCGTAACTCTGCCTTGCCTAATTTTTGAATTATCCCCCTTTGTTTATTTTACACTTTGAAATTTGTCCGGGACATAACTCTAAAAGTATAAGAGGTATCAACATGAAACTTTGTAGTTAGATAGATCTCATTGAGTAGGTGTGCAGTGCACAAAAACCGTAACTCTGTCTTGCCTTATTTTTGAATTATCCCCCTTTGTTTATTTTACACTTTGAACTTTGTCCGGGACATAACTCTAAAAGTATAAGAGGTATCAACACGAAACTTTGTAGGTAGATAGATCTCATTGAGTAGGTGTGCAGTGCACAAGAACCGTAACTCTGCCTTGCCTACTTTTGGAGTTATTGCCCTTTGTTCATTTTGACACTTTGTTTTTGTCTGGGACATTACTCTAAAATTATAAGAGATATCAACATGAAACTTTGTAGATAGATAGGTCTCATTGGGTGGAAGTGCAGTGCTTAAGAATCATTACTCTGCCTTGCCTTTTTTTGAAGTAATTGCCCTTTGTTTATTTTTACTTTTTGACTTTACAATACTTTTGGACAATACTTTAAAACTATTAGAGATATCAACATGAAACTTTGTAGGTAGCTAGATATAATTGGATAGAATTGCAATGCTTAAAGAACCTAAACAAAGCCTGGTCTAATTTTGGAGTTATTGCCCTTTGTTCATTTTTACACTTTGACTTTTACCCGTGACATAATTCTGATATCATCAGGAAACTTTATAGATAGATAGATCTCATTGAATAGAACTGCAGTGCAAAAAAACATAACTCCGCTTTGCCTAATTTTGGAGTTTTTGCCCTTTGTTCATTTTTTTTATACTTTCCTGTGTCCAGAACCTTCTCGGGGAGCATCACCCGGTTCAACCGGTTCTTGTTTGTTCTAGCGTACAGTGTTTACATTTTCAATATAACTGAAGGCGTTTATACGACGACTGAAAAATGTAAGTAAATCTCATTGTTAATGCTTGACAAAGGGTAAGAAATTAAATAAACAATTAGTCAAATAATATGCAAATGTAAAATCACCGGTGAATCATTTTATTTAGTTAATTATGCTTCAAAAATCCAATTATTCTTAATTCTTTAGAAATGTCAAACATGCGTTTAGAAATGTTCAAATAATGACAGTTATTTTAATTAAAACGTTTCTTTGAAATCTGATTTGTTTTTGTTACATTGTCGAAGTTTGGGGAATGGTTATAAACAAGGATCATTACTGGAAGGCATTGATCTTGGACGAACTGTCGCTGTTTCTGCCGTAGACATAACAAGCACTAAAGGTTTGAAACATTTCTTCATAGAACACTGAGCATTGATTTCAACAAAACAAAATGCTTAACCCCAAATAAAAGATTATTCTGTGGTTTAATTGAAGTAATTTATCTGACGTGATCACCGTTATCAGTTATCTGAATCAGTTTTAATTCGCCAAGATCTGTTTTTTTTTTCTTCATTTTTTCCCACATTCTTTTTTCTGTTGTTATATCTTAAGAGTGAGCTGGCTTTATTTGTATTTGCCTCTCAATACCTTGACTTATTTTTCATCTATAGGACATTGTCATTTGCTTCCATGAGCTTATGAGAGCTTATTATTTGCTTAACATATTGAAAATATTTGAATATGTACATGTATGAAATTATGATTCAGATACATCAAACGTTTGCGGCAATTTGAAAGTGAAATGTTTCATAAGCAGAGAAAAAATGGACTTTATGTACACGGGCGCTGTTTTATGTAAATATGTCAATGTTTGTCGTCTTGGTTCTTTCTCAGTCAGTCTTCTATTTATAAGGTAATATATTTTTCAACGTCTATTTATCATGTTCTGTATAATTAATTTAAATTTAGAATAACATTTTGAGTCTAAAGAAGAAACACGTTAAGATATTGAACTAAGCAGCAATGAGTATATAGCTCTGACCTTAAACAAATGGCAAATGCGAACGTTTCTAAAGGCTTAATAAGCCTGTTTTATACCTTTTTTGCTTCAACTTTTATACTTATTTGCAATATAAGAAAGTAATAATACGTAGATTGCAACAAAGAACAAAAAACCGACGCTTAGTTTTTAAGTATTATTATTTCTTTTAACATGATTTTAAATAAATGCGATGTCATTTTGCATGTTCTCCATGATATTGAACCAATAAAATCTATCGCGATTGAAATGTTAGTATTATCTTATAGTAAGGTGTTCATGGTTTAATTATAGAACAGTTTTTAGAATTAAAACTAAAAGTTTAAAAATTATATTTATTTATGAAAAGTCATTGTTGGCACATATAAATGTTATTTCCTCAGGTAACAAAGCTTATAAAATATCGATATCATATATCGATTCCAATTTGGAAACTCTCTTGTTCCTAATACCTTTCAATAGTTTTTTATAGTTGATGTTTAGTTTCGACTTTGTACATGTGTATATTGGACATGTGTTATGTAACATAATTATATATTTAACTTTGTAGATATTTATCAGTATGATACTGACCACTCTTTCTTTATTTTTTTTTTTGATTTTCTTTGCATTGTTTTTGTTTGTTTGTTTGTTGGTTTGTTTGATATTTTTCAAAATCTTGAAATTCAAAGGATCATGGAAGGACGCTACGTAGCATTGTCTGTCGACAATGTTGATGATGACTTGAACATCAATGTGTATACTGAACGTATTATCAACGGTAAGAAAATATATTTTCATATAAGATGTTAACCGTTTAGCCGAAGGTATTTTGGTATATTTTGTATTTTAATAGACGTGAAATTACGCCAATACATATACTAACATACATGTGAGCGCCTAAACACATACCAAAACACACATGAACACCTCATACGCATACCAACATACACGTGAACACCTCATACGAATAATAACATATGCGTTAGCGCCTCATACACAAACTAACATACACGCGAGCGCCTCATACTCATTACAGCATAAACTAGAACATTCCATACGCATACCAACCTATACATGGATGCCTCATTCGTATTCCAATATGCTCATAAACACCTCATACACATATCGACATACATGAGTAAGCGTGCATTGAACTGGAACAAACTCGCATTTTTACCAACGTTAACTGACACGCGATCATAACGATGTTCACAAACATGGAAATCTATCAATCTCCATGTCAACGTTTTTTGCGGACACACAAGCTTACGCAAACAGACTTATGAAGCTTTGTTAATGACGCCTTTGTATCATTTTATACAGATGAAGTAGGAATTTGTAATAATGACCTTGGGATGAGCGATATGAGCATTACAGACGATCAACTATTGGCGTCATCAGCCTCTTTATCGTACACGCCCAACAAAGCAAGGCCTTTTTCCTCAGGATGGTGCTCAGAGCTTAACGACCATTCCCCATACTTTGAGGTTATATTATGATTTTACGGTTCTTTTATTCTTTTTCTTCTATTTATGTCTTCATAATATGTCTTCATTGAACGCCGCCTTTCCTTGTTGATCTCGTTTATCATATTTTTCACTATATTAAAAAATGTTTCCAAACTTTATAAATAAAAGTATTCCAAATTATCACTCTCATATCATTATCTTTCGTCTTTTAATAGTTTGAGGATTATTTTCTATATTTGAATTTGGTAAAAGCAATTTTGCCTAACATGCATACGATAAAAATTTTAATTTAGAAAAAAAGATATACTAGATGATTTCTAAAAACATTAAAGAAGAAGAGATACCGTCCTATAGAAAATAATGAAGTCTTTGAATAGTTGTGTCTATACTGTTTCTTTTCCTTGCAGATTCTGTTTCAAGTACCAACAGCTATTGAAGGCGTTACGATTTATGATTCGAAGGAAACACAGTTAGCCCTGTCTAGAGAGCTCAACAGATGTGCATTTGTCCATCAGAACACGTTTGTTGTACAAATAAAGGACGCTTATAACATTAACGTGTTGAACAAGGTTAGATCTAGCCAGTGTATATTCTCGATGGAAGGATTCCATCACATTTTTGAGAATTCCTCCCTATTCTTTCAAAGGCAGGGAGGGGGATAGAGAATTTGACAAAGATAAAGAAGGAAAAAGATCAACAAATGCAATAAATTCTCACTTTTAATTCCCCCCCCCCCCGGTTTTCCAAATTCTAGAATAGGCACTGTCTAGCTAAAGAAACGTTAATTGACAATAGTTGGCTATAGGTCTATCTTTTACTTACCTATTGTATGCTGCTGAAATATGGTCGATTGTTAAATATTTCGTCCGCAGCTTTTTTAGGTTTTATACATGTTTTTTTTCTTTTTAATTTTGAAAAAAAGTGATTCTTTCCCAAATAAACTTGTTATCTGATCTGCATGGTATCTGACAAGCTTGGTGTCTGACAAGCTTTGTAACTGAGCTTGGGATTCTGATAACGTCTTGTTAAAAGCAACAGATACAAACTAATTTAAAAGGAAATATCTATAAAGGAAACATATTTAATTGAATTATGTATGTGTGAAATTGTAAAATTATTTTGTTCATTGATATTCTATCTTTCATCTAACACACAGCCTGCTGTTGGAACCAGTATAAACCAGGCTATCCTGCATATACTCGTAATCTTGCAAAACTCTTTTATTATAAACCTAATGGTGTGTATGTTTATTTGGAAGAAGATATCAAGGGTTTTGACATTCACCTCAATAACCAGTTTTTTTCTTTATTTCAGACACTACATTTCGACGTTTCTAAATCAGGGTCTGACCAACGAACGTTCTGGTTTTCAAAACGCGTCACTGCAAAGTTTGTCACCATTTTCACACCAAAGACGATGGGTCTAATGCCCACATGTTTGAAATTTGAGTTACTAGGATGTAGGCAATCAGGTAAGAACAAACAATTTTTAATCATATCGATTCCATGTATTGTTATCAGAAAAACTGTGCTAATAACACTAAAAAAGAAAACAAATCCAGTATTATCATATTCAAACATCATTTACAAACAATGTTATATAGAACTTTTTAATTTCGTATAAAACAGGATTATAGTAGTAATGGAACATGTCTGCAATTTACAGCAAGCAAGAAAAAGTGAAAAAATCAAAGTCGTAATAATAGATTAAGGATTGTATAAACACTTCAAATCTTTATCATATTTTTTATCAGCAAATAAATTGAATGTTTTTAAGGTCAAGTTCTATATTTTCAATCCCTCGAATATGGCATGAGCAAGGAGGTGGGATACGTCAGCGAGATTTTCGACGATAGGACATTACTCACAAATTTAGGCTTCCCTTATCAGTACAAAACTAACCAAGTTTATAAATGGCTAATCACATACCCGGACAAGCATTATATTAAACTAATATTCACACATATTGAACTAAACGCTGTGGTGGTAAGTTCATTTATATAATTCAGAAGTAATTTTACGTTGCAACCAGCAAACGCTGGGGAGTTATGCTTTTTTCTTTGAAGTTGGCTATATTTATATACGTGTAGTGGTACCGTAATGAGTTTGGAACAAAAACACCCTAAACAAATAAGTGTAAATGTAAAAATCATGTAAAATTAGAAGTAAAGGCGCTTTTTCTTTTACCTTTTCAGGAACCAACGATGTGCAAAGACATTTTGAAAATATCGAACCATATTGCTGATTCAGAATTTGTAAGACAAATAGATCAAGACTTTAATCATGTTATTAAAGACTCATTAGCAATAGAAACAAAGGAGTCTCAGCTTATTTTGTCTTTTGAAACTTGTCCATATCAATTGACAGCACAATCGGGAAAAGGCTTTAGCTCTTTCGTTACCTATGAAAGTAAGATAATAGATTCCGGTCTATAACTATTTTTGATTTAAAACTAGGCAATTTATAAATGATTGCAAATTTGAATTGTGAAGTGCCAATTTTCAGGCATTTGTCATCAAAAAGTTAGATAGTAAATTTTGATATGACAGTACATTTGACAAAACTATTTTAGAAGCTACGAATCGAATTGATCAATTTAGCATAAAAATGGAAATGTTACCAAGCACTATGATCGTTTCTTTTCAAAACTGGGGCTCCTTTCCTGAAAGTCAAAACTTCTTGATCAAAACGTTATAACTGAATATAAATGATATAGCAAAAACATGTTTTACATGCATAAGATTTGTTGCAAAGCTTCCAATCTATTGAAACTAAATTTGAGTGGCGTTCACATATTATTTACAAACATTGACCTAATATTTGTGTGTTTTTTTTTCTTTTAAGACATACCAGCTTGTTTTTCTCTACGTCCACGCATTCTTTGGAATAAAGGGTTACGAGAAATTTGCCGTCAGTCTATCATGCTTATAACATCAATGGCGTTCCTCGGCTTCCCATTTCTACAAACAACTGAGCAATGGACTATCAATAATCCAACTAAGAGGATTCATTTGCAAATAATTTCATTTTATGTCCCGTGCAAAAATGGTAAATTTTACTTTTGATATACTCTGATGACAATATAAATTGTGACCAAAAGGATACCTTATTTGTTTTTTGTTATTGTCAATACAAACACGTTTTAAGAGAAATCTTAACGTTTACTGTGCAATAATAATTTTGGAAAGAAATAATAAAACTAATCAACAAATATGATGACCTAAAATAATACTTCTTCAATCTCACTGCTAAGGCTGTACATTTCAAAGGATCTTAAACAGCATTTCTTTTTGGGCAAGGTAGTCCCGTGAAAGGGGGCATAATTGATCTGAATTATAAAAAAAGATCTGTCTGTGTTGTGTAATGGTCAATGTACAGCGATATCATTCGGTTGGCTACTGAAGCGACCTGAGCAACGCCAAACGTTTTGCTGTGTTTATATTTAGTTGACCAAATAATTTCTTACAAGGCTTTTTATGGCTCGAAGACACAACACGATAATACTTTTAAATATACTTAACTGATTATGTGTGTCTGCAAGGGCAACCCATTACAATGATTCAATTTATTCACGTGTAGTTTGAATATTATAGTAGACGATACTTGTTTATCTGTTCTTGTTTTACCAGATACTTATACTAGAAATAGTTGTCTATAACATGTTTAATTTGTCAGAAATGTGTAAATTGTTAGGTTTTCCGTTCAACTATTGTTTTCATTTAATGATAAATCTAAAGCAATTTCGCATAATTGCGGCAAGCTTTGTAAAACATTAACAACAAACATTCTGTCTTTACTGTCGAACTCACCTGTAAAACATAAATACACGAATTGTTGATAGGGAATTACATTTTAGTTTAGTTCTTATTTATTTTTCAGTGTATTACAAGTCGGAATTCAAAATAATAGATATCGAAGATGAGAAGGTTTACTGCAATATCAACAAGCCCCCTAAAAGCATTAAATCATCATTCGACAATATTACCGTTTACTTTTACAAAGGAACAGATCCATGGCCGAAATTACCACATATTGAAGGATTCAGAATCGTTTACAGTGCAATAGCTAAGGATGAGGAAGAAGAAAATGGAATATTGATAAATCAAACTGCATTATCAAAAGGTATTTTGTCAAACATAAAAAGTGGTCGCTATTTTCTTACAAAATAAGAGTAAAATCTTGATTGCGCATTGTAACCTGATTGTACATTTAATTAATCACATTTTGTTATTTTGCTAGTTAAGATAGATATAAGTTGATTAAAACAATGTCCTATATGCTCTAAAACTAAATATTTTATGAATGATTTACTATAGAATAGACATAATGAATTATTTTACTTTACAAAGGACAAAAAGGAACTACACTAGATTTGTTTGGTAAGTATCAAGCAGTTTAAAAAGGTTAACTTCTTTAAATAGAAAATATGAAAATGTACATGAAAATAGCTTTCTTTGCTCATAGCATTGTTTATGTTAGAGAAAGGTGTACAGAACGACATTAATCTAATAACTTGTCATTTCACCAATAAAATATGAGGCGTTCTTGTAAGTGGAGCTTGGCCAGCAGTTTCATATTAAGTCAAAGTAATGTTTTATTTACATTTAACATTGAAAAGTGTCTTCATTTTCAAAAATGCATATTTTTCTTGTCAAGAAATTAATTCAGCAGATTTAGAAAATAATACTCCAGAAAATGACATTTTAAGGCCATATCGACTTACTGAAAGAAATTTTTACTATAAGAAAAAATAATTTAACTGAATAGTGTCAGGCGAATTAGGTGGGCAAAGAAGCTTAACCACTTTTTCCTTTTATAAGACATTCTGAACCAGCCACATTTGTTATTCGACGCCATCGTTAATGATTATGAAATTATGAATTTCCTATAAATTACTGTCTGTCGATAGTTAGGCATTAACCTATAGAATATCTTTACGTGACAAAAACATGGTTTATATATACCTTACCAGTAAATGTTCCTGCATTTGGAGCTTGAAATTTAGAAACAGCTTCATCAGAATTGGTATACTGAGATAAAAACATTGTACAGCGCTTTTTACCCCATTGATCTATCGTTGTCTTTCTGCAACCGCTTCTGATATTGATGCCCCTCTGAGGTTTGAAATCATAAATCAAGTTCCATTACCTGTAAAAATTAAAAAGCATTTGACGTTGGTCACAATATTTATACTTTTTTAGAAAACATTTAATCTTCTTTACAGGGTAGACTTTTGTCCATCATTCGGGTGTCGGAGGACGCTTTTTAGTTTTAATTATAGTGTCAGAATGCTGTAAACATTAACACTTTTAGCAATTCTTTTAAGTAGTTAAGAGCCCCTAAAGCGGCAACACAACCTTTAATAAAAGCAGTTTAGAGTAGACATTGATTATGTAAGAAGTTAGTTTTATTATTAAGAATGATGGGATGAATTTTTTTTAAAGTAAACGTCCTCTTTGATAACCTGTAGCCTGCTAAATTTATGTTAACATTTGTGTAGGTATAAAACTGTTAGTTAAAAGTTCATGGAAGTTTAATATCACTATATACAAAAGTCTAAAAAAACAAACAGTATTGTGCCAGGTCAAACTTCACGAATTCACATATTGACCTAGCACTAAACATTTTCGAAGGCTAATCTGTTCCGATTTCAGCAGATTCAGGGTTAAAATATCACAATATGCAAATGCTTTCTACACTTACAATGTTTAAAAATGCAACAGTCACACAATTAATTGAATAATGTATTGCCAACCCGTTGTCCAGATCACATTTTTACGAAAACAATTCATTAGGCAGTTGCATAAGACTTCAAGCGATCTTGACCAGCAATCAAATTCTGTAACTGCATTCTGATACTGCTTTTAGTCATTCACAAACCTCACATTCTTCTAGAAGCTGACCATTCTAAAGTTTTGCCTATTTCATTTTATATATTTATGTTAATGTATGAGATAAGAAATTGAGTTATGAATTTAACACTAAATTTTTGTTTTCAGTCACAAATGTTGCAATTAATAAACCGGTCACTTATCCGTCATTCCATTTCAAAGACGGAGTTCTATTTTCGATACGGACAACTGATGGTCAAACGTTTCCAGAGATCTCAATTTGTATGAGTATCTTTGTTCCTAGCAAACCCTGGATGCTTCTTGATTTATATTACGTCTTTCGTGTAAAGTATCTAGTAATTTACAACGTGATTGGGTAAGTACTTTAGATTCTCATGCTTATCTTCTACAACCAACGTATTAGTTTCCCCATACAAGTGTATTAAATCTTGACATCTCATACAAATTAAGACATTGTTTTGAACTTTACTTAAAGACATGGATTTGAAAAAAAAATATATCTTATTCTATTGCTTTAGTACAATTATAAGGACTGGTGGTCGTTTGATGTTTAATTATAGTATAAAGAATAAAGAAATTGTCTCAGTTTGAGAAGCATTACCATAGGGTAAATAGTTGGATAAATTTTGATGTAATTTAAAGTTTTGAATATGTTATTTTAAACAGCGTAGACATTAAGGAGAAAATGTACAATATATTAATTTCTGTGGGACTAACTGTCTGGGAATTGAAAAAGGTGGCCAATATTTATGAGGATATTACACCAAATAGAACAGTGTTACTTAACGACGAAGCAACAAGATATATTTTACTACAGCAGCTCCTTTATAAGGCACTTGATTTATGCGAAGTAAAAGTATACGCTGATGAAGGTATGTTTGCGCTATCATTTCTTGTTAACTCACATTTAAATATTTATATGAATTACATATGGTTTGTTTAAGTGATCATTACGAAATTTTTTCGAAAGTTTCTTGTAATTTCACAACTTGATGGAATGATTTCACACTAAACAATCTGTTACATATACGATATAATAACGATTAAAATAGTCAATATTTTATATTTAATATGTAAGATATGTTTATTGAACAATAGTTTATATATGTAACTTCAATGCCTTACATTACACCATGTCTATAATTCACTGTCCGTAGTAGTTTATTATTCAAGTTAATTATCGATAAATAGATAAATAACTAGTTATACTCGTACTGAGTTTAACGTATCTAAAATGTACTATATATTGTATATATTGGAGAGAATAAGAGAGTTGCTTAGGTTTACGATTGTCAAGGTATGATTACTAGAAAATATATATGTTCTTATTAATTAGTTAAGTTCTATGTAATGTTTACCCTTCGTTTTCACATTGCCTCGCCTTTATTTCAAGGGCAAGAATATGATCCGAGAAAAGAGATATATATTCCGAAAAAAGGTAAGACTAATCAACGTGCAGATCAAATTTATCACATTTTTAATTGGGTATTACTAAAGCTTTGTATACAATTAAGTATTGTCATTTCAATACTTATCAAGAATAGTTTGAACATTTTATACATGTGTAAATTCAATTCCCCATGGTTCTAATTTCTTTACCTAATTCAATGCAAAGGTGAGATCTGACCCCATTATGAACCCTTTTAAATGGGTCATCATATGCTGGATGCAAATACTTGCCTATGAATTGGTTAAATTGAAAAAATATGAAGGTACATCGAAAAGAAATTATATACCTTACACTTATTATACTTCCCTTTTTGCAAAGAAAGTGTAATATTATACTATCATGATTTGTAATATATCTTTAAAAATATAATGTCATTTATTTTACTTTATGTAATATATAAATTGCGGGATTAGCATAATGAGAAAGTCAGAACGGGTTTAGTTCCCCCTACATCAATACATGTATAGCATTTGAAACTTATTAAAAAAAATGTTCAATTGTTATTGACATCAACGTTAATTTTTTAATATGAAATGTACCGCCTCGCAATAAGTTGATACAAATAAGTATATATTTCCAACTTACTTATGATTATTTTATTGCCAGTAACTAAACAGCGTGTGTTGTTGTTTCCAGATAAGACCTTTACTTACATAAGTCATTTATTAGAAAAACAACCTTGGCAATCTACTGTCGAAAGTGACTTTAATGTAAACGCGGAGCGTCACGGAATATAACGCGGTATAATATGAACGTTTAACCGCCTCCGTGGTGGAGGGGTTAGAGTGTCGTTGACTTCTAATCCAGTTACCTCTCTGTCGTGGGTTCGAGCCCCGGGAGATGCTTTGGTAGTTTAGCGTGGAGGAAGGTAGTCTATTACTGGTGTAACTCTCCAGGAACGATGGTTAGGAAACTACCCGCCTATATATTAACTGAAATACTGTTGGGAAAAGGCGTAAACTGAAACAAACAAACAAACAAAGTTATTAATTTCCTACAACTCCTTTGCTAGTTATCATATATGTTTACAGTTCATGGTGAATGGGGTCATTGGTCCTCATGGTCGGATGAATGCTACTGCGATGGCCATCAATACAGGCATAGACTCTGTAATAATCCTGATGAGAAATTTGGTGGTAATAAATGCCCTGGAAGTGATACTTCTGGAAAACTTTGTTCCAATAACGATGAACAATGCACAGGTATAGTTTTCCTTCTTGTTATCTATACATATAGGCTGACTTAAATCAATTTTTTATTTCATAGGTACAAAACCTTGCATTGTTCATATAAATCATTAATAAAAATAGTATGGCACAGTGATGCAACTTTTGTGATGTGACTTTATTTGCATTAAAAGATAGTGTTACACTTTATTTTAGTTTATTTCAAACAGTTGTTTTAACGTATGCGTTGAACAGAATATTATATTGATGTAGGTTCATTACTGGTGTGAATAAGTTATTATCATATGCTATTGTGTTAAACATGTTCTGTAAATGATATTGAATCTAAATGCTTCCAAAAATTTGAATAAATGCTTTTAAATTAGTTGCCAATGCGTTGTCATCATCTATTTCTACAAATTCAATCTACATCTATTATATAGTTTGTAAAATCTATATCTTTAAGTTCTGTTTATACATCGGAAACATTATTCTGTAAAAATTGGTCTCTAGACTTTTATACAAATAATCAATATTGAAATTAATAATATATAAGCAAAAAATAAATTCATAGGAAAAGCTTACATTACAAAAAAGGCATAGCTTCTGATGAACTTTTTTTTCTTTTGTTTACAGTTTATGTCGATCCTACTGATCAAGAAAATCGTCCTAGGAATATACCAGGTTTGAAAACAAACGTGTTTACTTTGACTGATAATTATTTCAAAATAGAAAAAAAAAAACAAATAACAAAAACAGAATACATAAAGAAAGCACAAAACGGTAAAATTGAAGATGGCTCTGTACATGAACTGTGCTGGAAATTTTCACCGGCTTAATCATAATTCAACATTTAAACATAAAACATTCGCAGATATGTTCAAACGGCGGAACCTTCAATGAGACATTTTCGTGCAATTCCATCAATAGCGGCGTATGGTCCCGAAGAAAAAGAAAGAATAAGCCCTTAACGAGAAAACAAATACCAGAACTTAACAAAGGAGATATAAGTTATGAAGTTATCTTAAACTATTTTATGTCTGCTTGTGTTACCTTCTATTTGGAATAGCATTATGTAGTTTTGGTTTTATGTAATAGAAAGTTAAAAAACATTTTAAAATATAAAGTATTTATGTGTTTTGTCGTCCATTAGAATTCGCAAGAATTGAAATTTTACACTTTGCATTACACAAACAGATATTACTGGCCTTAGCAGTTGGTCTCATTGGGATACATGCTCGTCTGAATGTAGTGATGGATTAATGACAAGAAGACAAAAGTGTACATTGTCGGAATCAAGTAGAAGTACGGTCAATTGTACAGAAGATGTAGTTGAATATAGACCCTGTGCTGGCATAGTTAGCTGTAAAGGTAAATTGTCCCGTTAAATTATGTTTTAATCCTGCTTTTCCATAATTATTTCTATTTATATCCTTGTTCGATAAAATAAGTAAAAAACACTTGGTAAATAGTATAGTCAAATTAAATCACATTTTCAAAAGTAAAATAAATAGCATGTACGTTTGCCGACGGAAGGCAGAACTACTTATAAAAATTGACAATGTTATAATGCCTGTTGCATCCATTTTGCTTTTTATCACAAATAAACGAAAATTTAGAAATATTTATCTTCGTTGCCTTTACTAGTATGTTCACAGAGGTTTAAGAAGTGTTACAGAATAATTTCGAAAGCAACGAATTGGAATCAGGCACGACTAGAGTGCTGGATAAGGAATATGTCGTTGGTGTCCATGATGTCGCTATCCGAAATGCGTTTTATCAAGTACCTGTTACGAGAAAGAAGAAAAATAGACGTTCCTCCGACGAACAATTTCAATGCTGAATATTACGTTCACATAGGTAAGTTTCTTTTTTAACGACTTTATAAATAGAGACTTTATTTAAATACTCTTCTACTCGTAACATGCCAAGTATATATGTTTCTAATTATTATTGTTCTGTTGAACCTCAAGACGTATATGTCACACTTTGACATATGCATGCGAATACGTCACAAAATGTTTGACAACAACGGTCGAAACACAAGTTTCATACGAACATAGGAACGCATGTGTCACATTTAAAAAGCCTTATTGAAAAAGTGAAAAAAATATATTAAGTTCTTAGTGCGAACGTATATGACACACCTGCAAGTTTTAAGTTGACAGTACACGTTTAGTCTCCTAGCAGTGTCTCAAGTAACGGCACTTAAGGTTTCCTCAACGTCTGTCTTTACACACGTCTACCCTTTACCGGCTGTTCTGTTCATATGCCAGTTTTGCTGTAAGAATTTAGTGTTATGAGCCTCGATGTGCGATGCCGGTGTAAAATTTGTAATATATAAACATTAATTCATATTGTGACTGTGTCAAGTGCAATGAAACTGTGTACTCAAATAGTGAAACCATGTACATGTATGAATATGGAGTAGCTTGCAGGAATAATGACAAAATTAAATCATGCCAGTTTATTGTGTCAGTTCATTTGGTACACTTGCAACCAGCTAAAAAAATGAATACATAAGCTAAACGGACGACCCCGTTTTTGAACCCTGAATATAAATGTGTTAAATGAACTTATACGCTAGATATTTATGTTTCTAAAATTACATTTGAACATACATTTAGGCTGTATTCGCAAACATTTGTCAAAATTGTAAAAATTGAGGTTCGACACTGCTGTATTTCAACAAATTTGTGAAACTGTAACCAAGAACGTAAACACAACACGCTCCTAGCTTGATCACAATACAGTTTTGCAAGGCTTGTTTTGAATACATACTTTTATGCGTTAAACATAGTGTATAATTCGGAATTTAAGGATCATATTATTTTAAATAAAACATGGATTTCATCTAATTCATTTTAATACTTTAAATGAATTTAACATACCAAAACCTAGTTTACTTTGAGAGATGATGATGAAACATACCAAATATGTAACAATGTTATTAAAATACTAAACATTTATTTTATGATTATTTATAGGTTTCAATTTGGTGGAAGTAATTTAGCTGTGTGGGAAAATGGAATCGTTGCAACTTACTTTACGGCATGGTCAGATAATAATTCTTAGAATTATTGTTCTTCCGAGATAATTCAAATACTTTTGTTGTTGTTTTCAAAAGACATGCAAAGTACTCAATTTAAACATTTATTTTGCTTTGTATTCTATATATGCATTTTACGTATTTCGGTGGTTCTACCTTTGTGTCTGCTAATTGCACACAGGGGCACTTAAAGTCTTCCTGCACCAGTAAAATTTAGCTGAAAAGTCGCCATGTGACCTCTTAAGTGTAAGTGCAAGTAAAATCCTACCCCCCAAAAAATTCATCATATGTAACGTATAGAAAAGACATACAGTTTAATGTAAAATGTTTCGAAATGTGTGTACAGACGCATGTATTATGAAAGTGACTACGGCAATAATAAGATATTCATTTACTTCTTTAATAAGGAACATGAAGATGCCATCATCCGGAAATTGTACGCGCATGAATTTTAAACTTTACTATGACAACAATACATGGGAGCGTGAGGATTGCAATCATAAATTGGCAGAATATCTTATGTGTGAACATAAAGATGAAGGTAAAGCAAGCGGTAAGTCAAATGAAATGTTGATTTGTTTTGATATTATTCCGAATACAGTCGCCATTTCAACTCCATAAAGTTATATCGTGAATTTGTGAAATTAAATAGTGATTTCGTGAAGTTGAAATCTTTCAACGATTAAGTTAAAATCGAAATTCGTGAAGTCGAAATTTTGAATTTACGAAGTGAAATTCGTTAAGTTAAATAGTAAATTAATGAAGTTGAAATCGTGAATTCCTGACGTAAAATCGTGATTTCATGAAGTTGAAATCTTCAATTCGGGAAGTTGAAATCGTGAATCGGAAATTCATGAAGTTGAAATGTCCGCACAGGTCTTTCATTAACATAAGATCAGCGCGCAGGTCTTAATTATTTTTTGCAACTATTGCAATTTTCTAATTACTGCGATGTACCTAAATGTTTTTCTTGGCTTTCAAATATCTATGCATACGCATTTCAAAGAATATAAAATACAGTTTTCAATAAAAGAAAGATATAAATTTGAACTTAAAAGAAGTTATCTTGAAATTAGAATAAAATGATAACACTGAAATATCTTACTTGAAGGTATTGAATGTCTATGTTGTAGTTCCTGTCAAATCATTACTTACCTTTGCTGATATGGAGCTTACTAGAGTTCCCGAACAAATACCCGCCGAAGAATATGCCGGCAACGTCAGTATAACAGTAAATGGTGCAAGATGTTCTAATTTGTCATGCCATTACAATGTTTTCAAGAAAACAATTGGCTGTCGGCAAACCGACGGGATATGGAATGAATGCAGTATTTATCGTAAGTATGACGTTTTGTGTAGATTTTTTAAGCTACAAAATGTTTATGTGGTAATCTTTAGATATTTGAACTCAATGATGAATATACATTAATGTTCATGCCCAAAAAACATCGCACGTATGTATACTTCAACGGTGAAGAAAAACATGTGTTTTCGGATAAATACACGTGCACGTTGCTACACTACAATTAAAATGCATATCTTTAAGGACTATGAAGCTTACTGCAATAACGGCACGGTAGATTTGATATCGCCGGTGTGACGTAAAATAAAAAACAAAACAAAACAAACAAAATAATATAAAAAACGATATCGCACTACAATATGAAAAGCATAACAAAATTGTTTCTCTTTACGAAAAAACAAATCCGTAAAAACCGAAAAGCCGCATGCAAGAATCTTATGCAAGATGACAATACTGCATTTTTTCCCGCATTAACATCTGCTAATGCCCTCTGACTTATTAAATCCTTCGCCCTGCAGACAGTTTAAAATGCACCCTCTTGCTTCTTCGGATGTTAATGCATGAAAAAGGTGTATAGATATTTTTGAGGATTATTTTTTTGCAATTATTTTGTAAACTACTTGTATTAGTTATGTAGCTTAGTAACTTCTCAAAATGACAAAAGCTTTTCATATGAGCGTAAATATTAGTTTAAGAAAATCAATAGAATATTAATTTTTACAGTACCCCCAAAAACAAATTCAAATGTTACTTACCAGACATACCTTGGCACGCTCAGCAAAACATTCTCTGGCAAAACTTGCCAAAGATGGGACCAAAAAATACCACATACTCACGACATTGATGGCACAATGTTTAAGGTTTGTCCTATAATTTTGTCATTTAATTGTGGTTTATACACATGAATATGTGTTAATAATTGCACCTAAACCTGCTTAATTTGTATTATGGAATTGTCCAGCTTTGAATTTAGAATAGAAAAATTCCTTTAAAATTTGAAGGAGTTTTATGTCAAACTACCGGAAGTATAGAGCCTAGTCAAACTGCCCGGACGTGAAGCTAGCCTGGCTCTTTACTGGTTGCAAAGACTAATCACTTTTGGTTGAAGAAGGTACATGAATCAAATTACAGTAACATAGATACACTCTTTTGAACAAGGACAATAAGAAATGCATGCCATTTGAAAATTCATTGTTAAACTAATGTTTTTTCTTTAACAGCGGTGAAAAAATAGTACATTTAAGCACTGCTTATATGTACATCTAAGATGCCATCGATTATATCTGAAAGCCATGTTAATATTTGACGTATTGCTTAGCACTTTAATAAAGTCATTTTTCATTGGATAATCGGTACGTTTATACGATAATAGTAATTATTAACTTTATAAACGGATAGAATCAACTCATGAAGTGATTTCACTTTATTTTCCAAACTAATGGAAGTTTGCTACATCTTGAATTCAATATAAAGATTTTTTTACATGTTAAAAGAATAGAGCCTTATAACCTGTCAAAGCAAAAATAACAAATACCCTTATCGAACCATGTTCCACATCACAATTAACATCCTTTATTGACTTTGACAACTATGTGCATACTATCCATTTTATTATATAATTCATCTGATTTTGCAAGATATGTCAAAAACCGACAAAATATGATTAAAATTTAATGCGATAGTATTTCTTACACAGGGAGAAGGTATTTCAGACGCAGCCAATTATTGTAGAGACCCTGGTGGTATGGGTCATCTTTGGTGTTTTACAACAAGTTCTGATACTCGATGGGAACCTTGCTTATTAAAAGGTTGGTAATAGTTTGCATTATGAATAAATAAAGAAAGGAGTAATATGCCTTGACCAAGTTTTGAGCCTTTTTACAAAACAACAATTAATAAGATTACTAGAAATGGATCAACTCTAAAACAAAACAAGTGGCACAATTATTGTCGCTTGGCTTTTTCTGACATACTAAACGCACGCAAAGTACATTTACTACAATGTAACAAAAAGCTATAGGTAAAAATAGCAGGGATACCCCATCCTTAAAATAGAACGTTTGACCACCGGATAATGTATGCAAAATGGACATGTTCATAATTTTTGGACAATGTTTATTTCGTGAACCTAAATTTGTTATCTGATATTCAATTTTGATACATTTACTAACACTTAAACGTGTATATATTTACTTTTTATCAAAGATTTTATATTTGTTCATTCACAGTTGTTAATCCTCAGTTTCCTTCATTACATTTGATGATTTTATTTTGTTGACTCACAATTCATTGTTTCCATTTGATAATTAGCGTTTGCCTACGTACATTTATTTTCATGGGTTTTACTTACAGAAATCAAAACCGAACGCACTTGTATAAAACGTATGGCGTATACTGGAAAAAGAAATACAACAATAACAGGAAAACAATGTAAAAGCTGGGACAACTTAAGTCATAAAATGTCTTTCCTTTCGAACTTTGATTTAGAGACATCCTTGAATTATTGTCGAGATCCTTCAAATTTAGGTTACAATTGGTGTTATATAGATAATTCAAAAGGTACTGAACAAAGGGAGCCTTGCCAAATTGAAGGTAACAATGATACGGAAATATTAAAAGGTATTCCACTGAGAATTATTGGCAGGATGCGACGAGAATTTTTTTTCTCTTTAAAGTGCTCCTGTTGATATATATAATAAATTAAAATCTTTATTTTTTGCGTTAGGACCTTAATGCAGTTCCTTTAACTTGATTTCAGTGACATCTTACCATTCGATCTTTTCTCTAAAGAAAAGCAGATGTAGAAATTAAAAGAATACATTCATGTAGCTTAAAGTGTTTTTGTCATAGAATAATGAAATAGCAAGTAACTTGGTACCGTCTCGACTTGTTTTTTTCTATTCGTTAGTCGTGAGTGTTTAGTTTTATTTTGATAAGGTTCTGTCTCAAAATGCATAAAGTATCTTCATTCTCTGTCAACCTACAACAACAACAACTTCCACTGCCACACTTGCTACTATTACTTCTTTTTCTACAACAACAACAGCAACTATTACTACTACTTTGCTTCCATTGTGGTCTAGAAATCAAACTATTTTACTTAAAGAACTGATAATATTCTTTGCATGTACTCGTATTTTTACATTTATTTTGAAAATGATTTTTATTCTATCCAGACAGTGAAGTAACCACTGATAAGACATCCTTTATAACGAGGGGCAACAATTTCATGTGCGATGATGGTAAATTCCTTCCAAAAACTTTGAAATGTAATGGCCAATTTGACTGCGAAGATAGATCCGACGAAATAAATTGTACTTTTTCAGGTAAATCGACGCGGTTTTGTATAATATCTTAATCACATAGTCTGATAGAGTATATATGTTTTTGTCTTTATTGTTTTACATCAGATTTAACAAAAAAAATAAAGTTATATTATTGTTTATTTTCATAGAATGTACTTCAATTCATATAAAATCATATGCATCCCATATGCTCTTTCTAGTAAAATGTATATATCAGAAGATAGTTGGTTGCTACATTCGCATTGTTTTGAATCAAAAGCACTATATATGTAAAAAAAATTATATTCAACATCTAATGAAGGTCTTATCAACCGTCTCAACCACAAGTTATTTTGAGTAATCTTTGATGAAAATCAACAGTTTTGCTTTTGTAATTCTAATTTGATACATAATAAATGTCAGTTACAATTTGGTAGATAATACTTGAATTCAGTGTTACACCAGGGAAACTACGGAAGATATGATAGTGGTTACAAACGTGAAATGCTAGCAGCCATCTGTTTTTTAGAATTGTTGACAGCTTCGAATCATCTTTCCAATTTTTGAAGCTCTACAAGTATAAATAACACACATTTAGTGCCCTAATTCTTAGTATATTTTTAGGTAATGAAAATAGACGAGGCTGTTGAGCGAACGCATGTAAAGTAGCTTGAACGAAATCTCACCTTTTTCATGACATGACGCAAGAAAACCCATATCATAATGACTGAATGAATGGTCTAAAGAGTTTCTTCTGTCAGTACAAAATATGTACCGGCAAAGAGTGTACAATGACAAAAGAAGTCTCAGAAAAAAATAAACTCAAGGATTTATTTGGCTTTGATTTGCAAACGGTCAATTAACAATTGAGGGTCCATGTTTAGATATATATATTACAATAATTGAGCTTTAAACAATATAGAGCCTGAATTGTCTTCAATGGCTTTACATAAAAACTTCATGCATTGAGCATATAATTGTTAAAATGTAAATTCGGAATTAAGTAAAATGTTTCATAAAACATCAATAAATCCAGTTAGATGTTTCCCTATTTAAAGTTTCTTAACTTTACAGAAAAATGATTTTAAAAAACGATCCATGTAACTGTTTTATCTTTGATTTCATTATTTCTTGTCATAACCCTTAACTGACTGCATCCGGAAGTGATTAACTTTTGACACCAATATTACGCTAGACTCTATACCTTTGGCAGCTCATTGATTGTAATTTGATATTGACATTCTTTAAAATTCAAATGGCTATTTCAGTTTGAACATTGGCAAGTGCGCTTTACATTTCAAGCAGGTTCAGGATAAAGTTAATAAAACATATACATTTACTTCAGTGAAGCATCATGTTTGATACAGAGTAAACATGGTTGATGCCGGGATGGAGACATCCCTAAACATCGCTTAAACTCGTGAAGATACACTTTCTCGCTCACCGGATAAATCTTCTCCTATCGCGACATCAACCATGTATTCAATCTATCCTGCTTTTGTCTACTTTTATAATGGTTTTAGAGTATTTAAATGGTTTCGTTCTTACTTTACCCCAATAAAACAACTTTATTTTGCTGCTAATCACATGACCTCATCATGTGATGTAATGGCTGGCGATAGATACGTTTGTCCGACAAGGCTTTATCCAGATGATAATAAAGCATGCAGCAGGATGGGATTTATTTCAGTAAAACGTGCACAGTCATCGGATGTGACTTTATAAATTTTTACTTCGTCTGTCGTGTACAAGACTTTGAAATTGACGTTAGTCTTGAAATTGATGTCGTTCGTTCGTTTGTTTCTCGCACAAAAGTTTGAATTTTCGGTCATCTATTCATTCATTCATTTTATGTGAGGAAGCTTTCTCACTAACCAGATAGAAAAATCCTTAAATGTTACTAAAAATAGCGGTGTTGGAAAATCTTATCTCACATGGGCTTATCTCACACTCAACGTACAGCACTTCTAAATAAAACGCGATTCAATCCTATTTTAATAAAAATGAAACGTAAAAAGGTCAAATTGTATTAAATATTTGTGAGCTAATCTATTAAATTGTCTACGGAATCAAAATAGATTGATATTAACTTTCACACTGCAATGAGTCCTACTCTATCTAGATCCGCCCTTTTCAATAACGATCTGTTACTAAAAATAGCACACTTTAGAATATCGAAAAATTCTTCGTAAAATCGGATATTATGACACTTTGCCTGAAAAACATTCATGTTTTTTGTTATGATAACGATACTTCTTCATTACGAATCTCTTTTTGATATATTTTAATTGAATATTCGGCCAAAATAACCGACAAAGTAGAAAAATCTTTGCAAACGGTAAACGCTTTTTGTCAACCATTGAAGTATGGACTGAAGTACTTATAAACAGTAGGCTAATATTATGGCACTTTCCGTTTTTAATATCGATGTGTTTTATCATGATAACCTTGCTTTTTGATGAGGGATCTTATATGAATTTATTCTCATTAAATTTTTCACACATAATCTTGGTCAGAAGAATTTTTTGCGGACGTACATAATGCTTTTTAATCCTAAGCCCTGCCCCCCTTTTCAAAACTAGGTACGTTGTAATGCGCGTAGCAAGTAGATTCGTGTCCAGGTGTGAGAGAGAAAAATAATCAACCATTGGGTTTGATAGAGGATAGGGAAATCCCAACCTTCGGGCAAATGGTTCCATCGGGAACTCGCCAAGGCTCGTTCCCGATGGAACCGATCACCCTCGGGTTGTGATTTCCCTATCCTCTATCAAACCCAATGATAGATTCTATTAATCCAGCTACCTTACGGAACGTCAATGGTTCTACTCAGCAGTCCGTTCTTGTCTGGAATAATGTACGGAAGGGCCCCTGACATCTTCCCCCACCAGTAAAGCTGGGACGTTTCAATATCACTTATACTGTGTCGGTGCGACGTAAAACCCAATCAAACAAACAAAATCGTTCATTGATTTGAAACAGTTTCAGAAACATGTATATTATATGTTAAAAAGTCACATTGATATGACAAATATACAATATGTCGTAATGCTTCACTCGAAATTACTCTTTAAATTCAGTTCATCCAATGATAGAAATAGATGCTGGAACCAACAATTCGGTACAACTAAATGCGACTCTTTTTGAAATCGGATCATTCTTTAGATGCAAGTCAAATGAATTAATTTCTGTAGTGGCTACATGCGATGGAGTAATTGACTGTTTTGATGCGTCAGATGAACTTTGGTGTATTGAAAACATAAAAATAGGTAGGTCGGATTTGTCTGCAATGTGGCGATAACATACTTTTTGTATTAATAAAAAAACAACATTGATACTTAGTAATCCATGCCATTTGTACTCAATATTTTCTTTTGATTCAGGAAATGTATCAAATCAGTAGCTACATGTTCCTTACAGTTTCATACGCTGATACGAACAAGAACAGCTTGTTTGATTTTTATACCAATAAGCGTTAAACATTCGGCCCACTTTTTACAGTTCAATTCTTTTCAAGCAACAATCACGTTTTTTGTACGATAGTAAGTTATTGATCAAAGGACGAGTTGAATGTAAATGTTCTAAAACTTAAATATAGAAATTAGATTAAAACACTGAACAATCAATCGAATATTTCTTATGAATGGTAACACATTTCTTTTGGTAAATCGGCAAACTGTTTATCAGTCTTTAAAAAATAATTTAAAACACTTAGCTGGTTAGAATTTCTTAGTACGTATTTACAAAACTAAATTGCCGCGTCTGACCAATTTAATTTTGTAAAATGCGTATTTATTAATCTTAACGTTTATTTAAAATGAATACTCATCTTCCTCCAAAGAAGTTTTGTGTTAATTTATCAGAACAATCTTAACGCGAAAGAAATGAGGTTTTATAAACTATTCATTCGTCATTTTGTATGGTATTTCAGAAAGCAAGACTTGCTCTAAGTACCAGTTTCAATGTGACAATGGCGACTGTATACATATCAGTCTAGTTTGTAACTTCAGGGAGGATGGTATCGACGGATCTGACGAAATTTGCGGTAAGCCGTCTTAAATTCATAATAAGGCTCTACAAAATAAACAAGCAAATTTCAAACTGCAAGTTGTGTTAGTGCCTGAGCGTTTGTGAATTGCTTGTAAGCTTATCCCATCCTATATAGAGTATATATAGGCAGTCTTAATTGCTATGAATGTGTTTACTTTCTTTATATTTGTTTTAACTGGAATTCTATGTGTATTATAAGTTTTAATTGTACAGTTTATTTTGATCCATTTAACAAAGATTATGAACAGTGCTTGGAATTTACGGAATTTCAATGCGATAATGGACCATGTATTCCTATAACTCAGCGTTGTGATGCAGTTAAACATTGTGCAGACGGATCGGACGAACTAACCTGTGGTTTGTTATATATTTATTTTGATTTTTTACGGATATTTTAACGATGCCTTTGGTCACAAATATTGTATTGCAAAATATCATTAATTATTCACCAGCCCAACTTATTTTCAATAATCTTCTCATGTGGCCTCTACAATATATTAAAGAATGTATACTGAAGTACCTGCCAGGGTATGTACGAGTTCTTGTTCCTCTTTTACACAGATGAATGTCAACCAGGAGTAGCCTTTCATTGTGACTTCGAAAGATGTTTACCATTGAGGTTAATATGTGACGATTATCATCATTGTGAAGATGGCTTAGACGAAATGAATTGTGACAAGGTGTTTTATTCATGTCAAGATGTCTGGGAAGCTGGGTATAGAAGGTCTGGATATTATAACGTTAGAGGTTTGTACAATGGTATATAAATAATATATTTGACTGTATCGTAATAAAATACAAATTCGGAATTATATTATAGCAGTTGAGGTTTGTATTATGAGAACGTCTTTTTCGAAACGAGAAAACATAATTTGTTCGAAATGGCAATTGGCGCTTTGTGTATAAAATATACGTTTTATTTAGTGTTAAGTAAACTATAGTTTGCATACATGTGATAATGAAACTAAAATGATTCAAGGAATAAGAGGTTAATACACGGCAGGAGAGGGCCGGAAGGTGATAATCGGCCCGCAAAATGAATAATGGACCCGAGGGCTTTAGCCCGAGGGCCATTATTCATTCAGGGCCGATTATCACCTTCCGGCCCTACGCTGACGTGTATTAATGTCTTTAATACACTTGGTAGATCTAATAGTACTGTAGCATTTAAAAAAACAACAACAAAAAATAACAAAAACATAATCAAAACAAATAGACTTTGAAGTTCTTTCGTTGAAATTATTGTCTACTCTTCTACTTTTCTGGACAGAGATGTTTTCTGTTTGTTATTCAAAGCAGTAGAACCAAGAAGCAAGTTTTATTTTCATTTTTTTGGGAATGAATTTGTCGTATTATTTCTTCAAATTTCAATAGTAACAAACATGTGTTTGTACTAAATACGCTTAAGGTCTCATAATAATAATAAAGCGATTCGTGCTGACAACCTACTTTCACTTTTACAGTTAACTGTTTGATGACGTTAAATGTGACGTCATTGTTTCAGTTTGTGCACGTGCACATGTTCTGCGGGCTGATAACTAGTTCTCGGCCCCGGGCCGCAAACTCATAATAGGTCACGTGACACTCATAATCAGTTGAAATCATAGGCAATTTTGTTACTATATATAGTAACAAGTGTATTAAATCAGAATATTTTTTAACACAGACGAGACAAAGAAAGCTGAAATGTTACATTTATAATTGCTTTTGAATTCTGAATGAATTACAACAGATATTTACATGCATGAGCTAGAAAGATTTCTCATGATCGAGCTGGAAATCTAAAAACAAATGTAAACGGCCATTTTAAAATTATATCCATATAATTGTTCTTGAAATACCAGGAAACAATTTTTAATGACTATGTCAAATTTTGTTTATCTCTTCCAGATAACAAGCGATGGCTTAAATGTTTGTTTGAGGAAATGGACAATAACACAATCCAAACCATTTTTAACTTTGATATCTATTATATTGAATTTTTTATCGGCACATTTGAAGTTAACCGTTTACGATTTTACGACAATGCAGTAACATTGACAGAAACTAACATGAACTTTGTAATATATAACGATGTTAATACCAGTTGTATTCAACAGGTATGTAACTTATTAGCTTTCGATCAGTTGTGACTTTAAATTTCGGCACATTTTCCGTTTACCTACTGAATGTTTTGAAGTTGACGTGTCCAAATTCATTCTTAGAACTCTTTTGTCAATTTCTTGATCCGTGTTAACAAAGATTTAAGGATCAGAATCAAAAATAAAAACCCGAATATTCTGCATCGATTAAATATTTAATATTAATTTGATTAAAACTGGACTTGAAATAGCAGGCTAATGAAATATTATAATAAACTTTATTGTTATTTTTGCAAGATATCGGCATTTTACATTTGATCCAAATATTGATCTTGATCCTAAAAGTAATCCTTATTTTTGATCCAGTTATTTCAGATTTTGTTTTGTTATTAGTTGACTTTATCGCAAAATAGGTTTTTTATTTTGCAAATGAGCATTTTTTACGTTTTGAATAAATTCCATTTAATTCTAACAAAAATGATTAATTTTAGTGAAAACGGATATGGATATCAAAATTGAAAATTTAGTTAGTTAACAGAGGGCAGGTTGTACAGGCAAGCTGGTATTTCTTTATGCTTGTGGCAAAGGCCAATCACCTTTGAATATACTAAGAAAAAAAAGATTCACTGCGCATAAAATATGTTAATTGAAGCAGCTTTTTAAAAGTGTTTCCAGTTAATAAAGAGTTTGATCATGCAGAATATGTGATGTCGATACCGTTCAAGATTTCAGTTCTCTCAAAAGTGTTATGCGTACATGCAAGAACTCTTTAGATTCATAGACGTTTCGATAAACCGTGATAAAAGACATATTTTACATAAATGACTAATTCTCACCTAACTTGCATTTAATATAATGTCTAAAATAATCACTTTGGCTATATATTAATGTGTGTTGCCATAGTACCTATTAATGACAAACTTTTTGTTGTTGTAGATAGAGGGAAGATGTACACCGCCTTATGACATTCTATCGAGAATTAACAGCTCACTACCAGCATGTCTTTGCTCAGTCTTTAATTATGAAATAATTCGAAGGTAAATGTTTCATAATTCAATTGTAATTTTTTTATAATTCGAAGGTAAATGTTTTATAATTCGAAAGTATATGTTTCATAATTTGGAATTAAATGTTTCATAATTCGAATTCAAATGTTTCAAGTATTTTGCTTCTGGGTTCATTATTCTAATTGATTTAATTCAAAATTACGAGTGTTGCAAGAAGCTGCCTTACTTAAATGAAGTAATTATTGTGGCTAAAGATACTTGCAAACAAAACAAGTTACTGAGCCAAAATATGCAAAACAAAAACTATAATTCGACAAGATAGCAATGAATTATTGGCCCAATATGAAGATTAAAGAGGATGGTCAAATTTTTATGATTTGAGATATTTCGTTCACTCTAAAAACCATTTTTTTCTGAAGATTGGATACAACTAAGTGTACTTTGAAAGCGTGCAGCATATAAACGCACAAATTATGACACACAAACAGATTAACTTTTCCTAACAAAGGCATAACATGAGTTTTATACCAGTGAAATAATGGTTCAGGGCATAGTAGACTATTATCTAAATATATCAGATTATATGTATAGCTGAATGTGAAATTATTAGAAATAAGTTGTCCAATAACTAGAAAAAATATAAACAAAGTAACATTTTGACTTCCATGTAAAATACTTAATTACTGTATAACTGTGCTAATTTCTAAACAGCGACAGCAGCAAAGGATGATTACGTACTAAATCAATGTGTAAAACGGGACACCAAAAGCTTTTGAGAAGTAAAAACAAGACCATTTTGGCCTTTTACGAAATTGATTTTATTGATTAACTCATATATGAAATGTACTATATTATTACAAGTGAAAGTAAAATGAATGATAATTGTCACGAATAGTACAAATATTTTTCTTGCATATCAGACAGGATTATCTACTGTTTACATCGGTGCTAGAAAACCCTGTCATATGTCCCCCATGTAAGACAAGTTGTGTGCTTTTAATGACGTCATTGCCGCGCGCATTTTATGAATAAATTGCGTTCTTAGGATGACTCATTTTACCGTTTTAAATGAAGTTTTAAGTTTATATGCTACTAAAAGAAAAAAGTGCGCCATGAGAATATCAGTTTTCGTAATTTCTGTTCTAAGAATAATTTATATGTAATATGCAAGAAAAAGAAACAAACACCGGTTGTCGGTATAGACGGGAATATCTTACACACGCTGTCGGTATAGACGGGAATATCTAGCTCTCGGGTTACTGTTAAACGTAAAAAATGGTCAAAGCCTCATTGTCACCGTAAATAGATACTCTTGAGTTAGATTTTAATAATCTTTCACTGGCTGACGGTACAGATCGGATTATTTAGCTTGAGGTTCTTATAATATATCTGGATACAGTTTTTAAAATGTTAATAAACGTATCTTATGTATTAAGCAATTGTAGCACGTGAAAATGAAAGAAGAAAAATACCCCAGCTACTATCATATTCTAAATGGAAACATATTTATACATTTCTTCAATATTGATTCTGATGTTTATGATATGTATACAGGCTAGTTACATACAATTTCTAATGCAGCATTGAAGAACCAAAGAGTATTGAGCAATGCAAAACTACTGCCGACAAAAACTGGACAATACATCACGAATTTTCTACATCTAAGAAGGATATACTATATTTTTATGGGGATGGGTCTCGCAGCATGCATCATTCTAACCTACAATTAATAGCAGACGAAATATCACAAAACATACCAGGACCTGCCATATGCAGGCAAGGTAAATAAATACAAAGTAGTAGTTATCAAGCGGGGGTCTTGTAAGGTGGTTTCTTTCGTTATTATATTTTCAAACCGTTTAAACTAATTTTGTCAGGTTATATGGTCCTATAAAAACGGTTGTTTGCATATATCAAGGGAGCCGCCATGCCAGGTTTACTTCTCAATTATCAAGTGTCAAATTTCAATCATATCTTAAAATCCGTTACACAATTGTTTCGTTGATCAAATTAAAGGTGTGTATAAATTGTTTTAATGAATTTAGAGATGTGGAAAATGTCGGCCTTCCGAGTGTGATGATACGACCTAAAATTATTTTATCTGAGAGAAATTTGAACGATGTAAAGTTCGAGCGTTATGCGTTCGCATGTTTGAAATGAGTTTTGTCTGTTACGATAGTGTGCTTTAAGTTTCCACATACTGACGTTAGAATCAATCACTGATAGCTTTAGGACAAATACAAGTCTTATATGCTGTCTAAGTTACTTGATGTGTTGATATTGTTAGTGTGAACGAAAATAAATCATAGAAAAAATGTTCCGTACATGGCTGCTGTCCTTATTTAGTAGTACTGATATAATCTTCCGCTAATCGTGAAATGGTAAGTTTATTAGGTAAGAATGGAATAGACAAACATTTAGTAGCTCAATTTCCTCTACAAATTTTGTTCCAAAATAAAAATAAATAATTTAATACGTATATTTGCAAATTTTCTATATTATTAAAATGTGTTCGACACCAAACAGTCACATACAAGTAAAACAAATTATCCCATTAATAGGGACGGATGAGATGGGGGGAGAATATAACAGGTGAAATAAGGAAGGTCACACCGACCAACACTTTTAAAACCACATATTTAAGATTTTTCAGCGAAGATTTCACGTGTTTAACCATGCATTATTTAAGGCAAGAGTGCTGCTTATATATTATAACAGAATGGGAATAAAGGACCAGGATATCTACTTTGATGTAATTAAAGTAATGTTTATTGAAATGAAGATGTACGTAATTATTTATGTTCTGGAATAAATTCAAATTAAGATGTCAGAATTTTTTTTATTGTTTATATTTTTTTATTTTTGGTAAAATAATTGAATTTTCCAGGCAAATATTTAATAATATATTATAAAATATAATATATATATTATATTTTTGGCGGCATGGCCGAGTGGTTATTGCTCTGCACTAGTAATTTAATGATCGCTAGCCACATGGGTTCAAACCCTGAAAGGGGTAAGTGAAACATTACACTCATTGCTCAGTACTGGTAGGTTCCAGGAACGGACTCGAAAATGCATTTATAAGCTAATAGCTTCCTGCACAATCGAACTAATACAATTTTTGTATAAACCAAATATTTTTAGCAATATTTGTAACGTCAATAGTAACGATGTTTCTTTTTACTTTTTATTGTTTTACATAAGGTAGAATATACTTAAGTTACCATAGGTCACATTTACAAGATCATAGCTGCGTTTATCTTTTTGTTTGCTACTGCTCTAGATTACATAGCCAAAGATGACAACTTCGTTTGTGATATAAACGGAAAACATATTCCAAAAACTATGAGATGTATCTACGACATTGATGAAACCGGCTTCACGATTGGCTGTAGAGATGGAAGTCATTTGAATAATTGTGGTTTGTACATAATGCAAACAAAGTGCATAAGATTCCTAATAACAGAAATTTAAGACTTTAATGTTTCAATACATTTAACAATAGAATAAACGGCTTTTAAAGACAATCAATTGATAATGTTAGATTGTCGGACTTTATGCGGACTTTACAAGTTTTAATTGTATGATTGGATGGCCTTGTACATTATTGTAATTCTTACAGAAATGGAAATAGTGACGATAGCTTCTTAATTTGATGATATATAAGCACTATGTGAAATGTGTCTCACTTACTTTTTGATTATTAAAGGAACAGACATAACTAATCTCTGAAATCTTAAGGAACATTTGTTCATGTCATAAGTATCTGAATTTTGATCGCAAAACTTCTATAGCTACAATAATCAGCTAGGAATTTTTAATAACTTGAACACATTTGATTTGCAGAGCACCATAAATGTCCTCGAGGTATGGTCAAATGTCCAAACAGCTACTGTATTCCTCAGCGGTTTTTATGTGATGGACTTTTACAATGTCTTGGAGGTGAAGATGAAGCCTCATGCGGTGAGTCATTTACTTGAAATATTCAAGATACAATGTCTTATATCAAACAACATATTATTACACAAATACAATCCCACCAATAATCTACAATTCTCTAAAGGGTATTTTTATCCTTTGTTTATTTTCTTAAAAATCTAAATCTGACTTTTGTTTTTCTTGAACTAATTACAGCTATGAACTGTAGGCTACGTGTTGCTTGCAACAGTTACACATCTTTATCCTCTTTGCTTAGGTAAGATATCGAGCCTTTGATCTTTATTACATTTTCAGTAATTAAAATATTACAGGTTGCTCCCCATCGAATAATGAAATACTTATTATACACGACGCTGAAACTGTTAAAGGACCAGACATTTTTCAGTTTGCACGGCAATTTTCTACAGAAACAAATATTGTTCGTGTATTAAGTTACAAAGCATCAACACCCCTTGAAGCGTACGGGTTCGATGATATATTACTTGACGTTGAAGATAAAGAAATAAGCATTGTTCAATACGTGGAAAATACTTTTGAATGTCGCTACAGAATAGTGGCAAAACATCTTCTAGATTCAATTCATTTTACGAATGATGGTCTGAAAGGTGTTATTATACTTCAAACCAGTGATGTGGCAGAAGCGGTCAATAATGTAATCGTAAAATCAAAGTTCGTCTCTGAACACCCGGGAATGGTGTACAGAGTTATGGAGAATTTCAATGTGTCAAGTTATTACAACATAAAGGTCTTAGACGTCTATGTTCGAAGATGGCAGATTCTAGATGGAATTGGTGCTGAATATTTCAGCGAATTATGTAAAAGTAAGTCAGTGTTATTGTACAACAAAAGATAGGCACGTGTTAATAGACATTTTATCAATATTAAGGAATAACTAAGTTAAGAAAAAGAAAAGAGAAAAAGGTATTTGTAACGCATAAAAAAAATATTTTTGAATTTTGCATTTCGGGAATTGTTTGCAATGCCATTATATTGTATCACATTGGTATCTTAAATTGCTTTCCTGGTCTCGTTTTATATGAAAATAATAGTGCATTTTACTTTTCTAAGGTTCTGTAATTAATATCATTTTTATCAGTGGGTTTATTATAAAAAGGCAATTAAAAACTCTGTTGAATTGGATGATAATATCTAATTGTATTTGTCATAAACCTAGATTTACGCTCAAATGAATATATAGCATGGTCGAGTCATACTCAGAGTAGTACTCTATGGATTGCTGGCAGTCTGGGTTCAAACTGCGTTAGGAGCGATCTGTTGTTTCCTTCCGAGAACATTTACACTCATTGCTCAGTACTAGTTAGTTCTAGGAACGGCTTGAGAGGGTTCAATAATCATATAGTTCCAACACAATCGTATTAAATTACATTTTCGAATAAACTAAATAAATATCCCATTTTCCTAGTGTGACAGCATTGAATAAGCATATACATTGATTTGATCAATAAAAAGATGGACTTGTACACCCAAAGCACCAATCTTATTTTCAGTTACAACAAAAGTTCACTGCGCTGGTGGTTACAAATGTGCATGGAGTTATGCCTGTTTATTAATAGATCAAGTTTGTGACGGTATTGTTCATTGTCTACATGGGGACGATGAAGCAATTTGTGACTTTAAATGTCCAGCTAATTGTACCTGTCATGGATATGTTGCCGATTGTAGCAGTACCGACTTTCAGTTATCTTTTTTGCCAACAATTTCAGATACAATCCGTTATCTTGACTTAAGTTCTAACAATGGACTGAATAGTATTTTAGAAGAATCTAATCTAGATCTTCCATCGTTACTCGTATTGAATCTTTCGCATTGTGGCATACAGCGTTTGAGATCATTTTCGTTTGGAAAAATCAAGAACATTCGTCGCTTAGATTTAAGTTACAACTTATTCACAATATTGCCAGATTATGTGTTTAAGAACTTAAAACATCTTAAATCTCTAGAACTTCATGGTAACTATAAACTATCAGTGATCGAGATGCACGCATTTGCTGGATTGGTTCATGTAGAAAAATTTGACTTGGCAAATGCTAAACTGGAAACGGTTTTGGCAAATACATTTTCAGGGATGAATCTAGGAAGTTTAGACTTGTCAAACAATAAGCTAAAGGAAATGGCAAATTTTGCTTTCCGTGACGCAGTTATACGAAATATAGATTTCAGAGGAAATGATATTAAATCATTTAATACAGACATATTTACTGGACTTATTGGTTTGAATGAACTTTTTACGCCGGAGTTTAAATTTTGTTGCATTAGACCAAACTACGTTAAAGAAGAAAACTGCTATCCCCAGAAGGACGAGTTTTCATCCTGTGATGACCTCATGAGACATTCTGTGCTACAATTTTTAATTTGGTTAATTGGAATAACAGCGTTTCTTGGAAATGTTATGACGATTTTATATCGGATGAAATATGATAGGAAGAGGTTGAAATTAGGTTTTGGCATATTTGTTACAAACTTGGCAGCTGCAGACTTTCTAATGGCTGTTTATCTCATCATCATAGCAGTTGCTGATTCCGCATTTCGAAAGAGGTTAGTCATGTGATATTCCTGGGAAAATGATTTGCTATATTTCTATCTAACTATATAAAATATACATGTATTTGCCTGAAGAAATAGAAATTTTGATACATATTGGGAACCTATCACTTTAAATAGTCCTTACACCAAGGTTATGTTAAATGTGTCCTTTTGTATATTGATCAAGTACATGTATGACAATTTTCCTTTTTTTCATAGGAATTGATACATAACGTTTTACTTCCATTATACTTATTTCCGTTCGGACGTGCTAAATTGTCCAAAGACAGAGCTGTTACTTGTGCTATTTACACATGGTTGTTTTCTGTTACTGCCGCCATATTTCCTGTTGCATATGAAGGGTACTTCAAAAACGAATTTTATTCAAAATCTGGCGTTTGTATTGCTTTGCCGTTAACAAGAGATCGTCCACCTGGATGGGTATATTCATTGTCGGTCTTCGTTTTCCTCAACTTTCTTACCTTTGTCTTGGTAGCAGTTGGGCAGCTTTTAATATTCATTGAAATTCGCAAACACTCTGGAATTGCCACTTCTGTAGAGACTACAAGAAAAAGGGACTTAAAAGTAGCAAGGAATCTTCTCTTAGTAGTAGCAACCGACTTCATGTGCTGGTTTCCAATAGGAGTAATGGGTAAAGAATTGTATCTAATAATTTATTTATTGTTCCTTTTAGTTTGTATGTATTTAGACGTTGCATAAACTGAATTTATATGACCAACTGAGGGGCATATTATTATTAATTACTAAAAAATATAAAGCAGTAATTTGTAAACTAATATTTCTAATTTTGCTTTTCAAACTAAGAACATATTACGCCGCTTTTCATTGAACGACACTTACATGTCTTACTGAAGGTTCCATGTTAATTGCCGTATGAACACATCTGTTTATAAATTCAATCTTTCGTCATATTGAAGTCTGCTTGAGCCAGTGCTAGGGGGCGTGAACAGAACTTTAAACCGTCCATTACATTCTACAATATTTTCAATTTTGCCGATTAAGACTGTTATGTATTTCGGAATACTATTGCTCTGTATTTTATTTTCAATTTAAGCAATGTTTGCGCTATCGGGTCATGTTATTTCCGGGCAGGTGTACGCCTGGGCAGCCGTTATCATACTTCCTGTCAATTCTGCTCTGAATCCAATTCTATACACGTTGAGTGCAATTTTAGGAGGGAAGGTAAGTAGTTACTATGAATTTTGTGCTGCAGAACTCAAAGTTAAAACAAAATATTCCCGCAATTTAGTTAAGGCTGGTATACTGCAATCAGCTTGTCCGTCCGTCCGGCCGTCCGGCTGTCCGGCCGTCCGTCGGTTTTTTCTTGTCCGCCCAATAACTTAAGATTCATATTTGGCATGAAGGTTAGTCATGATTAGTAGATGACCCCTATTGATTTTGAGGTCACTAGGTCAAAGGTCAAGGTCACAGGGGCCTTGACTTCAAAAAGCTTGTCCGCCCAATAACTTAAGATTCCTTTGACCTACAGTCGTCATATTTAGCATGGAGGTTAGTCATGAGTAGTAGATGTCCCCTATTGATTTTGAGGTCACCAGGTCAAAGGTCAAGGTCACAGGGGCCTTGATTTCAAAAAGCTTGTCCGCCCTATAACTTAAGATTCCTTTGACCCACAGTCTTCATATTTGGCATGGAGGTAAGTCGTGATTAGTAAATGACTCCTATTGATTTTGAGGTCACCAAGTCAAAGGTCAAGGTCACAGGGTCCTTGACTTCAAATAACTTGTCCGCCCAATAACTTAAGATTCCTTTGACCCATAGTCTTCATATTTGGCATTGAGGTTAGTCATGATTAGTAGATGACCTCTATTGATTTTTATGTCACCAGGTCAAAGGTCAAGGTCACAGGGGCCTTGACTACAAAAAGTTTGTTCGACCAATAACTTTCGATTCCTTTGACCCACAATCTTCATATTTGGCATGGAGCTTAGTCATGATTAGTAGATGACCCCTATTGACTTTGAGATCACCAGGTCAAAGGTCAAGGTCACAGGGGCCTTGACTTCAAAAAGCTTGTCCGCCCTATAACTTAAGATTACTTTGACCCACAGTCTTCATATTTGGCATGGAGGTTAGTCATGATTAGTAGATGACCCCTATTGATTTTGAGGTCACCAGGTCAAAGGTCAAGGTCACAGGGGCCTTGACTTCAAAAAGCTTTTCCGCCCAATAACTTAAGATTCCTATGACCCACAGTCTTCATATTTGGAATGGAGGTTAGTCATGATTAGTAGATGACCCCTTTTAATTTTGAGGTCACTGGATCAAAGGTCAAGGTCATAGGGACTTTGACTTCAAAAGTTTGTCCACCCATTAAGTTTAGATTCATTTGATCCACAGTCTTCATATTTGGCATGGATGTTGATCGTGACTATAAGGTGACCCCTATTGATTTTGAGGTCACTGGGTCAAAGGTCAAGGTCACAGGGACCTTGACAAAAAAAGCTTTTCTTCTCAATTGCACAAAAATGTCCTGTCCGCAATGTATTGATTTTGACATTTTCACATTTGAAGCATGTAGAATACATAACTTTGCAATGCACTGGCTTAGTAAGCTCAGATTTGGCAGGGAGGTTGTCCTTGAGCTCTAAATGGCCACTGTTGATTCTGACAAAGTGGTATGCGGGGGTATTCACGCCATGATAGTGGCAGTTCTAGTTTTTACAGAAGGATAGCTGCTTTGTGGTGTTTCATCTTTGTTGGATTGTTTGTTATGATGATAGTGATGATAAAACAATTAAATTATATGAATTGATTCTTATCTTCATTGATATGTTTGTAATGTTTTTTCAAATATAAAATAAATTGTATTTTTGCTTTTATTCCGTGAATTTATGTGATTCTGAAAACTAATATCTTTAATGCTTTCTTTCTCAGAAATTCAGTCCTAGTACAGATGAACAGTCAATGAAACAGATCACAGAAGGTTTGTTATTTACTTTTTCCTAAAGTTGTTTCTTGGAATTCTTAAAAAAATACAGGGCATCTAAATTAAAGAACGTCTTCCCTAATCACGATTCAAGTACATCTTCCTCTCACATGAAAATACACCACTCATATGACACACATTTTGGCCGATTTTTTTTTGCACCTGAGAGAAAGCACGGTCCTTCTTCATTATTATTTTTTACTGAACTTAACCCCCTTGACTTGACCTTTTCATATTCTGAACTTAAATAATACATGTCTAATAAAAGCTAACTTCCTGAGATGCCATTGGGTCTGATATTTAAATGTCTGGTAATTTTCTATCGCAGAGTAAAGTATGAATTGAACATTTAGAATTCGATTGAAATATCAACAATGTGTATTTATTCAACAATACGTTCTATTGCAGAGACAATGAACAATTTTGATGCCAATTTTGTATGATAATAATCTTGGATTTTCTTTTTACCTTTCAGAACTTGGAGAAAACACAATCAGATGTTTAAATATTAGCCATCGTTTTACTAAGGTGATCAATCGCTCTGGCTTTCAAGATATTACTATGATTTCCGAAGACGTCGAAGTGCCCGTCAAATCAATCCTATCTGTTTGTACAACAATAACGCAAACATTGAACGTGTTACAGTCTTGCTCACTCGGTGTCAGGTTTTTGGACAGAGGATCTTTGTATGTTGGTGTCAAAAATAACAAAGTATGCACTTTATATTAAACTTTTTTCTCATTCAGTTTGTTTACATAAATACTTCACTTGCATGGTTTAATCATTTTATTGTTTCAGCTGCTTTATTAATATTTATCATTAACGTAATAATAATCTGCTTTCATAAAATCAAGAACATCAGAAGAAAACAATATAAAAATATGTGAAACTAAACAATATTTGAATGCCGTCACATAGCAATAAAGAACATTTTTTTAGCGATTCATGCAAAAACATAACATCAGTTTCGCAAGTACAGTAGCGTAGCAAGAAGTAGTTACCGCATTGAATTAAGTCAGATTTAGGAATCAATAAAATAATTAAAAGTCTTCATTTGGACTTAAATGTATTCCAAAAGAATTGGTTATTGGTTAGAATTGGAACTAGAAAGTATCAATGATATTTTTTCAAGTTTCAAGTTTTATCAGTACTTTATAAGCACATTTAGACCCGGAAATGTTTTTGTTTCCCTTAAGAAAGGACAAACACAAAAGTCATACCCTCTAGATAATGGTCTAGGAGCATTTTAGATGCGTATCACTTGAAAAAAGCGCTGAATGTGATTTTACTTATTATAAAAGTACCAAACTTGTTACAAAGTAGTATTTTGAATTCCAAACATTATATTGAATCACTTTAACTGTACGAATTACCAAAAGGGCAAAAACAAGGAGCAAAATTTAATTAGACAGAAAACATTATGAAAGGACACCAAAAATGTTTTTATGACTTGCAAAGACAATTATACAACTTGCATCATCATGTACGAATGGTCAGCTTTTGATGAAATATATCGAGGGTTGTTGCAAAGCGGGTGTAGCTCGTTGGCCATAAATTAAGAGATACAGCTATTTTGAACGAAGTTCCTAACATGCAACTTATCATTTATTTTAGCACTTTTTAGTGTTGAAAATTAAGTACCGCTTAAGCCGGTGCCTCAAGGATGTTACACTTTTTCAATATCATGTACATACTCACTCAAACCGAGACTGCAATTCTTATGTGATTTTGTTGAGATTGATGCTTCCGGGGGACCACTCATTTTCCAGATGTTTTTTATACTGTTTCAGCTGGCGGGATCAGTGAGAATCAAAGCTGTGCCGTTTATTTCCTATAAACCGGAAGATCAAATGGAGAGGATTAAACATCTAGGGATAATGATGAAAGGACTGTTAGCCGCAAGAGAAAATTACAAGCGCTTTCTTGAACTAGTTGTGTAAACACAAGGGGCATATTATTACCGTAAGGAGGTAGGGGACATATCCGAATGATGACCCCGACGAGGGGGCATATATTTACTTAAAGGGGGCGGGCCATATCCAAATGATGGCCCAGGCCTTTTCTATATAACTCAGACATGGTGTTTTGAAGGTACTGAAACTTTACTCTGTTATGGTAATTATATTTTGTGTAGGATATAAGAAGTATTTTTTGCGTTTTTATGCGAAACTTAGCAATTTGGTAGCTTTGTATGTGACAGTTTTTAAGGAATTCTGGAATATGTTGTACCTTCAAAAGGATTTCCCATATTGATTTATTTTAGGTGTAACTTTTGCAGGGTTTCGGTTAAATATTATTTGTTGTCAGTCATTATTTTAGGAGCAATTCATGTAAACTATTATTTTCTTCAATGTATGCCATATATCCTTAAATAATGCTGTGCAAATGCTTATTTGCCGGTGAAACAAATTTTGAAGTAATTGGAATTGTGTTTCTGACCACACTGAAATACAGAATCGTTCATTTTTAGGTCCCCTGCCCCTTATAGAGTGTTTTTGTTTGTGCGGATCAAACATCTGGGGATGATGATGACAAATCTGGTCTGTTAGCTGCAAGAGAAAATCAACAGCGATTTATTGAACAAGATATGTAATTAAGGGGGTGGGGGGGGGAATAATTTTACTATAAAGTGTTTTTGTTTAAATTGATAGTTGATCTATGTTTGTTTTAATTATATAAATCAAAAGCAGAATTTATTTTGAAAACTATGTTAAGAGTAGGTTTTTGTTTAAACTAATTTGAGTTTTAGGAGTGTTGTAACTGTACATGTGTATTAAGCGTAAGGTTTAATTGCTTATTTTCCACTTTTGACTTCTGAATGTTTATTTTATTTATTACATTTATCATATTTTACCTATTGACATTTTTTTTTATTTATCGTGATCTTGATAGATACGTTAACTGAAGAAGCTGATTTTCAAGAGCAAGACATATTTGGACATTCTCAAAATTTGTGTCGTTTTTTAATTAATTGATTGAATATATAAATTACAAAAATTAATATTTTGCGGAAACATTAACACGAATTTTCACTTGTTATGCTCACGGGGGAGGAAGTGTTACACGAAGGATGGAGTTCTTATGATAACTTGTTCGGGAGTTCTTGTGATAACTGTCGGAAAACATCTGTTTATACTACAAAAACACTCCACAAAAGTGGTTATTTTCATCGTTCAAAAATGAGTTTTAGGTTTTAAATTAAACTTTAATTATTAAGCTTGTCTTACATCTTGTATTATGTGTCAAAAACTTATTCACAGGCCATTTTTCATCGTCTCTTGCTTCAAAATCTGGTAGTTTTCAGTTAAATTTCCAAATTACTTGCCAAAGCACAAGTTTTGACTTGTTTATTTCTGGTTTTCATCCTTGCCATACATAATAACCTAATTATAATGCAAAATTCCAAACATAAAGCACCGGCTAATAGATTTATACCCGATTTTTCAAATGTTCCGGAGTTCTTGTGATAACTCTGAAGATGTCACAGAGTTCTTATGATAACTTTTGTTATTGCCGGTGTGTTTCTTGCGCTAAATCAAGAAATATACATATACAATATTTCGGATTTTAATTGTTTTCTTTTTTAAATTAAATTAGAGTAGGACTACCTTATATATTTATTTCATATTGTGATTGAAGTATTAGATTATTTATTGGCTAGTGTCATTGAAGTTTAAAATGTATCTTTTAGATTTATATATTGTGAGCTTTTTTAGTGATTTATTATGTATTGTGATTTAAGTCTTGACATTTATATTACTTGTTTTTTTACGTCTTTAAAAAATTATCATATTGTTATTTAAGTCTTAAACTATTTACTGCCTTTTTGTGATTTAAGTCTTAAAATTATCTGTTATATTTACATAATAGGAATGATTAAGTATTTTAATGATTTATTATATATTGTGATTTAAGTCTTAACATTCTTTTTTAATTAATTTGAAATAAGTCTTAACATTTTATATTTTACAATTGTGATTTAAGTCTTTAAATCATTTATTTTATAAAACGCACTTGGTCTTATTGTCTTCATTACATATGATAATTAAATTCTTAAAATTTCCTATTTCCTATTAAACTGTCATTTCAAATATCTCATAATTTTATTTAAAAATACTTATATAAGATATTTGATAAAAAACTGAAGATATATATTAAAAATTAAAAGTCTTAAGTCAATTCAAGTCTTAAAATTGTTTATTACAATTATTTCATATAATGTGGTGGAAATTTTAAAAATACTTTTTTTATATTGTCAGTTTAGTCTTAATATTATAAATTACATTTTGTAATTTCAGTCTTAAAATTACATATAACATGTTCTGTTGTAATTTCAGTCTTAATTGTTTATGACATATTATAATTTCTGTCTTAAAATTACATATATCATGTTGTGATTTCAGTCTTAATTGTTTATTACAATACAAATGTCATATGGTGGTTGTGTTGGTAGTTTTCACTCCGGTACTCGGCAGTGCCCCAAAATGAATTTACCAGAACACAGTTCAGCGACCGCATTGTTCCTGAGCAGGCTTGTCAAGTTTGCCACAACTAGTCGCCTTCACTTTCTCAAGGAACGGATAACTTCTGAACATGCCAGAGCAAAGGTACAGTGCTATGACCGCAGAAGGGATTTCATGATCACTCACAACGAAAGTTACCTGCACTGTTGGGAAATCGAACCAATCAAATCACATGTATGTATGTATGTATGTATGTATGTATGTATGTATGTATGTATGTATGTATTCTAGCCTAATTGAGGGTACATCCGCCCTTTAAGGCACTGAGAGTACGGACCACGGACATGTCACCATTGATGATGTAATATTTTAACCAATAAGCATATTTAGATCATCTCTTTTTAAGGGTTTGCATTATACAATTATCAGGGCCTTTCAGTTCTATAGCAGGGACCTTTTTTAGGTAACCTCAAGTTTACTTCTTTCACATCTGAAAAACCTTTGTTAATTCTTATTTTGACTCAAATTTAAGAGAAGGACATCTTCCCCTTCATGTGAAAAAATCCTGTTATGCAACATGATTCATATAAATATGAAGTGAAAATTCTACAAGAAAGGTAAGTACTTAACATCGTTGCATTTCGGAAATAATTTTCTTAGAAAATGTAAAAACGTATATGATAAAATGTGCACCCGAAAATGTATCAAAAGCCATCATTTAGTATTCAATGAAAGAGTAACATTTAACACTTTTGCATGTGATATATTGACTGACATTTTCTAGGAAATTGTAGATACGGGCTTCAGAAACCTCCACTTTGTGTTAATTTCTTTTTCAGAGATTGGCTATAATATAAAATCCTAATCTGATTTTTTTTTTGAAAAAAATATATAGACGTATTCTAACATATACACCTAAAATGAAGCCACTTTTCAGCATGCAGATTTCATTTTTATGCTTTCTTAAGAATATTAAATATCTCGTAAGTGTCTTGGATATTTGTTTCTTTTGAATTTTTCCATATTAACAAATATGTCAGTCCTGTGAGCAGCCGACAATTTCAGTGAAAATACAGGTAATCTTTGAAGTCATTAAAAAAATCTATCGCCTTGTCTATCTCTACTTTGATGTTTCGGGAATTTTATTCTCCTATAGAAAATTTTCATCTTTAGCACGAAAACTTAATTTTGGGTTAGATTTCGGAACCATTTCTCATAATGTAAGCCTATGGGAAAATCAATACTGTAGTCTGACCAAATATATGGGATTAAAAATAAAATGTCAGACCTGGGCACATAATAAATCAAGGATCATTACAATTATGAATGCATTCAATCTTCCTCAATAATAGCTACATCCGGGTTTATCTAAATTAAATATCTAATGAGTTATAAAAGATAACATTTTAATGTCCTGTTTGTATGTACGTAATACCATTCCATTACTATGTACTGTATTCAGTGTATTGATTTAAACGATGAACTTTTGTTTCAATAATTTATTCGATTTATGCATGTCAGCATGAACAATATAGCCTCACAATACTTAATTGTACATATTATGCCCTTGAATCATTGAACCTAATGATAACTTTCCTTACTGTATCGCAAAATTTCACCGATTTCAACCTAGCAGACGATAATAAATCATTATTTTTTTTAAAGACCACCAATTCGGATAATACGAAAAGATATTCAAAGGATATTCTGAGCCAGTAAAGAATATCGGAAACATGAAAAAGATAATCGATTGTACGCAATGCACTTAACGCCAATTTAAATAACTATATACTGTTAATTAACTCAAGCGTATCCTTGTTCATACTACTATCTACTATAACTGTTATGTAGGATATTTACCAATGTTTACATCTGCCTTACTTATCCTGTGTGGTATATGTAGTGTAATATGGATTGAAAGTTGTCCATTTTGCGGTGTTTATAAGTGTTATTTATTCAGGGAAAAAAGGATTTAAAATGAGCGAAAAGGAACGCTTACTAGGACTAGGTCCTGAGGAAGCTCCAGAGTACGGGGCTTCGGATTCTAGAGTAAACACCGCCCATAGGACGAGTTACGACGTGATAGGTATCCCGAGGGGTCCGCCTATACAAGTAGAGGAACTTACGTTTGAAATAGCGCCTCATCAAGTGCATATACCTACGTCACAAGCAGACACACACGTGAGTATGAATATTGTTATTATATATTACCCAAAGAAATTAGAAACGTATCCCCCACTCCCGCTGATATCGATTTATGTAAAATGTTAATATTGATTCATTTTGCCGATTCAGTCAATCTTACCATTTAATATATATACCGTCTGCACTTTTTGAAACTTATCCAATTCAACTGTTTAATGCATAACCTCATAGGGCTTCTCTCGAGGGAACCCTCTGTGATTCAACATATTCAATATTCTTAATAAAGGAATATATAGATTTTAAACCAGATAACAATATTATGCGACATATATAGTTAGAATTTATTAAAATCGTTTCAAAAGCGTTACAAACGGTTTACATCTTTTCGCCTTAATGAGCAGATCAGTATGTTTATGTATCAATAAGTAAGAAGGAATTCATATGCCTATACCCAATGTTGTGTAAAATATGTATTTCTTTTTTGTGTAGACTTTTTGTCTCAGTTATTCTTTCCTGTAATCACGCCCGTGTGAAAGTAAGTTACTTTAACAACATGCGAAGAAAACAATCCGAGCATAAGTAACATTCAATTCTTCCATTTCATTTGTTATTGTAGGAAAAACAAAACAGTAATATTGATCGATCTTAAAGTGTTATGTATAACATTAAAGACAATTCAAGAACAAATAAACCTAAATTATAAATCCTGATAATAATAAATAATTGGGATTTAATACAAAATAATCAAATCAAACATCACTCCGCGGCACATAGTCGCATAAACAACTTACTTGTAATCAAGTAAATAAATAAATAAATAAATAAATAAATAAATAAATAAATAAATAAATAAATAAAGAATGAATGAATGAATGAATGAATGAATGAATGAATGAATGAATAGAAAGAAAGAATGAATGAATGAATGAATGAATGAATGAATGAATGAATGAATGCAAGCAAGCAAGAAGAAAGAAAGAACAAACAAAGTAATATTTTCTTCTGGTTAGCAAAAAATGGAACAAATATAAATAATGTACGTTTTAACTGTTGGTTTTATTTAACGAAAGTACATGTTTTTTTTAAACATGTTGGACTATCGACATACATTTTAATTTTGATATATAATAATTACATTTTGATAACACGATAATTAATTTAATTTTATCAAAATATCTCATATTTACTCACCGCAAAGCATTGTTAATGTTGACCTGATATAAAATTTACTGAGATAATAAGAACTGGGTCAGTAAAACAATTATGTCACAATGAGATGTTTGGAAAGTGTGTTAGGATATGTGGGGATTGAATCTTCAAGAGTTATAAAACTTTCAACATTCAATTTGTGCAAGACAGACAAACAGAAAGACAGACAGACTGGCAATTTATTTCACTCAAATAAGGCTTATAATTATTCGAGTGAAATATAAGATCAGTATATATTTGGTAGTATCGGTGTTTCAATGTATCCTTCCAACACGTCCGTGGCCGAGTGGTAAAGGGCGTTGACTTCAAACCACTTGTCCCTTGCCCGCTGTGGGTTCGAATCCCGACAGGGACTTTGGATTCTTTCATGTGAGCTGGCTTAAGGAACGTCGGTGGCTCTACTCTGGTGTCCGAGTTCGTGCCTGAAATAATGCACGGAAGGGCACCTGAGGTCTTCCTCCACCAGTAAAGCTTTAAACCTTTTCTGTGTCGGTATGACGTAAAACCTTATAAAAATATCAAACTTTCATCAAAATTTATCCTCCCTGGAATGCTTCATAATTAGAGGTACAATAGGCAATAGACCTTACTGTAGTGGTTCAGAATATATATTTATGACAATGCAACACGTGATTTGAAATTTAAATCGTGATAATGCTACAATAAACTATTATTTATGCTATCTATAGCTCGATCATATATCATAAAATTATTTCCTTATTTCATAATAGCTATACTGTATTAGATAGAGTATATAATACACGTATTTCCGTTAAGTATTTCGTTTAGCAACCTAACTTGATTATTTTACTTCTCATTATCAATCTAAGTCAGGTTATGTAATTTTATTTTTCATTTGATAATCTATTATTAATTAGGCCGACCACTATTATAATAAAGTGGTAGGATTTTTTTTTATCACGCCACTATTTTATATGTCATACGGCCACTTTAAAGCTGAGATGCCTCTCCGCGTTACGACAAGTCCCCCACCTCATTTAAGTTAGCATGGTTGCTTATTACTCACACAAAAAGTCATAGTCACTTGTGTTATTGAAGGACACATCGGTGTGACGCAAGCAATTTAAATTGAAGTCAGTGATCTTAACCGCACCAACATGAGGCTCCTTATAAAATTTTAACCTTGAATACGATACAACAAAACAAGTAACCAACCTCAGGTAGTCTAGTACTGGTGTAACTCTCCAGGAACGATAGTTAGGAAACCGACCGCCTATATGACTGAAATACTGTTGGGAAAAGGCGTTAAATGAAACAAACAAACAAAACCAACCTTATAACTTACGAGAATATGCAGAGTGACTCCGGTGTGTACTTGAACTATTCTTTTTTGTACCACTTAAACCTATAACTCAATATTCCTACAATTAGGAAGCAGTTATTAAAAGGCTTAAATTTGCAGAATGTTATATAACTATCAAAAAAAATAATAATACATGACAGAAGAATACTTTTTTGTTTACAGTAGATAGAAATGTACAGTGGCACAAAGGTGACATGTTAGTGTGTTTTTTATCTAGTGCCCACGAGATACTATGTCGTGGTCACGAGTTAGTAACGACTTGGTATATCGTGCCCACAACTGAAATATTTTGTGGCCATGACTTAGTAACTCGTGCCCACGACATAGTATCTCGTTACCACGACTTAACTTTCTCGTGGCCACGACTTAGTAAATAGTGGTCACGACATTGTATCTCGTGCGCACGAGATAAATGAAAGCACACACATGTCACCTTTGAGCCACCGTAGAAATGACACTTATTTTATACAATGAAAAATGACACTCATGAAATTCAAGCTGGCAAATGACAAAAAGACTAACAGTCCAAATATTATAGATATTAATCTTTACCTTTCTGCACGTTAATAATCATAGCTTTTGTCACCAGTTAGGAACTAGATCAGTCTGCAACTCCGGGCAGTTTGGCCAGGCTCTATACTCCTGGCTGACAAACTTTAAATTTTGAATTTGATATCCCAAACAATTGATTAAGAACAGTTCTAAAAATTGAAGCTAGTCAAGTGCATTTTGGAAAATCAGTCAGTAAGGGGTTACTTGATTTTATTTCCCTAAATATTTTTGATTTGTTATGTACATATCGTCACTGAGGGCAAATAATACGTGCGAACTAGTAATTCGTACTTAAAATAGACATTGACCGACACGTCATAAAGTTAGAAATGGTGTTGATGGTATGGTGGTGGTGTTTGGGGAGGGGGCGTGGGCGATGAGTGGACGTTGATGCCTCCACCTTTATTGAAGGGCAGTAAACCACTGCACTAGACAGGGAAGGTTTACTTTAGCGTATTACTCGTTGCAGGACGTTGAAACATAGCCTTGCACAGTTAGGAACGCTTCTATGTCTGCAGCCCGGGCAGTCTTAGACTCTATATCTGTCTAACTAACTTTAAATTGAATGTGATATCCCATGATTGACGTTCTAAAGTTAAAGCTGGTCAAATATAACCCAATTAAAAGACATATAAACATTTAAAAATGATGCTTTTAATACCTTATAAACAGTATATAAAAAGCAGTTATCAATGTGTATGGAGCTAGAACTACGTCCACACAGCACCATCCAGATCATCACAAAAGAAAAGTACATTACATTGTCTTTCCATTTGATGAAAATATAAATAAAAATATTTTGCAACAAAGCAATGCATTTAAAATAGGCCCCGAAGTTTTAAGCTAATGCACGTGAATGTGTTAATAACTTGCATTTTATGGAGAACCTGCAAACTAGATAGTGCCGTTCCGCAAGAAATCATGTTTCTTGTTCAAAACTATATAAGGCTTTGCAGCCGAATAAAATATAATGTAAAAAACATCAAATCTCGTCTCGGAAAAGGTAGTATTACACTTTTTATTATTAAAATGATAATTTATAGATTCAGTATATGATTGACAAGCTGAAGAGGACAATGCGCATTTAGATAAAGATGTCTTGTGGACAATGTCCAATTATAATAATTATAATACATTATAATATATGATTAATATATACAAATAACTACTTGATATGTACAATGACCCATCGGTACAAACGCACTAAAATATACTATCTACATCACGTGGTCAATGATTGTGCTGTCAACAATAGTTTCATTGTGAATACACTATAACAGTGGTCCAAAGTCTTTATTTTGGATAAATATGATCATTACCACTCTACTATAGGATGTACTTTAAACACCACGATCCCCTCATATTTGCTTACGTCTAAAGTACTTTGAGTTCGTGTGAATCATATGTCACAGGGTGACCAAGACTTGAACCCGGGACCGAGGAAATACCGCTCCGCCGCTCCATGGACTGAGCTTTCTGGCTGCTTACACAATTTTCCCTCTAAATACCGTACAGTCAACCTTGTCGTGCTGCCCCGCTACATTGAAACTCGTCATCGAATTTGTATGGTGGCTGATTTGGTACACTTTGCGCGTTGCGTTGTCAATAGCAACAACACAACCTATATCGCTATCGCCTTTTTGTCTTGTCGCTAGCGAAGCACGCCAAACGGCGCCTTTTTGCACTGTCGTCTTGTCGTCCTGTCCAAAGCACGCCAAACGCCGCGTTGTCGTGCGGCGAGTTGTTCCTATGTCGCTTGGTTTATAAGCAAATCCTTCGATTTGAGCGGTGCGACAATGTAACATCGCGATTACACGCCGCACGACAATGTGCCGTTCGGCATGCATTGTTAGCGACAGGACGACATACGAAAGTCCGACAAATAGCCGTTTGGCGCTTTGTCGTGCTGTCGCTAGCGACAACAAGACGCACAAAAGCGTTCCAAATCAGCCACCGTACATTTTGCAATGTGAATGAAACTCTGTGCTGTATTCAGTCTCCTCCCCACCCGTTAGGATACACCATATGTCACTGGGTAAAAAGTTAAACTTAAACCCAGGACCCTCAGAATTCCGTCCGTTGCTCTACTGACTGTGCGGTCTGACCTGGACTCAAGCCCGGGATCCTAGGAATTCTGTTCCGCTGCTCTACCGACTGAGCTATCCTGCCGCTTACACATTTTCTCCCCTGAATAGTGCAATTCTGAATCGCGATACATGGATTAAGGCTCGTATTATTTTGAGTAACTTCGTCTCTTCTTGTGTCGAATATATGTTTGTAAAGCGCTTACTTGACAATATTTCAGATTGCTTCTTGTCTAAAAGACGTTGTTTTGATTGTTTAAGACATTGCTTATGGCGGAAAAAGGCCGAATATTACAAAATGATGGCGAATTTATTATCTTTAGTCGATATAGGCTGCAATCCGAATTGTAAACATTACATTTAATAGATAAGTCAGCGATGACCGGGCTACTTTAATGAAAAACTGACCCTTTTGCCCATCTGGTTACGTCATGTAATGATTGGCCGTATGTGTACAACCGTATCATTCTGAAATTGACGTGTTATGATATTTAAAGTATCTTTAATAGTTAACAAAAGAAATAATATTAAAGAAAAATAAATAAATAAATGCGTTAATTTATTTACTTATAACAAATATATGTGATTTAGATGTCCACCAAAGAGATCCTTATTTATAAAATAATGATAATGTCGCTGAATCGATTTGATTGTTCCCTCATTAGCTACTACTGGTGTATTTAAATATTGAAAATATTTATATAAACATAGAAAAAATAGGATTTTTTTTTTAAATATTAAATACAATTTTAGTCTTTTTTCTTAATTTAAAATACGTGTTAATTAGAATTCATTTACCAGCCGAGAACACAATCTGATTAAAATCAGCTCCTTAATAACGCTACGCATTAGGGAATAACAGATTTGAACTTTAGTCAGATTGAGGGAAACGATGAATAACATTACATGTTTAAACTAGTGCATACTACTTTGGTCAAATGACAGTGGACAATTCATTTGAACGGATTGTTTTTGTATAATATGACAGTGAAATAAACGGATATTAATATAGTATTGTAATGGACTTATCGAGCTTAAAGGATAATGAAGTAGTTCTTTCTAATATAAGTGAAGAGGTTGATCACGTGACGGAACATGAGGCTAGGAAAGTGTCACGTGATGATAAACCTGTCCTTATAGAAATACCAGCCAGTGAAAGAGTGAGTTACGCACGATTATACGTTTTGGCAGAGATATAGATAACAGAGTATATACTCCATTGAAATATCACTCATGCCTATCAAAAAAGTGAAAAATTAGGCATTTTGTAGCAAATAAAACTTAATGGATGTACATTTGATCCTTTTCTGTTATACACCATTTAAAGTTAAATCTTTTATCTATTGCTGTATGTTAAAATATTGGTAACTTTCCTTGCATTTCACTAAGAAAAACATAGCAGAACTGAGCAAGTTTTTTCGTCATACGAATAGTTATTAACAAAAATTAATAAGTAGTTTCCTTTAAAAATTGACGTTTCATTTATTTAAATGGGAACTGTAAATATTTTTACCTGCAGCCATAGAAAATTGCATAAGCTTTCAGAAAATGTATTATTTTAATGATTTTGATATCTGGTTAATAAGTTTTACTTGCTACAAGTTTTAAGTTGAACAAGCACGTGTGATATCTGAACTGGCTAGGAAGTTGCCTATCTCTGTTATCTATGTCTCTGGTTTTGGAGAACACGTTTTTCAAAGATGTTTTCCTTTTATTTTAAATGTCTGCATGAAAAATATGTCTTTTAAATAAATAAATAAAAAAAAAATAATAAACAAACAAATAAATAAATAAATAAATAAATAAATAAATAAATAAATAAATAAATAAATAAATAAATGCAATATTTAAGCTATATTTAAAAAATTACCATAATCATCAACTATTTATTAAATGTTTAAGAAATAAACAAGTAAGAGTGCAGATCGTCAATATCATAATCATGTTTATATAAGGGGTCAGAAATGATTACATGCTTATACAAAGGGGTCGAAATTATTATATTTTATATATAATTTACCTGTTCTCTTGTTTAACGTTAACTTTCAAGAAACATATTTCAGCATTGCTTTTATAGCACTTGCTGTAGTCTGTAAAATATGCATGATATTGCATCCTGATAGAATTTATATTGAACTATCTCATTGGTGGTAGATTGGAAGTTTATCTTTGGGGTCACGGTATTAAGCCATTTTGAATTCACCAGAGCACAGTTCATCCATCGTATTGTTCCTGGGCAAGCTGTCTACTAGTGCCTCCACGTTCACTAGGAACTGTTAACTTCTGTACATGCCAGAGTAGAGGTACAGTGCGAATGAGCGTAGAAAAGATTTCATGATCAATCACAACGAAGGTGACCTGCATCATTCGGAAATCGAACCCGGGCCGCCCGATTCACATCCCAACGCTCTGTCTGTTAAGCCAACCGAACAGTTTGAAGTATCTCAATGCAAACGAAAGCATGATTATTTTGTATTTACAAACAAGCGGGTGGCGCATGCGCGAAATTATTGTTTAAATATTCTTGAATATTTTGTAACGGTGTTCATTTTATTCCGGTTTCATATTTAATTCTTGTACAAGGAACAACAGGAACACCCCTCCCACCAAGTGTGACTGAAACAAACTTAAAGTACAGTAGAAAACCTAATAAATCCACCCCGCAAGTAAGACCAGCTTGGTTAAGACCCATTAGTTGTCTTAATAGAGGAGGGATTTTACTGTACACTTTTTGAACCTTAACAGTAATGTTTACAGTTATACCTTTTTTTACATCCTTTAAATATCATTATACGCGGTTTGTTTCAGACTGGGTTCAGTTTTAGGAAGTTATGGGCGTTCACTGGTCCTGGATTTTTAATGAGTATAGCATACCTGGATCCTGGGAACATAGAATCAGATCTACAAGCTGGGGCCATAGCAAAATACAAGGTAACTAGAACAACGACACCTTTGCCTATCTTGTAAAACGATTGTATATTCAACTTTTATTACATTGTATTACAACACTTCCTTATATGCGCATATGAATGAAAAGAAATAAAAAAATAAAAATGCTTTTAATTAGGTCGATGCTAGCGAAGGTAAAGGATGTCCAGTTTTCTACAGATCACTGTTTTATATACCCTTTTGACTCCATAAAATGATTTCAGTAAAGTTAAAATTAAGTTAATGATAATGGGGCGTCCGTGGCCGAGTGGTTAAGGCCGTTGACTTCAAATCACTTGCCCCTCACCGCTGTGGGTTCGAATCCCGACAGGGACTTTGGATTCTTTCATGTGAGGAAGCTATCGGTGGTTCTACTCAGGTACCCGTTCGTGCCTGAAATAATGCACGGAAGGGCACCTGAGGTCTTCCTCCACCAGTAAAGCTGGAACGTCGCCAAATGACCTATACTGTGTCGGTGTAACGTAAAACCCAATCACAAAAAAAGGTCGATCAAAAGAATCTGAAAGTTCGATCTCAATTGGACATCAACAATTCACATAACAGTTCGTATGATGTACATGCATATAGTAGCTCATTCTTATATTGAGCCTGGACCAGTAGTATACAAGTTGTCGTTTGAAATAGTATGCAGTTCCATGCACGTTTCTGGTTTGTACTGGTGGAAAGAAATTAACTAAAGCGCTCTCTAGTCAATATGTTTAAGGACAAACCAACCAACCAAATTGACATCCGTTTTACCATTATTCTGTCACAATTCTTCAAAGCAAACATCTAAGTCCATTTAAAAATGGAATGACAAATGACCATGCTCATTTTTTCACACAATCGAACAAATCCATTTATGAAATCTGTTATATATATGTTAAGATATCTTTTAAAACATTAACTGTTTACATTACTATTTCAGTTGCTATGGGTATTGATGGTATCTACGATTTTGGGACTGGTATTGCAGTTGCTAGCGGCAAGACTGGGTTGCGTCACTGGAATGAATTTAGCCGAGGTATGCCGACTAGAGTTTCCAAAAGTCCCTAGACTGGTATTATGGATCATGATGGAGATTGCTATCATTGGCAGTGATATTCAGGAAGTTGTTGGATCAGCTATTGCAATAAATCTCTTGTCGGCTGGAAAGTAAGTGTCTGTTTGTATAATTGGTGTCCCAGCAAAAGCTGGCAGCTTGATGCACTTGTTTGTACCGCAGTAATAGCGAGGGCAATATATATTAGTGAGAGTATTCTTTTTATTTTCAATTTCATTTTATCATGATCTTTTATTAAAATCATTAGTTTTAGCATGGCTATAATAGTTATATATTAAAAGTAGAGCTACCCTTCTTATCCCGGGGTAAGGGTCACACTTTTAAGATTTTAATGTTACCCTTCTTTTCTTCTATATCATTTGAGGTATTGCTTAGTTGCTGAAAGTCGTCATTCCCACTTCAACTCATGAAGACATAACTATGTCATGAATTATGACAACATTATGCTCCTTCCTTTTACATTGTATTTCGGTTACGGTTACGTTTCTATTTTCCTATACTGTATGAAGAAATGCTTTGAAACTTTGGATACTTGTTAGTGACAACAAATTCACTTCTATGTATATTTTTTTCTGGGTTTCATGATCTTATTTCCAACATGTCGCTTATGTTTTCAGAGTACCTATATGGGCAGGAGTTTTGATAACAGGGGCGGATACTTTCACATTCCTTTTCCTAGAAAATTACGGATTAAGAAAATTGGAGGCGTTCTTTGGTGTTCTTATAACCACGATGGCCTTGACCTTTATGTATATAGTAAGTGAAATATACAGTTAATTTACGTACTTATTCTTTTCTGGAGAAGCTTGATCATGTCTGTTGTTTTTATTATTGTCAAACGGCGCATATTCAACGTATAAGTGGGACATCAATACGACATGGTATGTTCATTTATTTTTTGTCTTTTCAATTTGAATGGTAGATACCACTTGCCCCTCACCGCTGTTGGTTCGAATCCCGACAGGGACTTTGGATTCTTTTATATATCAAGAAATTATCTAACTAGCTCACGGAACGTCAGGGATTATATATGTACTCAGGTGCCCGTTCTTACCTGAAATTATGAACAGACAATGTCCTAAGGTCTTTCTCAACCAGTACAGCAGGAACGCCCCTATATGATCTATACTGTGTCCGTGTGACATAAAACCCAATCAAGTAAACACATGCTAGGTACCCAGCAAACATAATATATACGATCCATATGCATAAAAAATGTTGCTGAAATTTCGTGAACAAAATACGTTTAAATTATTCATACAATCTTAAATTTGTTCGGTACTTTTCTGTAAAATATGACACTTATATGTTGTTTTTCAGTATATAACGGTTGTTCCAAACCAAGTGAGTATATTAGAAGGGTTATTTATACCATGGTGTGAAGACTGCAATAGAGACGAAATTCAACAGCTAGTTGGAATAGTAGGGGCTGTCATCATGCCGCATAATATATACCTTCACAGCGCCCTTGTTTTGGTAATAAAATATGTTTTTATTGGATTTAATTCACTGAAGTGTTGGAGCAGTAAATCAAGACGCTTGCAGAAATCATGATCACACAAAGCAGAAAAATATCGCTTTGAATTTTTCGCCGATTCTTACAAACCTAGATTTTAGCATGAAAGCGCACTGTCCGGTATATATCGGAATACGGTATTTAGTGTGGTGCTCCAACACTTTTTAAGTCTCGCTCTATTCTGTTTGATTATTGCATAATGTATGTGGTTTTATTGTTAAATATTGCACATTATGTTTATAATAGACATATGTGCATGTATGTCAAGACCATCGTTAATTTGTCATTTGACTGGGACAACCGGAAGTTAAAGATATTTGAGCCGCGTCACGACAAAACCAACATAATGGGTTTGCGACCAGCATGGATCCAGACCAGCCTGCGCATTCGCGCAGTCTGATCAGGATCCATGCTGTTCGCTTACAAATCTATAACAAGTAGAGAAACTAATAGCGAACAGCATGGATCCTGATCAGACTGCGCGGATGCGCAGGCTGGTCTGGATCCATGCTGGTCGCAAACCCATTATGTTGGTTTTGTCGTGACGCGGCTCATTTCTATTTAACGGCAGATTAAGCCTCAGAAAATGAATAAATTGTTACTACTTTAGCAAGGGGATCCATGACCTTTTTAACATTAAAATAATGATTTTAGAGCAAGTGAGATTCTTGTTACCTGAAGGAAGAAGCACTACATGTGAAATGTTTTATCACAAAAAATAGCTAAATGTAAACAAAGTAGTATTTTGCCTTCCATACATAATACTGAATCACTATAATTGTACAAATTACCTATGAGCGACAGAAGAAAAAGAATGGTTTAGGTAATTGGTAATAGGTAACTTTGCAGAAACTATAGAAGTGCAAAAAAGCTTTGTAAAAAACCTTAAGCACTTCTTGGACATTTACGTAATGAGATATAATATGCTTGGATTACTTTATGAAGTTATTTATATAATTATTGAATATACATTGTGCACAATGCGTTTTTTTTTAATAATAAAGGGTAATAATTCAGATGCCAGTTGTATAAAAATGTATAATTATTTTAGCATGTTTTGCTCAACTACTTCAAATATGTTCGAAATTTGGCCAGTCAACCATATGCATACGGATAGACATGAGACTATTAAAATAAAATGTTCATACTCATTTTATGATCATGACTTGCTTTATTACATCACAGCCTGCGTAACAATAGATCATAGAGAATGTCTACATTGTGTGTGTCTGTCCATACTTGCAGTATATTGTAATATGTTAATGTATATAATGTAAAAATGATTTTAAATATTTCAGTCAAGGGAGATAGACAGGCGAGATAAGACAGCTGTTAAAGAAGCAAACATGTATTATTCAATTGAATCAGGTATGAAAGAATTCAAACATATATTCTAATATAATAAAATAAACTAATACCAACATTATCTGTAAAAATTAGCATTCTCTTTATTATCCCCCCAAATCCCGCCAGATACGTTGTATTATTTCGTTGCAATGTATAATGTAAGGAACCTAACCATTAAGTTAAGAGAAACGGTGGCCTAGTGGTTAAGGTGTCTGCCTCTCAACCGATGGATCATGGGTTCGAGCCCTAATCGGGTCCCGACCATGTTTCTTCATATGACACCAGTACTGATTGGTACCAGGTAGCGGACTCGAAAGTGATTAATATAAGTTGTGAGACCTTGTTTCGAAATCAAGCTTTAATAGATATGTTTAAATTAAAAGGTTTATGGTTCTATGCTTAGGTTTACTTCTGTTTAAAATAATGCGTGGAGTAGCACATCAGGAAGAAAATCAACTTTTCCGTTAAGTCGGGAACATGTTTTTTTCCTTGATGATTTGAAATTCAGAAACTTTAAGTCCAAAGGTCTACCGTCCGTCTGTGTTTGTAGAAGAGGCAACATTTAGTTCAAAAGAGAGCTACATTTCAATTCCTGCAAAGATCAACATTAGAATGTCAATTAAGTAACATGCAAGTTTATGCTGAATAAGCAAAACAATATTTTAGCCATTGCCATGAGTACAGCGTCCAGTCACCTTGTACATTCACGCAACGTTGCCAGGCTCTATACTGTAATAGCGGCTTGTTTATTGTATTTGATATTAGAATTCCTTTAAAACAATATAAGAAACTATTCTAAATTCACAGCTAGGTAAATTCCTTTCACTAATTCAATATTTAATATGTTCGTTTATAATATTTTGCAGGTATAGCTCTGTTTGTGTCTTTCCTTATCAACTTATTTGTGATGGCAGTATTCGCGGAAGCTTTTTCGGGACCGGATTACTCGGATGCCAGTCTCCGAAAAGCTGTGAGTACTGATTTCTGTATATGCATGTAGATAGTAAATTTGTCGGAAAATTTGTTTGTAATGTTTCTAGTTAGCTCGACTATTCGAAGAATATGAGAGCTATTGTAGTCGCCCCGGCGTCGGCGTCGGCGTCGGCGTCAGCGTCCGCGTCGGCGTCTGCGTTGGTTAAAGTTTTTTGTAAAGTCAAATATCTCAATTATTGCTTGAGATATTCAATTGAAACTTACAATACTTATTTATAGTAACAAGGTGCATCAGATTGACAAGTTGGATAACTCTATCTACAATATTGCCAGAATTATGCCCCTTTTTAACTTAGAAATTTTGGTTAAAGTTTTTTATAAAGACAAATATCTCAATTATTGTTTGAGATATTCAATTGAAACTTACAATACTTATTAATAGTAATAAGGTACATCAGATTGACAAGTTGGATAACTCTGCCTACAATATTGACAGAATTATGCCCCTTTTTAACTTAGAAATTTTGGTTAAAGTTTTTTTATAAAGACAAATATCTCAATTATTGTTTGAGATATTCAATTGAAACTTACAATACTTATTAATAGTAATAAGGTACATCAGATTGACAAGTTGGATAACTCTGCGTACAATATTGACAGAATTATGCCCCTTTGAAACTTAGAAATTTTGGTTAAAGTTTTTTTGTAAAGTCAAATATCTCAATTATTGCTTTAATTTACAATACTTTTTTATAGTAACAATGTACATCATTTTGCTAAATTGCATATCTCTGTCTGCAATTTTTGCAGAATTATTTGCCCCTTTGAAACTTAGAGATTTTGGTTAAAGGTTTTCAAAGATATTTACTTGAAACTTTACACATGTACTTAGGGTTATAATTTGAGGGTCATAATTGTATGTCACTGACCAAGTTCCATAACTCTATCTTGCATTAAGGCTGATTCATATCTTCTTTTCTACTTAGTCTCTTGGTTAATGTTTACATGCAAGTTTTACATATCTCAATAACTATTAAAGATATTTATTTAAAACTTCACATATGCATTTAGGGTCAGAATTGTAGGTCACTGACAAAGATCCATAATTCTATCTTGCATTTAGGCTGATTTTTCTTCCCTTTTTCAACTTAAAAAATTCATGGTAAAGTTTTGCTTGTAAGCTGTTATCTCCATAACTACTGAAGGGTTTATGCCTTTTTTGGGACAATTTTATGCATTCGTAATAATAAAGCAGTGATTTACTTGATAAAACATCTTAATAACAAGCCTTTGTACCTAATTTCTGTCAATTTTATGTATTCATAGGTAATTAGTATTATTATACTCAATAAAGCACCCTTGTGACATTACCTTCCAAATATTCAAGGCAATACTGTATAATTAGACTCTCTCTAAGACCTATAACATGAATTTATAAAAAAAAATTAGCCCTTTTGTGAACTTAAAAAATTTAACATTATCAAGGCTCTTTTACTATCAAGCAATTAGAATAGTCGAGCGTGCTGTCCTACCGACAGCTCTTGTTTTAAGAATATAATTTATTATCGCCTCGGTCAATATGATTTTTACCGGTGAATATCATATTATATTCAATGATTCAGTAGTCAATAACTGTATACTGACGAATGATTTTTTTTCAGGGAACCTGGCTGTATGACAAATATGGTTTAACAATGAAAGTTATTTGGGGTATAGGTATACTTGCGGCCGGACAAAGCTCAACTATGACGGTATGTTAAGCAAAACATATTTAAACTTCAAATGTACTTACTGATAATTTCTACATGCTTCAAATCACTTGCCTTTTAACAAGTTAGGGCATGAATCCCGCCAGCGTCTCTGATTTCTTTTTTATATATAAAGGGATTGTCAAGCCGGCTTATCGGAGGTAAATGTATCAACTCAGATGTTTTGTTGTGTTTGATATAATACACGCTTTGCTATTTGACATCATCAATCACCATTCGAGCTTTTAATGTCCCAATATGACGTTGTTGACGGTGTCAATGTGAATAATTTCCATGCCAAAAAAGATAGACAGAAGAGGTATTTTAAATGTTAGGAAACGTGCATTACGTCTCCAATAGCTACATTATGTGAATCTGTTCCTGATTTTAGGTAAAGATTAAAAGCCATTTTACATGTAACACTGCCGATTCATAGTCAATACGTCACAGTTTATATCATATGATGTCATGGAACATATAATTTCAAAGCAGACATATTTTATCGCTTACATTTTCCTGAAATCCATGATATATTTTGCAGGGAACATATGCTGGCCAGTTTGTAATGCAAGGTTTTGTGAACATCCAGTGGCCGAAATGGAGAAGAGTTTTGCTGACCCGATCTATAGCAATGATCCCAACGATTGTCGTTGCTTTACTGGCAACAAAATACCTTGACCTTATGAACAATTGGCTAAATGTGTTACAAAGTGTACAGTTACCATTTGCTCTGTTACCAATACTGCACGCCACAAACAGCGAAAGAATTATGGGGGATTTTAAGAATGGAAAGTAAGTATCAAAATTGATATGTGATATATATCTATAGTTGTTATATTAATAATAATGCATAGAGGATATTCAAGTTTTTTCTATAAATACAGGCTATATTTTCATCGAGTGGTACAAAATTTAATATTTCATGAGTAGCGGTAGCCACAAGTAAAATATGATATTTTTCATACCACAAGATGAAAATTAGTCACGTATTTATAGAAAAAACTTGAATTTTCTTTTTATTATATCATTTTTCTCTTTTTTTGACCTTACAATTTGAAATCCTTTAATGCAAATCTGCAAGACACCAGTGAAAGTACGATAATACTGCTGTGAAAAATATTTTTTTTTTCAGTGAAAAAAAAACAAAAACAAACAAAAACAAGCAACAATAACAACAACAACAACAAACAAACAAACGGAAATGAAATGAAATTGAACGAATTCAATGGACAAACTATAATTTTAAACGCATAATAATTTTAAAGAAATAAATACTAAATCCAGCAAATAAGATATGTTAATATCTTATCGTATGCATGTTTTTCCATTCAATTTGCATTTCAGTGAAAAAAGTATTTTAAATGAATCATTATCTTTGTTACAGGATAATGAAAACTGTGGTATGGGGCCTAGCTGGTCTTGTTATGATTATTAACTTCTATCTTGTTATCCTATTTGTTGTAAGTATATGAATTTAATTTCTTGATAAACAATAAGGTATCCACAAAAGCCTGTACCTGACGGCACGGTGTTAAAGAAACTAAGTATTTAATTTCTTAAACAGCAATAAGGTATACAACACGGCTCGGTGTGAGGGTACACGTTTCCACCTAATGTTTTCGACTTGACATCAATTCTCCTAATTGATATTAACATTTCAGATTTTTTATCCTGTATAAATTGTATATTCCCCAGCAATAATAAACTGAACTTATATACAATTTGAGCTTTACACTGTGAAATTGGGGTAGCATTGAGTATACAAAAATGATATATTTTTGCTGGTTGTTTCAACATTTACTGATACGTCATCTGCTATTTATAAAATATGATACCACCGACAATCATAAATTCTCCCTTAATCATTGTGGTAATCAGATATATATCATATATAATATGTTTGATATGATTAGCGATTTTAATTGTCGTATTGCATTGAAAACGTTATAGTATAGTTTGGGGTATTTTACAATAAGAAAATACTTTTTCTTTCAGGGTAGCGGTGATGCGTGGTATATTTATTTCATCACGGCTATTGTGTTATTCGTCTACAGTTGTTTTGTGTTTTATATTGTAAGTGTTATCACTGTTTAGATATTAAACTGCTAGTATATGTTGCGTATCCATATTAGTACGATCCTAAAGTTTTGCTAAATCTACTGATACGGTACTCCCTTTTGCATTAGCATGTCATTCAGTGGATAATAACTTCAGAATTAGATTTGTTATTGAGCTTGAAAAAAACAAAACTTTATTATATTTTACATGTTATCAATATATTAAAAGTCAAATAGTTATTGACATTTATACATGGAATTCTTATAATATTTTTAGGATTTTTACTTAGTAAAAACACATAATATTTATAATGTGAGATAGTTTGTTTGCTCAGTGCTGAACATTTTGTATTTTCCAATTCAAAAGTAAGAAATTTGTTATCCCTGTCTTTCTTTGTACAGGCTGTAGGACCAAGCAGAGTTCTACAAATAAAGGTAAGATGCTGATCTTGCTAGTTATCATGCATTTAAAATTGTTGTATTAATACGACATTCAATTTTAACTCTTATCAGGGTATTTAAATAGAATTTTGAATGACCTTGCTCTTTTGTTGAGTTTCTCTTATTGATTGGTAAAATGTATAGTTAAATTATTGTTTTTGCGTAGTAATAATTTGCTTGCTAATTTTGTGCTCACCATATAAATAATTTATTTCAAATGACAGTATAACCTGGCTGGGTGGGGAGTCATATCAATATGTTTCCCTCATCCTCGGTAACCCGTACTCGTCGTGTACACACTTCATTCGCATTTTGAATGTAGTTCATCTAAATCACGTGGGTTACGACGATGATTTTCCGTAACTGTACAATACCATAACTGTCCATGACAATAAAACCGAAACAGAAGTTGTGCTAACTGCTTCAAAGAAACACCCGCAACTGACAACTTGTTGGGGAAAAACTCTAAAATCAACCGATACTCGAACTGTTTGTATTTGTTCTTTTAAATTACGTCACTATTTTGACGCCATACGACTGGTTTGGTTTCCATGTAATATTAGATCAATTGCTGTTTGTATTTCAGTTGGCTATATTATCAAGGATCCATAGTGATACAACTCATATAGAGCAAGAAATAGAGCATCGTAAACATCTAGAATATATACCTAAATGTAATGTTGACAATAAAGTAAACGAGCTAATGGAGGGAGACAATATGGCGATCAATCAGGAAGCGGTGTCTCACTAAACTACACGCGAGTTTTTGTAACAGATACTGATGCATTTGGTAGATGTACAAATACTTTGGAAGAAGCATTTGTCAGTGAGGAAAAAAACAGTATTTTGATGTTGAAAACTCGAGTAGCTTATTAAATATGAAACTTATACTGTGATATGCATTAGTTCCAGTTTTCAACTATTTCGAAGTGTGTGATATTTGTTGATAAATTAAATAACTATGGAATGCCGTGTGAAAGCAACACACTGCAATACCAAAGGTTACCAAACGGTAAAAGTAATAAGCATGCCATGACTATTAATTACAAACACACGATGGGAAAGTAATTTATTAGTTTCTTTATATATTGTGCAATATACATTTATATTTGTATATTTGTTATTCTATTTAATATTGTGCCATTGAAATACTTTCTTTTATACACGTTGAAAATTGTTGATATTTATAATTGATTTATAGAAATTAAACAAATTAATAAACACATATTAATTATGCTGTTGTTTAGTTAATTCGAGAACAGATCGACTTAATGGTTCATAAAAGCTTGTAATTATTGGGCTATTAATCAATATCATGGCATATTTCTAATTCGTATTCCGTAAACATCAAAATTGTTCTGTAACATTTGATATTAAATTAACTGTACTCCGAAATATTAAGAAGTGGACGTAACAATTCTCAACGCTTTCAAATAGAGTCGTACTTTCTCTACTCTGAAATAATAAGTTACGGAAAAATATACTCTAAAATCGTTCATTCAACATCAAATGTACTCCTCTCTGGAGACCCAGAGACGTTAAGACAGTATTAGGTGTTCTCCGTTTAACAATATGGCCATCCCGCGTGGCTTAATCGGTTGGAACGCGAGACTTGTAAACTCGACATTGTGGGTCTGATTGCCGGACTGGCCAACTAAAATAACTAATGCCTACGTCACATTACAAGCGGGGACCGGCCGGTATAGAAGGATCGATTAGACACCGTTTATAATTTGAGATCAGAGAGAAATATTTCAATCATGTCCGGGAAATAGTGGGCGGTCATTCGCACTCTGTGGTCCATAAGGTATTCGGACGGTTTCCGAAGGGTACTCGCCCGATCACCCGGTGAAAACCCTTAGCATCTTCTTTCCTGACACCGGTCGATATTCTAAAGGGAATCGACAGACTACCGTACGATAAATGGCCAATTGCCTTCCGTTATCTGGCCTATTCGCAACAATCGTACAATTTATCACAAGAATCAAGTATCACAATTGCAGTTTGTCACAAGAATCAAGTATCACAATTACAGTTTGTCACAAGAAATAAGTGTCACAATTACAGTTTGTCGCAAGAATCAAATGTCACAATAACAGTTTGTTACAAGAACTAAGTGTCGCGATTAAAGATTTTCACCAGAATCAAGTGTCACAATTACAGTTTGTCACAAGAGTCAAGTGTCACAATTACAGTTTTCGCAATTATCAAGTGTCACAATTACAGATTGTCACAATTATCAAGTGTCACAATTAAAGTTGGTCACAAGAATAAAATGTCACAATAACAGTTTTTACAAGAATAAAGTGTCACAATTACAGATTGTCACAAAAATTAAGTGTCACAATTACAGATTGTTACAAGAACCAAGTGTCACAATACAGATTGTCACAAGAATAAAGTGTCACATTTACAGATTGTTACAAGAATCAAGTGTCATAATTACAGATTGTCACAAAAATCAAGTGTCACAATTACAGATTGTCACAAGAATCAAGTATCACAATAATAGTTTGTCGCAAGAATCAATTGTCACAATTACAGTTTGTCGCAAGAATCAAATGTCACAGTTACAATTTGTCGCAAGAATAAAGTGTCGCAATAAAAGATTTTTACAAGAATCAAGTGTCACAATTACAGATTGTCGCAATTATCAAGTGTCACAATTACAGATTGTCACAAGAATCAAATGTCACAATTACAGTTTGTCACAAGAAGAAAATGTCACAATTACAGATGGTCACAAGAATAAAGTGTTACAATTACAGTTAGTTACAAGAATCAAGTGTCACAATTACAGATTGTCACAAGAATAAAGTGTTACAATTACAGTTAGTTACAAGAATCAAGTGTCACAATTACAGATTGTCACAAGAATCAAGTGTCACAATTACAGTTAGTTACAAGAATCAAGTGTCACAATTACAGATTGTCACAAGAATCAAGTGTCACAATTACAGTTAGTGACAAGAATCAAGTGTCACAATTACATTTTATCACAAGAATAAAGTGTCACAATTACATTTTGTCACAATAATCATGTGTCATAATTACAGTTTTTCACAAGAATCAAGTGTCACAATTATAGTTTATTACATGAATCAAGTGTCACATTTACAGTTTGTAACAAAACTCAAGTGTCACACTTACAGTTTGTCATAAAATATCAGGTGTCACAGTTACATTTACACAAGTTTCACAAAAAATCGCCTTTTCCTTTGCACAAGATCGATGTTTTTAACTGGATAAAGTGTACTATTAAAAATAAAAGGATGAATTGTTCTAGATTTCTTACGCATTGTTCAGTATATACGTGTCAACATTTTTTTATGAAAAAAAAACCCCAAAACCAAATAACTAAAAACAAAATTAATATATATACGTACTGAAAACGGGACAGTTCCATTGTCAAGATCCCAACCAACTGCAACATCTCCTGAAAACATGTTCCCATTTCCGGACATCCCTAAGCCTACCCATCCTAGCGAACACGAACAAATATTTAGGTAGATGTAAACAAACATGATCTTACCACACAATGGTTTCTCATATCACAATATATTCATCATAACAGTGACTACACAAACGTTTGCTTATTATTTCATCAATAAATTATTCAAAAAGGAAATAAAATAAATAATAATAATAATAATTATAAAAAATAAAAATAAAAAAATATAAAAAATTGAATAAAACAAACCGTAAGAATTTCCAAGAAGTTGTAAACTAAGAATTTGAAACGACAAAACTAAAGTCTAATTTTTTGACGTGTTTTACATACAGTGTGACAACTGCTGTATATGAAAACGGTTGTTTTCTGGTAGTTGTCTTCCTCGTATATAGTTCAGTATAATAAATATCCATTTTAAACGAGGGAATACATACTGAAAATTCGTTCAAATCGTCTCACTTGGCATTTTCCGTCTGCGGTAATTATTCGGAGTACGAACCATCATTAGACGCCGCGTGCACGTGACGGTTAGTAGATAATATTATGCTGTCGGCTATTCTGCACTGGGGGAAATTCTAGTTTTGCTTTTGTGTATATTTTTTGTACATGTATTAACAAAATCACACTGTTTTAAAATAAACGTTTGACTGAAGTAAAAGTGCCATGTTTAAATATCATATTCTTTTTATTATCTAATTTTATTTACCTAATAAATAATGTGTCAATGAGCCAGTCTATATTCTAATAACAAATTCGGACAGGGAAGAAGCGGTATGACTAAAATACGCAACTGGGATTTTTTTTGCGCTACGGGCACAACTGAAATGTTTTTTGCAAAACAGGCAAAACGTATGCTTATTCATGAAAATACGTAATTATTACGTTATAGTTATGGACCTGAAATATCACTAGGAAATTATTACAACCTAAGTAAACACGTTAATGCACATATTTTTAAGGTCAAAAAAGAGAAGTACATTAAACGTCTTATTCTTGTTTTTAGCCGGAACTTTAAAACATTGTTTATCAAACATTTTCCATCTTTGTTCATGATAATTGAAATATAACAAGACAACAAAAACCAGCAAAAAAGTCATGTTATCTCGATATCTCGAAAAAAATGCTCGAGCTATTTGCTTTAGTGATGATGTCGTTTACATTGCTGTTGCCGTCTACAAACTTCAAAAAGTGTCATTTTTTATTTCAAACATTCAATTACGGAACAAAAGAATATTTTAGACAAAACTGTTATGGTATTTCAAATAAAAACAAGTATACTTTTGATTTATAAATGACATTGACTGTCAAGTTAGTATGAAATGTTAATTAATTTTTCGGCCGGGGTTGCACAGGTTCAAACCCGGGTTATTGTATGCTAAATGTCGGGCTTCAGGGGGGTGGGTGGGGAAAATATTTCCGTAAGTTTTCTCAATCTGTCGCTCATCCACTTTCTGTTTACCGACTTAGTTTAATTTAAATTTAATGGTGAATGGTAGGAAATTTTCGTAACAGTTTTCTCAGCAACTATTTATCACAGCCTCTTGATATTAAGTATATAGCATTTACACACAGTCCCATACTGCGGTATTTGATTTCAGGTCTGTTGCTCATCCATTTTCTGTTTACCGACTTAGTTAAATTTTCAACATTGATGGAGAATGGTAGGAAATTTTCGTAACAGTTTTCTCAGCAACTACTTATGAAAGCCTCTTAATATTTAGTATACAACATTAGATGTGATTCCATACAGTGGGATTCGATTTCAGGTTTGTAGCTCATCCACTTACTGTCTACCGACTTAGTTCAACTTTTGACGTTAATTGTCAATGGTAAGAAATGTCTGTAACAGTTTTTTTCAACAACTATTTGTCAAAGCCTCTTGATATTTGGTATACAGCATTAACACGTAGTCCCATAATGTGTTATATGATTTAATATCTTTTGCTCATTCACTTTTTGTTTACTGACTTAGTTAAATTTCCTACAAATTTTCGACATAAATGGTAAATAGTAGAAACATTCATAACATCACAGCCTCATATTTGGTATACAAATGCAAACCGACCATTCTTTGACCCATTTTTATAAAAGAAGATGATTTTTTTTTAGAAAATCCATTGTAAACTACAATGTTCATCCTATATTGGCCCGCTTGCAGTTGCTTTTGTATTGACAATTGATGCTGGGTCTGAAAATGATGTGATTCAAAGGCTTTCAAAACGATGTTAGTTGCATTTAGACAAAACAGATGTTTTGATAAAATTTATCGAACGTTTCGTGTCATGATAAGTTTGTATGAAATCCAATAAAAACGTTAAGCGTAAACATCAGCGTCATCTACGTGTGCTAGAGGAGGGGGTATGAGGGATGTTGCACATTTATAATCCCTCATGTACAGACTCAATCAAATCGAATCTGCAGTTTTCGTGTGGTTTTGTTGTTTTTTATTCTTCCGAGGGATCACCCTTTTTCAAGATCTTTTCCCGATGTGTATCGTGACAAAGTCGATATCACCTAGTTATGTTCAAGACAAACACAAATTTCCAACATTTACCGATTTTTGAAGTTTTACATGTCCTTGTCATATAATAACGGACGTTAATGGAAATAATAATAAAATGCCATCAACCAAATTATATATAAAAGTCGAACGTTTACAATCTTTCTCATTATGATTCGAAATGTTGAATTCATTCATCGGTTCTATTTTATTGAAAATATATAATAAAGTCTTCATCACGTGAATAATTTGAAGTTAGAATGCACCGCATGACCTTTATAATTTACAAAAGTACAATATTATTTTTCCTCTCTGTCTATATTGATAAGACTGATTCTAATACTTCAGCCAGTTTTTGGGGCTGTCGCTTCTATCAGTACCTCTCATAAACAAAACATTATCAAACCTAATCTGAAATTTCCATCTTTTATTTTTTTGTATATTTTGCCCTTAGGAGACCTAACCTTTGTGAAATATTCTTTTCACAATAGCATAATACTTCCCTAATACATATGTACTTCATATCAGTGTTGCTATAGTCCGTTGTTCCTTCGGAATCTCTGATCGCAACATTTTCAGTAGTAAGACAACATATGCTAGGGGATTGATAGAGGTTTCCGATTTCATTTCCTCATTTCAAATGAATGAATGGCTTCATTTCATTATCATTATAATAAATCAGATAACACCAATGGTTAAATGCTGTTTGGCACCTGTACACGTATGAAATGTTTTATTCTTAAATGTTTGACATTATTTATGTATCAATGAAATCAGCGGTACTCGACCCTTAAGGCTTTGACATTAATAATATAAAACTCCATTGAATTAATTGTTTTTAAAATAAGCGCCTATCTTGTCCATCTGTTGCTTCAAATATCAGAATTAAGCACTAAAACTATGAATGTCTACTTCAAGTTTATTTACTATATTTCGTAGTTAAAGCAAAAGGACGAATATACAATTTGATTGTGATTTGTTCTGTTAAAATGCCAAATTTACTTTTTCTATTTTAAATTAGTAATGTAAGAGAGTAGGTTATACATTAAACACTAAATTTAATAAAAAAAAAAACATTTAAACAGTTTATGCTAAGTTTGTGTAAAAGACTAGTGGTATTGGTCTACTGCGCAATAATACATTCGACATATCTAAGCTCTAGGCCTCCCAGTTATTGACAAGAGGTATGAGGCTGTGTAAATTTAAGCGACCATCAAGCGACGTCAGCGTCAACTCTAGGTTTAATAAGTGAACAAACTATAAAGCTTAAGCTTTATGTCTTGTTGGTTTTGGAGAAGAAGATTTTCAAAAGTATCACTTACAAAATCCATTTTTATTGTCTGTGACCCAGAAATGCAATAAACCGGAATCATTTTCCGAAACACTTTGGCAGAGCCTCTTTCAAGGAATATAGGTGGGTTTAATAAATTTATGCCATGTGTTTAAAGAGAAAGTTTAATTTTAAACAATTGTAAATGGTGGTCTGGCGATGGACAACAGACAACCAACCGTGTAGCTGTGTTCGGTTGTAAGTCAGAATCACATAACGACTTGAGCCCAGCTAGAGTGTCGGAGGAGACAAAGGTAAAATATTTACATCAGTAAGCAAAGTATATTTGTCAAATCGCTACTAAGAATTCACAATAAAACAAAACTAATTTACAAAACATAATAAGATTATTATAGGGGCATGCAATAGTTTCATAATGATAAAAAACGAAAGCTGCATAAAAGAAATTGTTTAAACATGGTATGATCTTAGAATATATATATATAAAATAAAACAACAGAAACATTTTAAGCGTACACAATGTAGGTCATCGAGCTAACTTTGAATTATCTGCCCTAAAATTGGAAACTTTGAGTCGATATTTTAAATCTTAGGACATATTCTATACTAAAATAATTTATAATGTCAACGAATAACTTACATTTGTTTGGGTTCTTAACGTCACACCGACACAGTGTAGGTCATTTAGCGACGTTCCAGCTTTACTGGTGGAGGAAGACCTCCGGTGCCCTTCCTTGCATTATTTCAGGCACGGACGGGCACCTGAGTAGAACCACCGACGTTCCGGAAGCACGCTGGATAGCTTTCTTACATGAAAGAACCCAAAGTCCCTGTCGAGATTCGAACCCACAGCGGTCAGGGGCAAGTGGTTTGAAGTCAACGACCTTAACTTTTATTTATCTAACCTATAAATTCAATATCAGGATCAGTTAGAAGACCTTGATGTATATTATTATAAAAAGGGAAACTGTAAAAATAAAAACAAACGAACAAAGACTTAAAACAAATATTAAATAAGTTACGTGACCCTAATTTATACAGTGATAATAAAGTGTCATCAAAATTTTCCTTTAAATATTTTATATCAACAACAAACAAAAAAAAATAAAATAAACACAGACAATAAATACAAAAAAAAAACTATTAAGTAAATTTACATTACGAATAATCCAATAATACAAACACACATTATCGTTAATAGTAAAATCATGTAGGCGAATAGATTATTTAGATAAACGGACATATGAGATCTTTTCAAGCACGCAAGAACCGTCACTATAAAACGAACAAAATAATGACACCTTAAAGACTTGAACTATGATCAGTCTGTGACACCATTAGTAGTAATAAATACTCACAACAACATGGTTTAGAATAATCAAAAATAAGAATACGAGCAACAATACTAACTACGTTTATAACAACAAGACAACTTAAACAACACGTTTACTAACAATAATCTTAAAACAATAAGTTTTTTTTCTACATTTGTCAGCACTATACAGCATGTCATGATAGCTCGCACACTTAGTGTTAGCTTTATTTGATTTTTTAGGAAAGGTTCTTTTATTTCATTTCCTTAATCTTCAATATTAAGTATACTTCTATACTTCATTCAACAGACCTTTACATGTTATTCAAATATATCTTTCTTACAAACAATATACACACGTTTTTGTATTTTTGAACTTGTTCGGAAGCGTTTTAGTCTTTCGTTTTGCATCTTGCGACCATCTTTCGAAGCAGACATCCATATTGATATATATTCTCCGCTTTCTTTTTATCGTCGTCCACAAGGGTCATTTTCGTATCCAGAACAATAATTGGTCTTTTTGCCTGTGGCGATAAAGCAGATGATTTAATGATCTTAGTTTGTTTAATTGAAAGAAGACATCATAATGAAAGTTTTAGTAGTCTTAAAAACAATAATTCAAATGTAACGCATCGAGAAAATCAGTATACTGTTTGATTAATGTCTGATACACACATACATAAATACATACTTATCATTCGTCTATGCATCCATCAGAAGATACTCTTGTGAAGAAATAAAATGGCTCAATTTAATCTAGGAAAATTACAATAAATAATTCCTTTTACTTTAGACAGCTAAAGAAATATTTTCAACTCATTGCGTGTGTATGTGTTTACTTTTCGTTGAACAAAAACCTGCTCAACGTAACATTTTGTAATAAAAAGTACTATAATTTAGAACCCAAATGTTATCGCCTTACTAGGCTCTATACAACATGTTCTTGATGGCATTATGAGAAGAAAACGAAAGTAGAACCAAATAAGCATCAATTTGAAATGTGTATAAAAATATTGTATTATGAGATAGATTTGCATTAATTTTTACCCTTACCTTTTTGTTTCTGTATCGGATAAAAGTGTTGGTTTCTGAAAGATTCTCAACGGTAATAGATGAATTATGTAGAAGATCTAGATAATTGGCAAGTTGATAAGATATTGCAGTTACACTTGCTACAGACATGTTTTCATCAAGAACATCCTTGATCTTTCTTGTCTTCCCACCTGGCACAAGTTCTCGTTTAGTTCTAACCGATCGACTTACATCTGTGTACTGCAAGATAGCCGAACCTCTTTCTAAAAAAGAGATTTTTTAAAACATTTTTTTTTTAATCTTGTAAATAGGTTTTAACATTCCTCATGATCAAATCAAAATTGTGCAGACTTTCAGAAAAAGAAGTTGCTTATTTTCCTGATAGTTTTAAAGTTCTGAAGGAGCGGGTAAAAGAATGATACTGGTTGCAATCGTGCATTTCTAAATTCATAAAAATGAATTAAATTTGCCGAAAACGTATCTAACTTTAGCGCGACAGTTCGAAAAATTCCAAAACTATACGATAAAGTGATAAACGGTCAGTTTTTGAGTAGAATTTTAAATGACAATCATTTGTGTCCGGTTGTCTGGTTGTCGACGCAAACACTTGCTAGAAAAAACATTTAAACAAGCTTAAAAAGCTGGATAAATATACATGAGCAAACTGCGGAAAAAATATTTGTCTACAAAGGGTACGAGCGGTTCTGGTCGGAAGACCTCGCACGCAAGTCATTGTTTTAAGTACAGCTGTATGGAAATGTTAGATAACTGCAACAGATGAATGGTGTGATGCATTGCAGATTGACTATCTCTCTGATATTACACACTGCAGCTTATTCTTACATACATAAATTGGTACGTTTGCATAAAATGTGTGCGACCACAGTTAGTGATAAAGTCGAGAAACAGGACACTAGACTTTGGCAATAAGGTGACGCCACGTATGTTAACGTGCTTCAAGTACCACAGAGTACCGATGTTCAACGTTTTATTAAATTCTTCAATATGTCTAAGTAATATTTGATTTAAATGTCAGTTGTGAACAAATATATCTCCTGTACCTGCCAGTGTTATGTCTAGAAACATAGTTATTCAAATATAAATTACAGATCTTTTATTTTTTATCATTTTTAAAGATCTTGCTTTTTTATATCGCATTGTATGAACGTCGTCAGGACGTCTGTTATATTGATACTTTCTTTAAATAATTGCATGTGTTCAACTAAAAATTAAAAAAAAACTCTTTGAATTTCTATGAAGCATGACGATTATACTTATGTTCACGTATTTTATATTTTAAGTTTGTGCTTAAAAGTTAATAAAACGGGAATTCAATAATAATTCTTTAAATAAATCTACAATTATATAGAATTTACATCACTGTAGATGATATTCAATTGCTTTTGAGTAATGGCACATACAGAAAAATTAAGTGATGTGCACTTTAAAACATAGACTTAAAACTTCCCATAATATCTCACAAAAATAGAATCGAAATAATGTCTTCATAAAAGAGTAATTACCAATTTATTAGAGAAAAACAAACATTTTTCAAGTTACGCAAGCCTACCTCTTTCAATTTCAATTCTGCTCTGCTCCTCTATACTTGGATTAAAAGTCTGAAATACATCAGTAGTAATTTCAATGTTCAATACATACAAACTTGTAATTTATGACAAAAATCTGAATATTTGTCATACCTACATTTCATTCTTTAAGTCGAATCAATTTCCATATAAGCTCAAGATTCATAAGGGTAATGTGGTACGAATTCGGAACGTTTGTGACCTGTCAAATAAATCATCGTTTTGAAGTTTTCCAGCAGTTAAGTTTCAACAAAATGTATTTTTAAAAATCATTATGAATTAACACTACAAATAATAATATCTTATAAAATTGGTACCTTTTTCCCAATTATGGCCGAAAGTGTGTATAGAAAAGGATTTAACGCCGAGTTCAAAGGAAGTATGAACACTGCTGTCCATGCATAAACATCACCAGAGATTGAGTATCCATTCAATGAAATAATCCCTGGAATATAGAGATAATCCGTCGCATTCTCGTTGTTTTTTTATGAAAAGAAAAACATTTTACCAATCCTATCAAATATAGGTGATCAATATTTCGATTTTGATTCGTTACCGAAAACGAGATGTTATTTGTGAAAAAAATTGAAAAAAATTGAACATTTCTCCTACCTCGAACAGTTTTCGAAAAAAAACAACATTACATTTGAATTGACGACTTTAATAAAAGGTCATTAAAAAGTTTCGTAATAAAAAAAATTAATTCGGTTTTTGTGAATTAGATAAAGTGATATCACACTTCATTCAATCAATGCAAATTCATCTAAGAATTTTATGAATTATACCAATTGCATTCTCAAAATAACATATTTCGTTCAATTCGATAGGGTATATAGTTATATCGTCAATTTGAAAATAAATAACATATATGAAGTATTCTACCTTATTTGCATTAGTACGCTGTGCAGACATTTTAATTTGCATTGTGTGCAACTTACAAAGCAATTTATCAGACATTATGAAAACAAATACATGTTCTCCATATTACTGATTGATTAAGGTCGATATTATATATATTTTTATAATATACGTTATAACACATCATTTCATTTTCTAAACAGTAAATAGAAGTCAATTGGCATGCAGCTATTCTTCTTTAAGTAGGGTTCGCGATAAAACTGATTCTATGTTTAAGCAAATATTTAAAAAAAACTGTGTACAATTGACAGATCCCTACTCTGACCTTTTATTTTAATACCAACCACAAACATAGACATGGGCTCTATTGTTCACAAATATGTTGTGGTAAAATTCTTATTGCATCCACTAAATTGATAATAAGAGTTATACAGGTCAGGGACCTATTCATATCCGAACAAAAAAAATGATAGTTTCATAATTGTGAGAATAAGCATTTATTAACTGGCATAAAACAACGAGGTCGTTATATACTTATTACATTACCCATTAGTCCTATTGGGAACCAGCAAAGGAAATCGGTTGTTGCAACAAGGATTAGATTTTTGGCTACTTGCAGATCCCTTTTTCTTGATTGCTGTGTTTTCTTGACACCCATGCTAGATTTTCGAAGTTCCAAAAAGATTGACAACTGACCAAATGCAACAAGGATAAAGGTTCCGAAATTTAAGCCGACAAATATTGACACGGAATACATCCAGCCCGGAGGTTTATCACGTGACAAAGGTAGTGCAATGCATACTCCAGATCTGGAGTAGAACTTGTTTTTGAAATAGCTTGTGTAAAAAATAGGAATAGCCGCCAGAGTTGTTGCAATTAACCAGCAAATGCAACAGCAAATATGCGCGCTCTTTGGTGTAAACCTTACGTGTCCAAAAGGATATTTGATTACAAGAAGTCTATCAATTGTTATAAGACACAAGAAAAAGACGCTTGCTTCAGAAGAGACGGTTGACAAAAATCCGGTCAGGGTACACCATATGCTGTTTCTCCATTGGTCATCCATGTAAATATACCTGTTAAAAAGATATTTCAAATGAAAAACACTTTTTGACAGGGGAATATAAAAAACAATTTATACAAATAAAACATATCTTTTTCTATATCTTAGCTAGACAAACTTACAAAGAAAAGATATCAGTTACCTGCTTCGATAAACGGAATCAACACATGCTATCACTATAAGATATACACCCATTAAGAAATCAGCGGATGCCAAATTCGTCACAAATATTCCATAACCTATCTTTAGTCTTTGTCTGTCGTACACAATTCGATAAACAATTGATCCGAGATTTCCGAATAATGAAGCTAGCCCGACCAGCCATAAAACTGCCTGCAGAATTGGATGTCTCATCAGGTCATCGCAAGAAGAAAACTCATTTTTTGGAGGATAACAGTTTCTTTCTTTGACGTAACACGGACGTATGCAGCAAAATTTATACGCCGGTGTACGTAATTCGTTTAGTGAAAAAACATCTTTAAAAATGAGCTTATGAAATTTGATTATTTTGTTACCTTCAAAGTTAATCTTATTAACAGATGTATTGCTAAATGCGTAATTTTCAATTTCAAGAATGTTGTTGTTTGATATATCAATAGTTTGCAATTTCAAATTTGAGAATGTAAGTGTTGAAATTTTCTTCAGTTTAGTTCCCGATATTCTTAATGCTTTAATACTTTGTAAACCTTGAAATGCTAAAGAAGATATCTCCATTAATTCGGAATTTCCATCGAGATCTAGCTCGACGAGATGACGAAGATCTCCAAACACATTATTCGCAAGTGCTTTTATAAAATTGTAGCTCAAGTTGAGTTTCAATAAATTATTTATGTCTGAAAATGCCATATTGCTTACAAGTTCTATATTACAATATGAGACATCTAAATTCAACATGAAAGGAAAATGAAGATTTTCCGTGGATAAAACATCCTTGATTCTAATGTTATGACTTAGGTCTGCACTTCGGGTTCTTCTTGACAGAGCATGTATCTCTAAAATAGTTAAATTAACCTCTCGACATTCCACAACTCCGCCTCCACACTTGCATTTTTGATGACATTCAAAATCGCACATGTGTTCATCGTCGCGATTGATACATTGAGCTATTCCGTCACATACTTGGTTCAGCGGGATACATTGCTTACTGGAGTAACATCTAAATCCACCAGCACATGGCACATATGACGCTTCTGTACAAAAGAATAAAAATATATCTATAAAAATTCATTTCTTCAAAACAATAACTAATTCATTTTTGCTAAAATAAATATTTTAGATGTTTTAATGGGCATGAAGTTATATTGGATCGTAATTGATACTTGGGATTTATATCTTTATCTTCAGAATTTACTATTAGAGTAACTTAGTTGAAAGAGTGTTGATTGTTAAGGAACGTGTAATTTTGTTTCCTTGTATGGTTCTTTGCTTTTTAATTATTGTGAAATTAATGTGAAATCTATCTGAAGTAAAATTCGTAATTCCCCCTTTTTCACTCTGATATGAAAGTTGACAGTCTTTGAGTTTATGTTTGATATGAATTTCTTTCTTAAAAGAAATACCGCGCTATAACAGAAAACTAATAAAAATCACGAGCACGTGATAAGTGGTTACAGTATCTAAATTTATATTTACCGGAAATACTTACTATATATAAAGAAGCTAGTAAGGATACCTGTTATAAATAAGCTTTTATCTTTTGACAGTGATATAATGGAAAATGCCCATATTTTAACAAATCTACCAACCTTTGCATATTTCTGGGAAAAGCCTATATCCTACAGCATGTAATGCATTCCATCTGGAAATGCGAACATCATTCACAGAATCATATGTTCTTTTATTGTCAACTGAATAACTGAAGTTTTTAATGACACGATACATTTTGAAAGCTTGATTAGATATATTAGAAAACATGATCTTAGCGACAGTAGATGACTCTATGCTATCTTCTATGAATACGATAGCCTTCGTTTCTCGTTTTGAAAATTGTAAAGATGGAAGTATATTACGAGCCATTGTTTTATAGGTACAGTCAGAACTTATTGCGTCGAAGTCCAACATATACTTTTCACGTATTTCTAAAAGTCGGTGTATAAGAGGAAATTTGTGTATTCTGGGTTTCCCTTTAAAATACAGTAACCTAACTTCACTGTTTCCAGACGAAAATTGCTTGGCCAATAGTTCAGCGGCTGTTTGACTATGTGTCGGTCTCTTTGTATCCTCTATCATTATAATGATGTCTCTATCTTTACTGTCACATGCTGAAAATTATATAACAATAAGCATTGTACAAGTTATATTATATTTGTGGGTTGAACAGTCTCTCATAAATAAACAAAACAATCTTGCTGGCTGCTTATATTTATTATGTTATCTATATAAATAACTTTAAGGGAAAGGCAATGTAAGGATGAACAAATGATATCAGAAAAAGAATACTTTTAATAATAAATCTGCAAATTTACTGCGTTCAAATAATAATATTAAAACAAAATTTAAATCGCTAAATCTCCTATTTCTACAAATCTGTAGGCGCTGCAATGTTTGTGCTTTGGCCTTATAAAAACAGATGCGCATGATGTCATAAACCCACATATTTAAATTTTTGATAAATAATGGTCGAATCGTAGCAACAGATAAAGATATCATTAAGTATTGACCAGACAAATTAATTTTAAAAAAAGTTTGCAGAGATGAAGATTTTTGGTTCAAAATTCGTAACAATATCCAAGAATAAAACAATCAATGATCTACTTAAGCATCGGTCGCACCACTTCAGACCGAGTGATGCGCGTTACTTCAAACAATGCTATGTTTATTGAAGTCTCGTTTTAATGTAATTAAACACTTTTTCACAGTTTTAATAAATGCATGTGTTATTATTTAACAAAGTCTTGCACTCAATTGATGCAATTAAAGAAACAAAGGAACCAACGAATAATGGCCTGTTAATGATTGAATGGCAATAATAATAATTATTATCATAGAAATCTTACCAAAAAAAATTCAAAAAAAAGGGACTCCACTGAGGTTTATAAGCCTAAAACATAACATTTTAATTTTTCACATAGATAAACGCTTTTCAATTTTGGGCCATTTTCCACTATAATAATAATTATTCTGGAAAAACGGAGCATGCTTATGATCTGAAATTTTGCACATAAGTTATAAGTATAGATCTAAATCAAATAGAGTAATAATCTCAAAAAAAATATTTCCAGTCCCGTCTTGTCCCTTTAATAGTAAAATATTAAATTATTGCAGTTTGATTCTGAACTTCAATTAAAAAGGTGTGAATATAGAGTAAATTGATGAACACATTTAAACAATATAAGCTACTCTTTTGAAAAATAAATTGTGCACAAGTATGTCGTTGCTGCGTGATATTTATTAGCATCAGAAACTTTTCATTGTTATCGATGATATTTATAATTATGTTTCTTAACACTGTTATTATGTTGTTAATTGTAGTTAATGACATAGCATGACAAAGGTTATGTATTTGATATATATTAATGGATTTATACACTGAAAAAAGATACATAACCGGTGACGTACCTGAACACGCATACAAAGGACAGCTTGTCTCGCGAAAATTAAGTTCAAAATAAAAGCATTTATTGTCAATTTGAAGGAGTTTCTCTCTCATTTTAATTGCAGTACCCAAATTAAATCGACCAAATAAATAAAATGGTTTATCTTTGCAAATAAAGCCTAAATCATGTGGTCAGAAAACATCGGCAAGTTTGATCATCGGACAAATGATATAATTCATGTCGAGGCGTATTCAATAAATTGATTAAAGCATTTCTGTTTAATACGATATTTTCATATACTTTATTGATTATAATATATAAAGGAAAAAAATGACTTGAAATACTTGTAATGGTAAAGTAAACGTAACAACCATCCATTATCGGAGAAAAAAGCATCCATATTACATGTATGTCCTAAAATGCGTTTTTTTCAATATCGGTATCTATGTCAACTTCTTAGTTATACTTTTGGAGTCAACAAACTTGTCAACGCATTTTTTGTAAAATCATTTTTATACATTCATGGTTATGAATGAAATTTATGTAATAAGAATCAAGTGGGGGTAATAGTCATAATCTCGGTCTCGTCTGTCTCGTGAGAGTGAGAGAACACCAAAATGGCGGCGCCCATGACGTTATTTCTCAGCTAAAAAATACTGACTTTAAACACAAATTTCTCTGTCATACGGTTGATTTCAACAGATAAACTGTCATTGTACCTCTGTTTAAAGGATTAATATTGATATAAGACAGTCATCAATCTATCCGTTCCTATTCCTTTAAATTAGGTATGTTTACATGTATAATTATTCGCATTACTTACTACAATTATGTTCATCTTGCCCACCAGGGCACTGGAACCTCCCATCACAAACAAACCTTAGGGAAATACAGTAACTATTTGGACATTTTACTGTATTTCTAGGACAGTCAAAGTCGTCTGAAATCACATAGTACTTAATCTTAATGACAAATACAGAAAACTAAAAAATACGAGTACACAAAGCTGGAAACGGTATTGTATACATATATACGCCAATTGAATTTGCAAGTGTTGGTAAATCTATAAAGGTTTAACAGGAAAATCATTTGTGGTTAGTTATTTTCAGATATCAGATTTTAAAAACAGTGTATCTATTTGAAGACATAAAAAATGTCTTTGTATGCTTTCGTTGTTGATCTTGTAAATCATATTGTGTAACATATGGTATAGAAAACAAGTTTTGTACTGCATGCAATTTTACGAAACAGATCACTTATTAAGGAAACAATAAAACATTAATCAAATAGATAATCATGTTCTGTTTGTTTTCGTCCTTTTCTTTCTTCAGGCTAAATATAGAATTATATTTCGACTTCTTACAGTTTCTGTTGTCCGTTTACATGCAGAGTCAATCAAGTCTGATTGCCTCTATTGGTCTTTTAAAAGATGAAATGGATAGTTACCGCAGTCCTTTACACTCTACAGTTCTATAAAAGGGATAAGATGTTTACTGATATTTTGTATCTTATTTAGACCTATAGATGACCATAGATTTCTTGTATAGCTGTTTTCACACGTATTTATCTAGAGGTAATATTTTGATAGGTATTTACTTATTGTAGATTGACTATAATTTTTGTCATAAAGTTTATTATATAGTGTACATTAGTACATCAACAATATTAACGACATAGTTCTGCAGATCCACCCGATATTTTATTGACCATTTTGTTTCCAGATCTACGGGAGATTATAATGTTAGTTGCCGTCTGTTTCTTACAGGAGTTCAAAAGAAGATGCATTTTTTCTGATCCAATTTCTGTCATAGGCTTACTGAATTCATCTTCTTTTCTCTCTATATTTTCTCCACTCCGTTCTTTTCTGCAGTAGTAAGATAACTACTGCTATCATAGCTTTTTAATATAATTCTGAAATACGGGCTCGATGTCTTGGTTGTATGTCTATATATTCTATACCTAATGAGGGTCTACAGGCCTTTAAAATACAAAAGGTACGACTCCGGACATGTTGACCTTAAGGAGCACAAATTGTGAAAATTCACCACCGTGTTATATCTTATGAGTATTTCACAACAGATAAATTTTTGGCCGAAAAATGTCACATTACATAGGCTGAGAAGACCTACATCGAAAATAACCTGTAATAACAATGGAAAAAAGTGTAGCCTGAAAAGGGTTAATATACCAGTTTATGTCATGTCTTTGAAGTCATTTTTGCGTTCTAAGACCTCGCGCATTTTTTCGTCATTCTGTCTTTTTTGTAGTCAGTACAACCCCATTCCCCGGCCTGGATCACTACAACAGCAGATAGTGCAAAGGATGCAACCTTAGATTTCTTTTCTCGCCTTTTCGAGTCATCTATGTCTTCTCCTGATGCAAGTGCCTCTCCACGTGAAAGCAGAGAGAGAAAATGACTACCAATAGTCCTTAATGAGCTAAATATATTCAAATAAAATCGACGTCCATTTCGATGTTTTACTTACCGCAATTTTGCAGATGCATCCCCGACCTACATCCTATTATATAACCTGTTGCATCTTCATCATATATACACAATTGAGATTTTCTTATCTTCGTGTTATCTCCGTTGCAATCATAAAAGTCTTCATCAATTGCCACGGAGTAATCTGTTTTTCGGCAATTTGTTTGTTATAATAATATAATTTATTCTTTTTTTTTATATTACAATATAAGTATTTAACAAAGATAATATTTTTATTGTAAATGGCATATAAACGTTGTCGTTGTAGAAAATTTGTAAATTGATCAAAGCGTTTTAATTAGAATTATTTTTCAGATGTGAAAGGCATGTATGACTGTTCTTTTATAATGTAATCTTTAAATTGGTAATCTAGATATTTTTACATTAATTTTGATGGTTAGAAAAAGATTGTGGAAGCGAAATGTCTATTGACAAAATCCTTTGATAATTCCTAAAATTTGGTAAGTTAGAAAAGTTTAAAAACATTTTATATATCCAAAAACAAAACATACTATAAGCGCACGAAATCTGGTTTAATCTGATGTCAATCGGAACTGTTCCCTCCGCCACGCTTGGATCAACATATAATACATTTTTATCCAAATTAAATGCGTAGAAGGTAAGGTCATAACGAACCGTTTCATTTCCATTGCAAGATGCCAGTTGTTTGTGCTCCGTATCGTGGTCTACTAAACTTCTAATTCTACAAAAATAAGTTAATTTATTCATGACATTAATATATTTCTCATAAAAATCTTTACTGTTTTAAGAAAAATTAATTGAAAATATCAATCTCGACAGGCTTACTCGACAGGCTAAGTATGATCATAAGAGATATGTTAGGTGTAACATTGCTGACTCCCTTTTAACGTTCATATTAAGTATTAAAATCAAAAATCTTGAATAACAAAAATGATATAACAGCACATAGCTAACGATTATGCACCTTTTAACAAGAAATATATAGCATGATACTTAATTTGCCTGAGGTCATCAGATGATTTAATATAATCTCCAGTTTGACCTGTAGAAACATCCTATTTTCTCCGATAAAACCTTAAGATAATTCATGTGACAAATGTTCTGTTTTATTTGAAAGAACAATTATAAACAATTGCAAACACATACACGCTTGCGGGCTCGCGCGCGCAAACACACACGCACACTCACGCACGCAATCACTCCCACTCACATGACTTGGGACATTAAATAGTTCTTTTTTATTTCAAACTCATTAAAAAACGTAAGATTAATCTAAATCTTCTAGTGTTTGATAGCTATATAGGCCGTTTTGTTTAATACTTTTTTTCTGTTATAAACGAGAGTGTTAATATGTTCTATTTAAAAAAATTGCAAATGTCACGATCGCTTATCTTTCTTTGCAGTTGTACAATGTTTCCTTTACATCATACACGAATGCGAACAAGGTTTTTCCGTGGAGAGATTGCTCTGAATCGAAGTCTTCTAGGTGTTATATTTAATATAATGTAAGTCTAAAATGTAAAAACAAAAATACCCTAAATTCTTTCCAACGAAGCTACGATAGTGTCCTTCGACACCAAAGGTAATGTTGGCTAACATAAATGTCTCGATTAAGCATTGACAAGTTATATTAGTAGCTTGTTTATATTTCAAGTCGTAAATTGATGCAGCGTATTCTGATAGGTGACATGTACTTTGGACCTATACAATGACAAAAATGAAAATATTGTCCGTAAAATTGTAAAAAGAAATCAAGTGAAATATACCGAATTCTTTTAAAAAGGATTAACATGATATATTTGATATAGTCACATATCTTCTCGTTTTTATTTTAAAAATATTTGATCTTTCAAAAAATAAATTAAAGGTAGACCGACGTTTAAACACATATATTTTGCTTTTCGAAAACATGTAATTTCAGAGACACTGTAATTTTATACTTTTGATAATTGATCTTTTAAATTAAACAAATGATCGAAATTTATTAAATAGATGGATACTAGTATCATTTTCATTATTTTTAAAAAAGTAATATATGTATTTTTAAAACAATTTTAATTTTTGAAATGATTGTTTATGATGAACTTAGCAAATCAAAGAAAGGGTACAATGTTTGTCATAAGAAGCTAGAAAAGCAAATCACGAAAAAAACCTTTAACTCACATCCATCGTGCAAATACTGTTGTTCCTAAAAAACAAATCGTTGAATAAACCCCGTAAAGTTAAATACAACGGAAACGTTTCCTCGGAAGTAAATGTGTGTATAGCAGCATATCTGGGATCCCAATCTAAATTTTTGATTTCCATTGTGATTGATCTAGATGTCACTCCTGTTAATCTATAGTCACAGTACACATTTATACCGTCTGAAAAAAGTATTGCTTTTTAAGTTTATGTTACATTAAGATTAAATGGCATTTACTTTTACTCGATGTGTTATTTATGTTTGCATAAAACGTCAGATACAACAAGTCAATTCTTCATAATATCTGGTATATAGATACGGTTTATTTCAGTACTTTAAGAATGAAGAATGAACGCCACTGAAAATTTTCTGAATATGTAACCGGCGCCACGGTAGGTCCGAAGCCCGAATGAGGACAGGCAACTATTCCCTGCAATGCTTACACTTGCGACGGAGACGACTTCAAGGAACAATTGTGAGATTAACAAGCCGACAGCAAACCTTCTGTGATCAAAACTAATTTTACGAGTTGGCTGCTTTTCGTCGGACCGAGTCTGCAGATTTAATGTTATTTTATTGTGATAACTGCTTCCGAGGGATCACACTTTGGTTAAACGAAAGGTCAGCTACCTTATACTGAAAAAATGTCAAGGAGGTTATGATTTCTGCGAGACAAGCAAGAGCATTTACACTTGGCAAATTGGTACAGAAGGTTGATTAACAAAAATAAATAAAAACCGTCAAAATATAACAAATACAGTGCTAGGTTATCATGGACCAAACCAAGATCTTGATGAAAAAAGTCACAAGACGGTGCACTAATAACAGAAATGAATGTAAAACCGGAGAGATGGAAGATGGAGGTTTTTTGAAAGGATCCTTAACCGAACTGATCCATAAACACTCGTTGACATGAGGCAGAAACAGACCGCACACTCCAAAACAACTGCAGCGTATCCTTCAAGATATATAAGACAACAAGGATATGAAATATCGTCAATATGACCTCGCAAAGAAATTGATTCATATTATCCAATACCTCTTCAAACTATTTTATAATCGTGTGGCATTAAGCAATCAGCTAACTGACCCCCTTAACGTTTAAATAGAATATATCCAGGCTGTATCGTTCGCCCTTTCATCTGTCCAATCAACTGGACTAGGAGGAAATTGACACAAAAATACAGGGTTTACAAAGAACATTGATGACTAAGACTATGCCCTTTGTCTCCTAGCAAAACGTCACCAAGACATTCAACAGTAGTAGTCAGAGTTCTTCAGTAAATAAACAAGCTAGGTTTCACAATTGTTATGTTGTATGGATAATAACAAGATTCAAACTATTCTACTATTTATTATAACCATTTAATACATGTTGTTAAGACCAGAGTTCAAGTGAGAATGACCAGGTATCAGAGAGGCATGATCATATATATAAAATAGCACTAATGAATATCAAGTAAAGGGAAGTACATTTGTAGTCCCATTAACAGCACAACTAAACATGTAAAGAGTTATCTGATCTTGATATCATAACAACAAACAATCAAAACCAAAAAAAACACAGGTCATAAGGATAAAAGCAAACAACAGCAACAATCTAGTTTTGATAAGAAAGCACAAGAAAAAGACAAAGAAATAGATACTAGGATGGATTACCGAGTCAAACCAGGCATTGACAATTTTAAGTCCATATGAAGGTTTGCATCACCAGAAGGACTTTTAGATCATACTTTGATATTCATCATGAACTCCTAAGGTCGTGCTCTTTAATAGATTTTTTTCAGTGCCTTTCTGTACGAATCAGAGTGCAGGAATACCTCATTTTCGATTGAAAATGAATCCTTTCCACGAATTCCCAAGATTTATCTTTTGGCACAATATTATTTCAAACGAAGAGGTGCACAACTAAACATAGATTTCAACCATATCAGAAGCCATCCAGACAAGACGCTTGTAATGGTTGAACAGGTACAACACATGCTTTATAACTCGCTGCCTACGCTTGCTCTTCCATAGAAAGTTCCCAAGGCAAAACGAACAAAGTCTTACCAAGAGAGTCGTTGACGTGAACCAATCAAAAGAAATAGCACACTTAGTCGATCAAAATCGCTGATAAATATCAAAATATAATCAAATAGTCCTTATTTTGAACTATTGTTTACGCACTTATGTCCTACAAAGAGTTTTGAGCACATTAAATAAAAAATAATATGTAAATGTATGCGTATTTTATACAATAACACAACATTTTATTTTATCATAACAAAATAAACTAAACAAATGTTTCTATACTGCATACTAAATTAATAAAGAATAAAAATAATTAACAATATTAATAAAATTGTGCATAAAAAATGAAAAACATTTCTTAAAGGACCTTCACATGAAAAAAGCAACAAAGGATGATATCTATAAGTCAGATTTAAAGTAATACGTATAAAGTATTCATTACATTTTATTATCCTTTCTTAATATTTGTTCTTAGCTTGAAAAATCAATAAAATAGGGGAAAGGTTAATTTCTGTATTTTCTAAATGTTTTACAAGCATGAATATAAAACAATCTAAATTTGCCTATTTTATATGAGGCAGATTTGAAAAGTAAAAAATAATAATAAACCGATTAATATTAAGTTAAAAATTTCATCAGAATGGCAGGTTAATGTATTCAAGGCTTCAGCAAGTTATCTGTGACAACAACATATTTTCTCTTGTAAACTACTAAATTGTAAATGAATGATAATTGCTACATAATAAGATTACTGACACTATACAGACCAGCATCTGAGAGGGCAATGATATCTTTAGTCTGGTATTTCTTAGAACGACATGATGACCTGACAACTGAGCAAAACTGCTTGAGTTTCGAGTTTCCTTCATATCACCAACAAGTCGGCATTGCTACATATCTTTTATAAACACTAATAAATCGTTAATATGTGACAACGTTACCAAACTAGACTGAAAATGACAGAACCGTTGGGTCAACTATCATTTCTAACCAGATTTTTACATTTCCGTGTTTAACTATTTCCTTTACGATGACACTAATTAAAATTGATTTTCTCATCAAATAGGCACACATGAGGTTTGCGACAGGTTTAAACTCCCCAGAAGTGTTTTTTCTGCCTACTATTTCAAAGCATTGTAATTCTGTGCTTCTTGGCGTATGCTTTGTTTTCTATAATATTTATGTTGTAATAGGTGACACCTTTTGTTGTTTTTTGTTTATCCAATATTGCATATGTCGTCAACCTTAAGTATTTCATGTCGCTCCCCGACTTAGTATCCATCTTTGTCCCAGCCACATTCAATTCCATGCCCTTTAACCCAGTCCTTATTTCTTTATTTTAACAATCTGTCCTTGTTAAGACACCCTTTGTTGGTCTCATTTGACTTCCTCAATTTTTTTAATCAATATTAACAAATGATTCAATCCTACCCATCCTCTTGTGCACACCCCAAACTTTTCCAAACCCTGCTGAATGATATACCGATGATTTGCTCAAAATCAGCTAATTTGGTTACGGTCGGTTACTAAGATAATGTAATAATGTCACTTTTTTTAATCCAACTCCCGACCATAGATACCATTCGCTTTGTCTTTGCACGGGACAAAAAGAAACAATGTTTGATGAATAATTATGAAATTATATCGTAACATATAGTTTACAAATCAGAGGAATATAAATAATTTTACGTACCTATAAGGTATTGACCTGACTCATGATATCCTCTCTCCCACAAATCCCCGCATGTTAAAACGTGGTTATCCGTACAATCACTTTCGTCACTACCGTCTTGACAGTCACGCACTTTGTCACAAACCAGTATATTACTTATACATCTATCAACATCGCAATGGAAAGAGTCTCTACAAGACGCTTAAAAAGAAATATGCCAGCTTTTAATATAAGTCTTTAACTTTGATAAGTGTGGGAGCAAAGATTATGCATTCATGAGCACGTTTGTGAAACTCTAAAATCGCATGATGACTTACCACATTTTATTTCGTCGCTACCATCTATACAGTGCGGCACTGCATCGCAACTCTTGTTGTAAGGAATACATTGCTTGTTATCGCATACATATTCATTCAGTCCACAATTCCGAAGCTCTACGCATGTAACAATAAAAACATGTATGTAAAACAATTAAATATTACATATTTACTACGGTGTTAAGAACAATAAGTTATAACATCGTGACTCTCTAAGGCCCTTGATGTGCAAATACATAGTTACGATATAGATATAGCTGGATAATTCAAAATGTCTTAGCTAGCATTTGAACGCTTAGTTAATATTTCAAAAGGGAAAACTCAGAAAACTCTTTCATCAATGACCTTTAATATGTCAACAATACAATTTCAAATGGATTTTCATATTAAACGTTATGCCAATTTTATACATCGATCTACTTAATCGTTATTCATCAATTGTCAAGTTGGGCTGAATTAATTATAAATTTCAAAAGATTTACTGTTATAATTGTTATTGACCAACAATTGATATTATAATATTTAAAATAAAGCATAGATCTGTCAAAAATAAAACCACGCCACTGGACAATTTGATTATCTAAAACCGATATGGGGAAACATTATCATAGATTTACGTTACCAAGTGAGAGAACATCACATTTGTAAAATGCATACCGTATAAATAAAGTTTATGTGTTCGTTTTTAAAAGATGTCAAACTCTTAAAAGATTTCCCTTATAGTTGTTTAATACCAAATATCCACGTTTTAACCTTTAGCTATGAAACCGAATTTCAAGTCAAAATAAATTTCACCTTAGGAGAGTAATCATTCACATTAATACTTTTACTTTTTTGTCACATTCGACATTTAATGTTTTAGTTCATTGTACAGAAACTGCATTCGATTAAAATGAGACATTTTCTTTTTGAACTACATATAAATTCATCAAGCAAAACACTTGATACAATAAAAAAGAATATGATAAGGTTTGCCAACTTTACCACAGAATTCATCATCTGCATTAGTGCAATCTGGTTTAAAATCGCAGACTTGACCTTGTTTTATACAGCTTCCATCAGCACAAGCAAATTCGTTTTTGTTGCATCCTAGTATATTAAAAATCAATGTATAATACTTTATAAGTATTAAAGTAACAACATTAAATATACAAATCAGAGAAAGTCCGTGTTTTTGAGTTTTAAAAAGGAGTGCGTCATTTCGTTATTCTCTTGAATCAGAACCTATGAAATAACCATTCAAAATTTAGGTGTTGTCATAAACACATAACAAGTTAAATATTTATACACCGGCAGTAGAATTTTTGTTAAAGTCAGTTATTGAAGTTACACAACTTGTGAAATATGTATACAGGAAGGGCCATATCTAATGCAAGAAAAAAGGAATTCTAACTTCCTTTGATCTTGCATAGTTACGTGTTGTGGCGATCATACATGAACATTTTATGTACACGAGGTCTCGAAAATTGCACTGTGTGTATATTATGAACAAAATTTCGAAACACGAAATATTCCCCCTCTTCATACATTATGTGACCTTTGACCTACTGATCTTAAAACCAATAGTGGTCATCTGTGAATGGTGATCAACTTCCCTACCAACTTAAATGATCATAGGACAAAACATACTGAAGCTATCATCCAAAATGGTCTTGACATTGTATAACCATGTAGATTATCTTGCTTGATTATTTACGTACAAACACGTGTTGTCATTAAATATTCGCACCCACTTTTATTGACAGTAATCACGCGTTAATCCCTTGTGTATTGTGTTTAATTGCGATGAAAGAAAACTTCAAAGTCAGTGTTCAGTTTATTAAATTTTAAAAATTCAATTTTCTTTCTACATCTATATAATTTTATAACACGAACAAAAATCATAAAACTAAAATCAAAATTGATTTTGCGTTATTTATTTTCTTTTTTGGACTTATTTGTGTGTTGTGTTATTTGTGATTCCTACCTTTATAAACGTCATATAAACTTAATTCATATTTTTTCCGAAAGAAACAAGTAATCTACGAACATTTCTAATGATAATGTACTGAATGAATCGGTTTAGTTTAATGGGGAAATCTTTTAGTTAGGCATTTTTCTATATTATTCGCAAGACATTTTCATCATCACCATTATAAATGTAAATTCTTTGAAATAAATTAATACTTAAACATAAATTTGTCGATAAAATGAACGCAATGTCACTTAAATATATATCTGATACATTATTGATACATTTACTTTGACTTTGACTTCACAGTGACGTGGATATTTCAGTCATTTTCAAAGTTATATGAAATTCGACCCTAAATGTTTCTTCATCTTTTTTGTTGACAACTTTCCAAATGCAATTTAAAGATTCTACATGTTTATTGTATAATTGAATTGATAAGTTCTTTAAAAGAACGGCTTGCTGTAATCGAAGGACTATTAAACAAATCATAATTACTGAATAAACAAACAAAAAAAAGGTGGGGGCCATGGAAGAGTTTCTTCACGAGGTGTGGCCTGGATGCAGATGGGATATTGAAAATGAATACCAAACCGTCTGTAATTGAACGTTCTTGAACACAACACATATAATTGGATAAATCACTATTTTTTAAAGTTTTACTTTTAATTAAATACTATAAATTTTGGATAATATATGTCTACAAACTAAATACAAATTTTAATTAAAATGCTATATTTAATAGTTTTACAGTCACTTCCGCTTCCTCTTGCATAAGTCACTTTCGTATTGTCTGATGTGAGCGAAAATAAGATATCTGAACTTGTATATGGAAATACATGGATGTTAAACCATTATAATGATTATTTTCTAAAGCATCTTTTATTCTTGCCTGAAAATATGCATCTACAATTTGCTTTATTAATCTAAATTCGATAAAATCCTATTTTTGATATTTTTAAAGTCACTTTCGTATTTTTCAATGTGAGCGAAGATCTCAGAACTTGTGTATAGAAATTATGCAAATAAATGGGATATAAATCATCATTATGATTATTTTTGACAATAAATATTATGAATTTCTGACAATATATGTCTACAAAATGCAATTTTAGTATAAATTTCAATTTCAACGCAATAGCTAATATTTTATAAATCACTTTCGTATTCAAGTACTTGTGTATAGAAATTATGCAAATAAATGGCGATTAAATCAATATTATGATTATTTTTTATAATAAATATAATAACTTTCTAATATTATTCGTCTGCAAACTGTAATTTTATTGTAAAATTATATTAAAACGCTACAATTCATATTTCTAACGTCAATTTCGCTCCCTTTCGTTAATAAGTCGGCAAACTCCGCCACATGGTTTTAATAACGCATTTTCATTGGATGTTGTTTTTCTTGAGCGAGAACTTAAGTCATGTGTCTAAATCAAAGCAATTCTTTTTCATTTTAAATTATTTCATCACGTTTTTTTTTCTCAAATAACAATTATAACTTAATGATATACTGATATTCGTTCATGTTTAAAAAAAAAGACATTTTTTTCATTCACATGAGATTAGGCAAAAAAAATGATCTTCCAGTACCCTGACAACCCTGTATTTCCGCACCTATCCTCGAACATTTTATTGCAAAAATGGAGTATCCTTTAGTGTATATATATCTGAAATACATTAAAATTTGATAAATTCTAGATAATTTTTTTTCCCGACCTACCTACTCTATTATTTTTCAGCATATTACCAGAACCTCAAGATCATTTTGTTTTGGCCATATGATGCCAAACACCCAGACCAATTTTTCGCCATGTTTTTTTTTATTTTATGTATACCATATCACACGCCGGCCTCGAGGCGTGTAATAATGCTAAAAAATCATGTAACGAATATTGCTTTACTATTCAACAGGATCACCAAAATAAAAACATAAACATAGTTACTTTGGCAATATTTAGATGTGCAAAAGTTAAGATGGACACATTTCGTGACAAAATTTTAGATATCTCAATACTTTCGATGCTTCAGGAAATAACATATTACATTCATGACATACCCGTGGCGCTTTTACGACTCCGTTAAAATGATAATGCATGGCGTGCATATATTTTGACCTGAAGTCATTTGCTTTATACCAATATAGCGTTCAGTCGCGCTACTTGTTAGCGTTATATTATAGGTGCGCCAATGAAATGTTTCTTCTTCAATTAAAACGGTCTGTACGTACTATTGGTATGTGATACAAATGAGTATTGCATTCGTGTAAGTTCATTACTGAATTTGTAAAACTCGTCGAAAAAAATAATATTATGAACGCCAGAGGCGTAACATGATTTTATCCAACTCATTAAAAAAATTTAGTATTTATTTTACAGTCCTCTATATGAACCTTTCTTATGAATTTTAAGAATAGTAGAAATTAAATTAATCTGATTTCTAACGGACGCCTTTGGCAATGCTGTTGCATTATTTTGCACTATAATTCTAACATACTTGCTAATTTGTGTTCTAACTAATGTATAGTAAATTTAATTGGGCGAAAAATCTACTAATACACAAAAAATAATTATTTCATTTACGCCAACCTCCAATGTTTTAAAACGTTTACGACTATAATGAATCAGCACGTTGAAATAAATTTTATTTTTAATTTCTTGCGTTTCAAGCAGTTGAAAGAAATATGAATTAGTTATGCTTATTTTAATAAATTTTATGATAATTAATCAATAGTTTACTTTCCTTTTTACCATTTATCACTTAAAATTGACTTTAAAAGGTTCAGCCAATCACAGAACACAATCTTACATGATTTACATATGTACAATGATATTAAAAAAATTCTGGGAAGGCTCAAATTACCTGCATTATTTCGCAAACAATAAATTTCATCAGATGCATCTAAACAGTCTATTACAGTATCACATTTTGCAGCTATTGAAATCCATTCCTTACTTCCACATTGGAAATAGGATCCTTCCTCAAGTCTCTCAGGAAAAATTGTCGGGAACAATTCAACGTCCTGCACAAGGCCATGTTCTAAATAGGAGTAAATGATTAAATAGATTCTTTGTTATTATTTAAACTTTTCAAACATATTCGTCATCACAGTTCGAGTTTAAATGTTTAGTGCGTTCTTCAGTATCTTATAATATTATGTCAGTGTATAAATAAATACGTGTACAAAACAACAACAACAAAAACATTAAATAACAACAACAAAAACAAAATACAGCATCATGTTTTTCAATGGAGTTAATTAAGCATGAAATGGTAATCACATGACAGATATGTGATTTTACAATAATGACTGTTTAAATAACTTAAAATTAAAAAAGGAGCTTTTACATTTGGTCCAAAAAATCGTGAAATTCCGTCCGTAAATCAAATTCAGGTTGTCACTTATGAAACTTCTTGCATTGTTATTGTTTCTTTCTTTTTTTCGTCAGTGAATACTTGTTTATTTTTTCTTTTATAAAACATCTATAAAATTTTAGATAAGTTTTAAAGTGCCGCATCATGCATGTTTCACACAAAATTAATTATGAAGAATCTGAATCTCAATAAAAATAAATGCATATAACATTACTTATTTTTAAAACATCACGCATGAAAAATACAAAAACACTGATTCATAATGTAGTTCTTACCGTTCATAGTGCAATTCATTTCGTCGGTTTTGTCTTCACAATGGAACGATTTATCACATTTATTCACCAGTGGTATATGGCGTCTCGTAGAGTTGCATGAAAAATGGTCACCAAAACTCTCTGTTATCACAGACACGGGATCGGCTTCTTGAAACATTATAAATATTGGTGAATTTACATGAAATGGTTTGTTAATGTTTAAAAGATACAGTTTTGTTCATCAATTGATTTTTAATCAATAATAGAAAATTTATCTTTTGATTTGTTTCTTAAATTTAAATCACACTGTTTACCAAGTTAATTTAAATATATATCTTAATGTTTAAGAGAGAGGGAGAAAGAGAGAGAGAGAGAGGGAGAGAGAGAGAGAGAGAGAGAGAGAGTGTGTGTGTGTGAGAGAGAGAGAGAGAGCAAATTCATTTAAGAGAATTTAAAAAAAAACATGAAATGAAAATCAAATAAAGAATGTTACAGGGTGACATCTTCCAGTGTGACATCATTGTGCATTATGAAGACTAAAACAGACATATTTTTCAAAAAAAATAACCAGATATTTTGATCTACTCATACAAAAAAGAAACTGTATTCTACAGTAAGATAAAATGTTTATGTCCATTCAATACAATACGTGAAGTGATTATAGAGTAGGCCATTCAGTCACTTTATATTTGCTATTGTGAAACTAAGGAACACATAGAAGTCGTTCCATATCATCTTACTAACAATTAATTATGTTTCTTGACGACGCCATGTTTGGTCCAGCTTAATATCTTTAAGTCGTGATGATTACCTTCTCTATATTTGTTTTGCAGCGTTTTAAATAGAAACAGAGTCGCTTTCAAAATTATGAAAGGTCGCCCATGATCGGCTGTTTGTAGAATTGACTCCGTATTTTGTGATGGTCAGATCTAAATGCGGAGCGTTATTTAGAGTTGATTTTAATCAGATTGCAATGAAATATAATAACAATGGGCACGAATGAAATTAAAGATGCCTGTAAGTATGTTAAAAAAAGCTTCATAGTTACTGCCAAAAGTTAATAAAGTCAATTTTCTCACTGACAAAAATGCCAGGCTTTATTAACCCTGATAACCATATCACAATGATATCAAAAGGGTCATCTTATACAATTCTGCGAAATGGACGAATAACTGCCAGATGGATACCTTCTTTGAACGAGTTAAATGCGCTAAAAAAACTGAAAATGTTTTTGCAATATGACTGTCACCATTTTTTTATATTTTTATAAAGGAGATTTTACTCATTTCAATTCAATTCAATATGTTATTCGACAAAAACATTTTAATGTTCATCGCCAATTTAACATATATACAATTGCATACAATAACAAACACAAAGAGAAAAGCATGAAGTCTTATTAATTATTTAAAGAGATTCGTGTCGAAAATAGCAAAACAATAAGATACTAAAGATGATCTATAGCATAAATAAAAAAATATATAATACTAGTTTACGCCAATTCGCAATTGCGAAGCAATTACCAAGTGTCATCGATACAAGTGCAGAAATGGATTATGTTGGGAGATATATCAAAAGAGGACTAAGTTGAAACATTTAAAAATTGGATTAAACATCAGAAACGTTGTATTTTAGTAGGAGATTTCGAAGGGTTATGGTAAAAAAAATGTAGAAAATATTTTTTCTTTTGTTATTTTGTTTTGGCCATATTGCATTACATAGTGACCGATCCTCGTTTATCCCTAACAATACGTACGTGAGAAGAAGCATGGTTCCCACGATATCACAGTGTTATTCACATTGCAACCAAATATTCCAGAGTCAGAGGGGTCTTCACAAAAATCAGAATTTATGTTAAATAAATCCTTGTCTTTATCAACTATCAAATGGTTATTTTCTGTTAAATTACTCCATCTTTGACAAGCCTTTCCAGAGTAGGAGTAACTGATTTTAATTTTGTTTTTCTTTGACAATGAGTTGCACATTCCTTTGTTGAAAACGTTTACTGTAGAAGAAAGAAAAAAGTTGCATTTATAACAAATTTATCAAAGAGTAGTAGTCTGGACAAGCTACCGTGTAGCTGGCAACACAAAAATCATTAACAGACCAAAACACCCTTTTCATTCAATGACCTTAACCCAACCAAACATTATTCAAGCAGTACGAATGTAAGTTTATCTGTATTATGAGAACGTTAGCATATTGCTTTTATAAGAATGCGTCATTTTTCTTTCGTACATATTTGTTTTACCAGAGTCATGTAATTTCTTATACTAGAATGCGTGCACAATTTGTTTTATTAGAATTCGTACATAATGTTTTTAACCAAAATTTCATTTTCTAGAATGCATGCAAATATCTTTTAAAAATGTTAGTACAATGAATGCGTGACCATTTACTTAACAAAAATGCATATATCTATTTAATAATGAATACATAGCTCTTTTCAATTTCACCGATTGTAAACACATTCATTTAAGCCAAATGTTGGCTTATGTCTATCAGAATGTCTGCATACCTTTTCCATTTTTTTCGACTGGCATTGAGAAAAAAACATTATAGAAAGTTGAAAAAGATTTGTGCTGAAGATATTACATTTTCCTTTTTCTTCTTCAGTCTGGCAGATAAAATAGTCTGCAAGTTCATTTTTACAATCTTCTGTCTCCCATGTTCTGTCCGTATTAAATGACCGGAAGTTTGTCCGAGTGCAGTCTCCAACTGATGGCTGACCAACTGCCCTGAAATGTTTTGAATTTTTTTTAATGAATGAAATGGGAACGTCAATAAATTAAACATCGATCGTCAAAACTAATTACTTTGAATTTTAAAACTTAAACAAAATATTTATGAATAAAAAGTAAATAAGAAAAGAAAATAACAACTTTTCTTTTTCACACAAAACCTTTTATCCGAAGTTTGGGTTGCATTGCGGAATGTAAGTCCAGTGTAGCATTGTCAGGTGAGTATAACGGGTGACGAACTTCATCGATCTCAAATATGGCTTATCTGTCAGCGGTATGACGCGTTTTTTCTGGTGGAATGTTTAATTCTCGATGTTGTTGTACAGGGATGAGCACTTTTGCGAAATGTGTTCGCGAGGTCGAGCAGTAATGCCTGTTTTTTCACACATTTAATATCTGCTTGTTGTCGTTTCAAAGTAATCTTACAGGTCTCGTCTGTGGTGTTGAAAGAGTTCAGAAATGTGCTGTTACTTTCAACAATACAAAGAAATGTCTTTGTGGCTGAAATTCGTACCTGTTTTTCTTCTTCCATTTAGAACCAAACTAGGGCTCACATTCGATATTTTCTAAAGATCAGTTAGCATCAACTAATCGCTTGTTTTACTTATCCCATTCTACTAAGATACTTTTCTCATTTGTGTTACGAATATCTCTCTCAATTACCTCTTTTGTTGTCTAACGGTATGCGTTTTAAGTCTAAAATCACACAATTGAAAAAAAACAAGGCTTCTCAAGACAAAGCTGTATCTGTTAGTAAATTTAAGTTTCTTGCAAGTGACTGTCGGACTGCACACCGCACTTCATCGAATTTTTTCTTCTTCTTACGCCGTCATTTTCAATAAGTTGTAAATAAAGCCATTCTTCAAAATGCGTCTGATCAAATGACATTTTTAAATTTAAAATCTTCTTAAATAACGTTTTCCCATCGTTGCACACAGACGAAACATTTCAGCACTTAACGTTTAAGTGACAGAAATATTGTTTATTGGGCAGTTTATGCACACATCGTACATAAATGATGCACAAACTAGGACTATTAAAGGAGGCTTATATGACATATACTTAGAATAAACTTGAAATGTTTTAACCGGCTATAAAATATGTTTCAAGTTTTGGAAAAAATAATTTGAAATATTCCTTAAGTTAATTAATCCGATTTGCCTGCAATAACATGCATGCATTAAAAGCTTCCTCTTCAAAGTGATCCTAATTACACCAACTTGACATCAAACCACAATGTCCCCACCTATATGTTAAAACGTTTAAATTGCAATATGCATCTGTTGGAAAACGGTAAATATGTCCAATTTAGGAAGAACTTCTCATATCTTCCACATTCAGAAATGAAATTCAAGCATGGAGAGATGTGGCGGAAATTACCAACTAATAAATATATCTCAAGATGATTTAAAAACGAATCTGTTTAATAAATAAATAAGATAACTGATTGAATTTTATGGAATTTTCATACATTGCTGAGTACAATACTGACTTCTTTTGGACAAGCACACAACTGATAAACCAATATTGGACAAGGCCCTAGTCGATCATGATATGTTTTGCATCTGTGTAGCAGTTTAATAGAATCAATATTGTTCTAGACCATATCTAATTATCTCTTTTTGTACATCACTATATTCTATCTTTGTTACCAAATTACAATTATAAAATTATATGGATTATGTTCTCTTAAGAAAATGAATATAAGGCTAGATAGGGTGCGATATGGACTTTATATGAACGTTTAAAACTATGGAAATAACAACAAAGCTAAATGGAGTGTAATATGGACTGTATATGGACATTGTGGACACTGAAATTCAAACCAAAGCTAAATTGATAAGATTGGACCAATAATATATTTTACTGGAACATCACGTGGTGTAAATGCAGAAAATGCATTTGTTATATTTGATAAGGCGCAAAATAAAAAGAAATAGTTCACGCTTGTTGATTATATCATTTCTCATAATGTAAATGTTTAAATGTTACCTACCATGCAGTAAAAGTGACTTCATGACTGTTTACCCAATAAAATCCATTTTTTTTATCCGTATCAATGCTCCGCAATAACCCTTTAAACAAATGTTTTATATATTAATTTTAAAATATTAGCAATTATATCAGATCAATATGATGTCAGTGCATCTCTTTCCTAAAATATAAACGAATGATTTTGTTAATTCATCAAACCCCTTGACGCCCCACCCATTCTGTATCTGAAAGGAAATTTAAGATTATACATATCAACGTAATAAGTAGCTTATCAAGTCAAACTTGTATATTTTAAACTTTAAGGGCTTCATTGAAGTAATCTTAAATTTTGCTACTTTCGAAAAGCGTAGTATCATTACCAAACCCATTGCAGGTAGTTTATTCTATCATGCGGAGAAAATATCCAGTTGCTAACATGAGGTTTTATCGAAATGGTGCGTAGATCTCGGTCATCCAGTAGAAATGACCAAAACAAAATAAATAAAAAAATAAACGAACATTAAACAAAACAATTTAAAAGAGCATTTATTAAATCTAAGTGTCTGCTACCAATTTTAGTTTGCATTTATTGAATGAGCAATGCAAAACCTTATGTTAAATCTCGAGAGTTGAAATTTTGTTTAATGTCTGTGACTAACCTACTAGTAGAAATTCCGTGATGAACTGACTCATTTCGTGCTTTCTCGGGTAAAGGACATACCAAAAAATAATTGCAGGTCTAACCAAAGCTTTACAAAGAGTACTTATGAGACAATTTTTAACCCACGTTGTAGTCTATGATATGGCCACATAGGTACATTCACGTACAATTAAAAAGATATCTAATTTTAACAGCGCCACTTAGTTGTGAAAAAATAACATTTGTGACAATAATTGACACAAATAAAATGTGTTAAAAGTAAAACAAAACAAAACAAAGCAAACTGAATCAATGTTGTTGGTTACTGCTTAGTATTCTAATGGAACAAATTTGCAACACACATTTAACACATGAGTCATGTTTCAGAAATTGTTTTAAAAACTGACGAAAACATTTCCAAATATAGAAATATTTCCTTGTGCCCTCACAACTCAAGGTTTCTTTCGACACAATTATAGATCTGAGCAATGCTTGTTAGTTTGTCTGGTTTTATGGTCTGAGCGAAATATCATAAGGTTTGAAATGGGTAATGAATTAATAATTTCACTAATTATTACCCATTTCATATACATTTCTAGAAACAGAATAATGCGCTTATTCTTTTAGTTTAATTTTGGAATCACATGTATTTGCACCCAATAAAATATGGATAAATCGAATCCCTAAAGAACGTTCAAAACAACAAAATTGAAAATCTTGCAGGCTCGGTTTGATTGAGCCTGTCCAAAAGCCTTTCTGTCTTGAAAAAATCAACATTATGTCCCTTATGCGTGTGATATGAAAATTGATTCGCATATGTGCTTTGTGGTTAAAACAATTTTGATAATTTCAATTATTATGAAAAAACTGAAAAAGTAATGTGTTCATTATAAGAAAGAAAGAACATCTTTGTTCAGCTTGAAAAACGATCATTGTGAAAATTATAATTTCTAACGTTTAACATGCTTTTGAATTACTTCAAAACTAAACATATTCGCTTAAACACTCACCTATGTGTGCCTTGAAACTTTTTGAATCATATATGCCATTTCTTTGATCTTTGTATCTTTGTTCTCGAAGAAGGTAATTTATATACAGTAATTCTTTTTGTGATTGTATTGTTATAAGATGCTCATTCCGTTGCCAGCAGACATACCTTGCCTCATACCAGGATATTGATGATTGAAATACAGTGTAGCACTTTCTGAATTTCTTCGAACAAACTGTTAATTTAAAAAATACATAAGTTTCTTTATCCAGTTTCCTTTTCTTGCCTTAGGATCAATTTTTTTTTTCTTCAAAAGTATGAAGGAAAATTAATCGTTATTGACGACGTTATCAAAATCAGTTGATACCTTATAATTATAACTGCACCATGCGATAATTTGATGACAGTATAAATCACACGTATTACGACATTTAATATTTTTCCAAGTAGCTTTATCATTAATGCATCAATGGTGTTTAACTTTCAAGCAAAGATGAGGTATTGTCTTCCACACTTTGTCAAATTTGTTTTTAGTCATACATGTCAACAAAATATTATACTATCATTTGAAGAATTCATAGAAATAAATAAACGCACTCTGTAAGCTACGATACGTTTAAGATAATCATATTTTCATTCATATTTATTTTCAAAGAATAAAATTGGTCTATAAATTCTTGCAATGATAATATCTAATATCGGTTCTAAAACACAGGAGTTGAGCTTATATTAGTTACTTTAGAGAGCCAGAAAAGATACGTATTTCTTTATAAAGGATCGGCTTTTGCTACAGGCACAATATGCCTTCGAAACGAATACATTTTTCCTTCTTTAAGTCTTATTTCTGAGTCTTATTACTATAGAAAAAGTTAGATGCTTATCACACGAGGAAAATAGCACCGAATGAGAAATAATTTTGTCATTAGAATAGATCAAAATAAATCAAAGAAGTATTTAAGCTTCCGTACATAATACTAAATTACTATAATTGGTCTTATTGCGATAAAGCAACAGAAGCAAAATATAAATCAGGTAGTTGAAAAATAAGTTTCTTTTTAAAACCTTAAACAGGACACCGAAATAAAAAATCTTTGAGAAAAGAAAATAGCAATATAAATGAGGCACGATGGGTCTTGAATGCTATACAGACCAAACAAAATCTAAGTATTATTGTGATCATGAACAATGTAAAGACAATTTCGTAATAAATATGTGGCTTTTATAAAGCAGAGATAAATCCCTTCATATGGGTGTCCGTATTCAGATTTATGAATAATGACAATTGTTTACCTTGTGTAGCCCTCATCGATTTTTGCAGAGAATTGACATCTAAAAAGAAGCACCATTTTAATCAGCATTTTATCAAATAATAATCTAAAAAACATACTTTATAGATTTTTACAGAAATCGTCGTTCTTTTTTGTGATGACAAAAACGTTGTTATAACTATTTCGTGTGCTATACTCTATACACCATTTATTTGTATCGCAGCAAAAGGAAACGAAACAAAGGTTTTTAAAAGTCGTCACGTTCACCTGTTAGAAAACAACAACAACAAACAATGTAGCATCAGGGCAATCCAATATCATAGAGAAAATAAGAATTCCTAAAGAATGTCCAAAACGGTAAAACTGAAAATGTTGCAGGCTCGGTTTGATTGAGCCTGTTCATGGACCGTACTGTCAAGTGCAAACTACCATCCACATCCCTAGCATCGGCTTAAGCAGAACATGAAATGGCCAAATTTTGAACTTAGAAACATCCGAAGATGTGTTCATACGGCGGTTACCAATGTGACACAGTAATGTCATTCCATGAAAAGCGGCGTATGGTCCCAAAGTAAAAGAACAATGTGGCCATACCACGTGACTTTTCGGGTACGGAACACGCCGATTTTTCCCCCGATTCAGATATGTTTTTTATTCATAACTTATTTATTACTCAACCGATTTTGATCAGATAAGGTGCAGAGTACCCGTAATTATATCAGCTATCCACGGTATATCAAAATTCTGAAAACCCCTGAATGGGTTTTGAGAACATTCGAGTACAGTTTTCTTTTCATAGCCTGGGCCGAGGGGAACGGTACACACTCATTTGACATAACAGGCGATTTCTAGCAAGTTATATGTTTTTTGACACTATTTCATAGAAAAATACATGTTAAATCTGATATATTTACTATGTCCAATGTATTTAGTGAATACAGTGATGTTTTAGCATATTTTCGTAAAGTTATGTTGAAATGATACGGAACACACAGTTATTTCAAAAGATACGGTACACACACAATTTCTGTCTTTGAAACAATTCTAAACTAAAATATGTAAAAAAATTAATTTAAATTATAATGTGAGTGATTTTTTTCATAGTTATACATTTTATTAATTTAAACGAGAACCCTGGGACCTGTTTTGCAAAGTATCATTATGCCTACAGTTTTATGTAAACAGGATTATTCAAAAAATAAAAGAACATTTTGAGCAAAATTCGATTTTATATGTTGACCAATTAATATTTGGCTATAAAATGTTAAAATTTTAGGGAGGGATACGGAAGACATTCAAAATTTTGTTTTGTTTTGATTTTCATTTGAAACAATTAGGTTTATTCTTTTGGATTATAAAACGAATTGTGAAATTCATGGACATCTGTTATGTGCGATTATTATTTCTTTTAATTTGTTTGTTCGAATATAAAAATGACTGTCTAAACATAGTATGAATATATAAACAAACAAGAAGTTAGGAGTAAGTTGGAAATATATGTTCCTTGCAAAATGTTGTTTAAATAATAGAATTTGGAGAAAAAAACGCTGGTTTTGATGTAAGTGGATTTTTTTAAATCACGGAAAGTGTAAAGTTTTTTCCGGCCACATGATATTTGGTATGAATCATCTGCCAGGGTCCCAAACTAACTGCATGTATCTTAATTATCAAATTATCTACATATGGACAAATATATTTCGCATCAAAATTAATAATTTGATAATTTGAAGAACCCATATGGGAACAATGCCTGTTATATAACGTAACGTAGTTTATACAAGGTAACCTTGTTACATATACATGATATACATGTTAGGAAATTTGGTGAAATTATGCCTATCTTGGACTTTCATTTCAAGATGCATTTAACACTTGAGTTCATGGATATGTGTGCTTGCGTGTTTGTGTTAAAAATAAAATGATATTTTAATAATACCCATTTTGTCAATCAAATGCTATGGATTTTGGAGACTGCGTTCTGTTTTATATACTACATGAAGTAGGTACGAGACCACAAGTGACTTCGATGTTTTGATTTTTTATGTGAGAAAGTTTTCTTACTACCGTACAGAATGTCGGTCGTTTTACTCAGGTGCCCGTTCGTTCCTTTACTGATACCCAAAGGGGCACTTGTAAAACTCGAAAGTCGCCACATAATAATGTCAGTTTTATGAGACGTAAAACCAAACCAAAAATGACCTAATTACCTGAATTAAAAGTTATTTTTAAAGATTCATGCCTTTAAACATTAAAAATTTAAGCAATGGCGACTACAGTTTTATTTGTTTGGGTCGTCAGACCAAACAAATAATGGTAGCGAAATTTCAGGCTCTGATATGCTTATTTGCAAAATAAGAAAGTAGTCCGAACCCCTGGAAGCGGTTACTTACCTTTATATGTACTCTAACGCTGAAAAAATAAGGGGGATCACTGTGTTAAGATTGTCAAATGACGGGCGCATTAATTTTCAAGCCTTCTCGAGAGAAGAAAAAGTAGTTTCCGATTGGTCAAAGATTTCAAATATTGTGTAATTCTTTACAGATATACATGTAATATTAAGCTCCATGATTATTTACATCAGTGTCAAACTAAATTAATAAGGGTTCCAAACCCTAATTTAGAATGATATGGTTTTCTTCAGGCTGTTATCTTATAACTTCCCCGTGGTCGAGGGGTTACACACTCGTTTAGGAAGAGAGCTGTCCTGAGTTCAAATCCAAGTTAAGGCAACTCATGTTGTTTTTGTTTTTTTAATTTTTTAAGCAAAATAAACAATGAATTACATATCAGTGTTGCAATAAGCCTTATAGCCAATTTACTACAGTTATGACACTAGAAACAATTTGATTTAATTAAACATGACCATGATATTGCAAAACTGTACCTAATGACTTGCTTATTATTAATAAAATATAAATATATATAAATTGTTATCAAGTAATGATACTTTTCAGCGATTTAGGTCATTTTTTCAGGATGAAGCAAAAAGACATATCTTACTTTACTTAAACTAAAAGAAATAAATAAAAAAAATAAACAACAATAAACACAGCATTTTATAACAACATTTTCTTTCTATAGAGCGCGACTACCTGATTCTGTGAAGATCGAAGTGTTTAACATACCCTAGGTGATTTTAAATAGGACAATTACATGGAGGTTGTAAATGTTAAGCGTGATCTCTTGAAATATAGTGCACAAATACATGTAAACATTAAAAGTAAGCATTATGATACATTGCAAAACAGGTCCTGGGTTCTCGTTTTAAATTAATAAAATGTATAACTATGAAAAAAATCACTCACATTATAATTGAAATTAAATTTTAATATATTTTATTTTAGAATTATTACAAAGACAGAAATTGTGTGTGTACCGTATCTTTTGAAATAACAGTGTGTTCCGTACCATTTCAACATAACTTTATGAAAATATGCTAAAACATCACTGCATTCACTCGATACATTGGGACATAGTAAATATATCAGATTTAACATGTATTTTTCTATTGAAATAGTGTCAAAAAACATATGACTTGCTAGAAATTGCTTGTAATGACAAATGAGTGTGTACCGTTCCCCTCGGCCCAGGCTATGAAAAGAAAACTGTACTCGAATGTTCTCAAAAACCATTCAGGGGTTTTCAGAATTTTGATATACCGTGGATAGCTGATATAATTACGTGTACTCTGCGCCTTATCTGATCAAAATCGGTTGAGTAATAAATAAGTTGTGAATAAAAACATACCTGAATCGGGGGAAAAATCGGCGTGTTCCGTACCCGAAAAGTCAAGTGGTATGGCCACATTGAGAATGCGAGTACCCAAGACGAGAAAACAATGGGCGCAACTAAATAAAATTTATTTTGAAAGGGGATCTGAGGTTATGAACAGAAGCCTGCATATTACAAACAAGACGTAAAAAGACAAATTTAAAAAGCAGGCAACATAACCTAAGGATGTTTCAACATTATTCAAGTAGGAAAATTGGAACCAACCAAGTCGAAAAAAACAAATAGTTGAAACTAAAAATAATATCACAAATACAACAATAATGTAAATAAAGTTGACTTAATGACTGTAGTCATGATATTTGCAAATGTAATAACGTGTTGTACTGATCATGCGCTAGAAAACAACAAAATATCTTTATAGTAAAAGATCGCATAATTTTCAATATCATTTTCTTTATAAAATTCCATACAACACACAATTTAATACATATCCATTTTCACATTTGTGGAAAATAAAAAAGAGGCATCACATCATTTTGTTACAATTTCATTTTATGGTATATGTTTACATGTTTTATAATTAAAATTAACTGGTTATTTTCATTACATTTTCTAAAACCTGACTGTTCTACCCCATCCGTCATCAGTTATCAGAATTTGCGGCAGACCGCCTTAGTTACTACACACATTCTTAACGACAGAGATGTTTCTGAGCCAATTTTACGCTTTGTTTAACTTATGGGCCATACGTAATGGCATTTACGCGTCACATTCAAGGTTCCATGATAACCGCGGTATGAACACATCTGCGCTTGTTTTTAAATTCAAAATAATATTATTTCACCATGTTTAAATGTTGAATTCTGCTGTAGGGGGCGTGGACGGTGGTTTGCACTTGACAGTACCGTCCATGAACAGGCTCAATTCATATCTACACTCTAATTTATTTAGTTAATATAATGGCTAGGGTGGAAAGTTTTGGGGGTATCTGGTGTGTGAAGTGTCTTTGGGAAAATTTTCTATAATCACCGGCGATGTGTCCCAATAATTGCTTGGCATCATTCTTTTTGCTAAGTGACATTTTGAGTGTCTATCATTCAAAATCGATTGATTAATAGACTTCAATTTCCGTACAAAAAGGATGTGCTAAACAGGCAATTTTAATTCATTATTAGTCGGCCGTTTCGGATCTTATATCAAGTCGGAAAATGAACACCAAAAGCTTTTTAAAACGTTCAACTTATTTTTATATTTATCTTAATTTTTGATCATATATAAATGTATAATGCAACGACATACAAAAGTTTTTAAACCATTATGTTATTAAGAAGAATTCATTCCGAATTTTGTTCTCTTCGCACGCATTTTGTACTCAATAATTTCGTACCAAATAATGGACAATTAACTTGCCGGAACGTTTCGTAGGTAATCCATCTTTTAAACCGATTACATTTTTAAAATAAGTAAAATGTCTTTAATTATCTTGATTGACCATATACAGTTGATTGAATTTGATATTAATTTCAAAATTTCACTATTGTAAAGTAAGAGATATGAATTGTCAACACCATATTTAAATCACTTATTGTAACTGAAATATGTAACGACGTTTTCCTATCATCTTTTAATATTCCTTTAAGTTAGAATTGCAAACAAAATGTGTTCTCCCGTGTACTTAAATTGTTGTTGTTGTAATTTCGCTTTGATTTTTCTTTTGAATTCTATTTACAATCGGACAATGCAACGACGAGCTGTAAAGTGAGTGTCTCTTTTTTATTATGTTTTTAACAGTATTTATGTAACACGGGGTTGTCGCTAATAGCACTGACATTGCTCTTGTCGGAAAAAACTGAGTGAAATTTAACAAGGTAATTCAGTTGAAATATGAAGCAAACTGAATCATAGCTTCAACTATTAAATTAGAAAGGAAGAAGACACACAAAGCATATAAAACTTCATTTCTAATCAACGATTTTATTTAAAAAAGAGAGACCTTGTTTACTGTAAATTTGATATGTATAATGCATAAAACTCATAAAAATCTAGAGCATTTGTTTCTTTGATGCTAAAACTCTGTACGCATTTTGTTAGATCTGTTTAAATTGAAATAAACAGTTAAATGTATAAAATATCAAAACTTAGATCATGCCTGTACAACAGTATCCCGATAGTCATAATTATACTTTGTAAAACATTATAAAACGATTGATATATTTTGACATGAGAATATTTTTATATTTTGACTTTACATAAATGTATTTGAAAGAATTACTCACTTGTATCCGTCCATTTTTCTAACGTAAAACTTTTTGTCCTGAATTGCAACCTAAAACCTTCCCGTCCTAAGAAAATCTGGCTGGGTTCATCATATCTTCGAAACACAATATGGATATAATTTTCCTCCGAGTAGACAATCTTCGGAGGTTTATTTGCGTTGCAGTATTCTTTTTTACCATTTCCTTCAATCATTGCGAATTTTGAGCGAATGTCCGATGTTCCTAGGATTTCAAATATACTGTTAAACAATTTAGAACGAGTGACAGACAAAAAGGGCATTTTTGTTATTTCAGACTGCAGTAGGTAAGTGAATATATTCACCCAAGAGATAAGATAACTGTGTTTAGGAATAAGGGATTTTTTCTTGTATTAAAATGACGTTTGATACCAGACAAAACTAGTATACAGCTATTTCAGTGGTGTTTGTCGAACAGTCCAAACTGTTACCTCGAGGTATCAGGGATGACATTTGGAACTACTGCCAGAGGCCGTCAACAGGGATTTAACAGTTAAAAAATATTGACCGGTCAACAGTTCATTTCATCACTGTGCATGCACCGGATTTGAGCGGTTTCATAAAAAGGCATAAGATAAGACTTGCTTTTATTATTAAACAAGTTGTTGAACGGTTATAATACAAGTATATGTAATAGGCTTTCAACGATGTCGAAGAAAAAACTGACAAATAAAAACCATATGTTTTCAAAACAAATACTTAAATGAAACTGATATGTATTATTCCAGAGATTTCGCTACCGTATATAGAGGATATTTGTTTGTTTTGCATATAAGATTGAAATATATTTCACTCATTAAACACCAGATGCAATATTTTCACGAGTGACGTAGCCACGAGTGACGTAGCCACGAGTGAAAATATAATAGATGGTGTTCACGAATGAAATATATTTCAATCTTATATATAAAAACAAATAAATCTTTCTTTTTTTCATGTTTTTTTCAGTGACTTTAAGTATTTTTGTACTGATTTTGCCCGTAACGTAGCGCATTCTCCTTTATGACGTCATCACATCATGACGTATCATCACTAATTTTGAAATATAGTTGTAACACTTTTAACATGATGCATGATATGTATCAACTTTATTTTCCTTAAGAAGCAAAATTTACGTATTACGGTATTTATTTTTGCAAGTTATTCCTTTTAGTTATGATATTCTCTTAATCCGCATTCAGATATAGTCCGGCTACAGAGAAAATTATATTTTATAAATTTCACTAGTGGTTAATCAGAATATAATCATCTGATATAATTACAGTAAATCACTGGGGGCATTAAATAAGGATTACTTAATGCATACTCTGTACAATTTAATACTGTTTTTGAATATTCTCCTTTTGCCTTTATTGTATGTTGATACTCCGTTTTGCTCCTTTGGTTTGCGTGCCAAAGTCTTAAAATATTACTTTGTTCCCGATAATTTGTCCGCCATTTAATTCCCGCCACGCACATATTTATGCGCTTTTCGTGATATGATTAAAATATTAACACAGGTAAACTGCAAGTGATTATCCAAATTATGACCATGAAGGTTTATACTTTATGAGATTTTATCTTCGTTTGACTTTATAGCACAGTAAGTAAGACCGCTTATTGATATGAAAGTGAATTCAGCCAGTAGGTTCGAAACCTTGTGGAAACTGTTCCATTTTATTCAAGTTTAAATTCTTTATTACATTACTTACCGTTTGACAAACAATATATGGTTACGCATATAAACTAAAAGATATTGTTTTTTGTCTATTTTTTGTTTCTGCTCGCCCATATAGTTCCTATCAGGCGGCGAGGGTAAACAAACGCAAACACACACAATCACACATTTGGTCTCTTTTAAAATTTGTAAAAACTATTTATACGTTTATAATAATAACAATAGAAGAAAAAATGTGACAGTGAAATGAATGAGAGAATATTCTCGGAACATAGATAACAACAAATCAAAAAAAAAACTAGAAATGTGTCCATAGGACACGGGTGCCCCCACCGCGCCACTGTTCTTTCAATCTTATGACTCTAGGTCAAATAATTTTTGAAAACTAAAAATCTTTTACTAAGTAAAGGGCAAGAAATTTACAAATACTGAATAAATCCACAAGCAAACCCCAAGGTGCATAAGTACACATGCTGACCAACATTCTTGTAAACTTTCAGGCCTACAAGTGAAATATTTTTTGAGCTATGCATGAAAAAGTTGAAAATTGCAAGTTTTTACTACTGTAAGTCAATGGCAAAACTGAAAAAATCTACATGCAAAGTCCTGGGTGCATAGCTTCACAGTGATGTGAATCATTATTCCTGTATTTTAGTGATGTTGATCATAATTCCTGTACAGTTGGTTGATTCTAACTCAAGCACTCAAGGAACAAATAACAACATAATGAAACAGTTTTTACTAAGTCAAGGGCAAAAACTCTACAAATACTGGATAAATACACAAGCGAAACCCCAGGTGCAAAACTTAATATGCTGAGCAACCTTCCCGTAAGGTTTAATGACTCTATGACAAATCCTTTTTGAGTTACATGCGACACAAGTTGAAAATTGCTAAAATTTTCTAAGTCAAGGGCAATAACTCTAAAATTACTAAAAATATCCAGACGAAAATACCCAGGTGCACAACTACACATGCTGATCAACATTCCTGTAAAGTTTCATGATTCTATGTCAAATCCTTTACATGCGACCCAAGTTGAAAATTGCAAAATTTTACTAAGTCAAGGGCAATAACTCTTAAAATACTAAAATATCCAGACGAAAATACCCAGGTTCACAACTACACATGCTGATCAACATTTCTGTAACGTTTCATGACTCTATGTCAAATCCTTTTTGAGTTACATGCGACACAAGTTGAAAATTGCAAAATTTAACTAAATCAAGGGCAATAACTCTAAAAATGCAAAAAATATCCAGACGAAAATACCTAGGTGCACAACTACACATGCTGATCAACATTCCTGTAAAGTTTCATGACTCTAGGTCAAATCCTTTTTGAGTTACATGCGACACAAGTTGAAAATTGCAAAATTTTACTAAGTCAAGGGCAATGACTCTAAAAATACTAAAAATATCCAGACGAAATTACCCAGGTGCACAACAACACATGCTGATCAACATTCCTGTAAAGTTTCATGACTCTAGGTCAAATCCTTTTTGAGTTACATGCGACACAAGTTGAAAATTGCAAAATTTTACTAGATCAAGGGCAATAACTCTAAAAATACAAAAAATATCCAGACAAAAATACCCAGGTGCACAAGTACACATGTTTATCAACATTCCTGTAAGAGAACTTGATAGATAGCTGCATATTAGGGTATTGTAATCAGAAAAATAGTTGTTATTAGTATTTCAAAATTGCTTTGTCTTTTTAAAGCTTTTACATTTAACATATTTCATTATTTCTGTTTGTCATTAGTTTTCACGACCCCGGAAATCAGATGAAATAAAATATTGTAGAGGTCTGTCATCGCTATTTTCTAAAAATGTTAAGACATCATTTTTTACAACATTCCTTTTTGTTTACAATAATAATTTATCACAAGGAAATACTTATCAAACAGATTTAACAAAAGTATTTTAAAATTATAGCATAACTCAGCAAACAGAAACTAAATATCTACCCGTCAAGTCAGGTGTACGCCTTACAATTTTATCTTGTTGATAGCTGAGGGGATTAAGCAAAGAAGGTGTGACAAAATTTTAACAGTCAATTGGTATTTGAATTGTTATATCATAAAAATATGAAACTTTATAAAAGTGCATTTTTTAGAATATGTGAAAGAAAAAAAAACGAAAACCTGGCAGACATATATAATATACATTTTGTCAAAGCAGAGATGTAGATGTTATCTTTGTCTCTGGTCAAAGTATGCGTTACAGAAAATAAATTCATTCTAAACTATCACTTTTCTTCATGACTGTCCATTTGTTGTATAAAAATGGAATGGTAATTTTGTAGAAATTTGCAGTTTACAGACTCAGATTTTGACACACCTTTAATGAAATAACTCCTTTTGAACACTTCATATTGTTTTTCGATTGATTAACTGCTAACTTGACACCAACTTTTAAGACTAATCTAGTTAGAAGTTACACTAACTCATTTTTGTAAATAACATCCACCTTTCTTTACCTTCGAGATGTATCAAAAATTGATAAAATACACCTCTTCCTTCTTTAATTCCACCACCACCCTTAATTATATGTCAAATTCCATTTTAGTGTCCTTAAGGGTACCCTGTGCCACATAATATTATATTTAGTTGCTGGATCTCATGACTTTTGACCTCCGTTTGCAATCATGTTTTCTCATATTTTCAAACAAAATTCCAAAAGGCATGTTCTTACAATTTTTTATTTTAGACATTACAAAGTCAACAGCCCTTTATATGAAGACTCGGCATTTCCGCGCTATAATCAGATCAAGGAAAACAACGGACAAACATGCTAGATACTTTGCCATATCTTGCCACTGTTTTTCTTCTGAGGGCCTCAAATGTTTGTAAGATTCAAGATACGTAACCAAGTCTAAGGTTTAGAACGAATGGGACATTGAAAATAATATAAGTACGCCTTGCTGCCCATAAAACATCAGATACCTAGGGTATTTCTCTCTTAATTCTGACAGCTCTTGATCATGTTAATGAGAACAGACTTTGTGATGAATGTGTTGTTTGTTATTATTGAGAGTCTTAGTTAGTATTTTGTGCTGAGTTTTGTTGTTACAGCTCAGCTGTTTCCAGACTTGACGACAACAAATTCCAAATTTTCGTTGACATGCTTAAACAAGACAAGAGTAAAAAATATTGATTTTCATCATCAAGATCAAAAACGTAAATTCCAAAATAGGCTTTAAAAGCAGGTTTTGTTCCTTTGTGACAGATTTGATCTGACAGGTGCAATTCTTTTTATGATATGTGACGTATTTACGAACAATTCAATTGAATGAGAATGATGGTTGAGATTTAGTACAGTTTCGAAGCTCAAATAGGATAAACATAATGGTTATCTTGTTTGCAGTTAGAAATGTCCAAAAGAGCAACTTTACAAAGATAAAGAGCAAATATCCTAACTAAGGCTCTTTGTTACCAATCCCAGTTTTGTAATTTTGTTCTAGAACATTGACATTGCTTCTAGATATCTTAATAGCAATCCATAGCTGAATCTTAATATAAGCTACCCACACAGCAAGTTTAGAGTCAATAGATGAAAGCAAACTCAAATTATTACGTGAAAACTGAGTTTCTTTTTAAGCGACAGTGATCTTGGCCTTGTGCACACACACCTTGGTAGCATTACAAAGGTGCATCTTGATATAAGCTACCCACATACTAAATTTGATGTCAATAGGTCGAAGCAAACTTAAGTGATTGAGCGGAAACTGAATTCTATTTTTGTGCAACAGTGACCTTGCGTTTGACCTTAATCACAGACACCAAGGTACAACCCAAAGATGCCTCTTGGTAAAGCTATCCATACACGAAAGTTTGTTGTCAATAGGCAAAAGCAAACTCAAATTATTACGTGAAAACTGAGTTTCTTTTTAGTGACAGTGATCTTGACCTTGTGCACACACACATTGGTAGCAGTACAAAGTTGCACCTTGATATAAGCTACCCACAACCACAACGTTTGGTGTCTATAGGCAAAAAACTCAAGTTGAGCGGAAACTTAAAGTTGACGTCCGCTCACCTGCCCGCCTGCCGACTTCGGCATAACAATTTCCGGTTTTCGTTGAAACCTGATTCACAAATGATATGACTCTTAACATTTGTTTTTAGGATACTTCCATATCGCATGTATCCTTTGGTCTTTGTTGTATTCATATATGTTGACGATTCCTGTATGATGGTGAATTAACGCTCCCTGGTTTAAGATTCCACCGTTGTAATTTTGTTAAAATCCCAAGTTAACGGCGGTTTCAAACCTTCAAGGACACTATATTTAACGTTAAAAACTTCCTTCAGATAAAGGATCTATTTCCCCCAGATAGACTTCCGTCAACTAGAAAGATACTTGATATCATTATAATACATGAAATAGGACACTCAGCATCACCCATAGAATTTCAATATGCATAGAGCTTGCAAAGCGCAAAACTACACACTCTTTAAATATCCTCCTTATTGAACGTAAATGATGAACCTTAAAAAAATAAACCTTTTAAAGGAATACGCAGGCAAATTAATGAAAATACCAAAATTATCTTATGTACTCAAATCACTCTATAATGACATTTGTAAAAGTCCAAGCATGAATTTTGGTATCAATTCTATTTATTTTGAGTTTGAAGCGTAAATATAAATGAAATTTAGCCGCTGACAGAATCACCGATGACTGTCAAGTGTATATATTTTGAGGATTTAAAGATTAATGAATGAAAAATTCCAAACGAAGAAATGAAAATGTTGCCAGTGTATCCCTTTAAAACATGAAAATAAATATTTGGGTTATATCTTTAAAGTTGCAATCACTCTCAAACTGAATACATGAAAGTGCTGTTACATTTGATAGATCTGAGAGCTCAATGCCTACAGGACCGTGTGTGTATCCTATCCCTTAATGAGGGTCAATCCATCCTTTCAAGCACTATATAGTACCTTGGATACATACGCTTTTGTTCTTTCATTTTCATAGTATCATAAGATTTGTTTAACATAAAAAATATAGGAAATGTTTGGTGCTAGCAAAATATTGTTGATTAAGCTGAAGGAAATATAAATACTTCCAGCTTTCCTTGCATTTACAGAAATGGAATATGTTAAGACATTCTATTCTGTTTGTATACTATGTAAATTCAGACATTACAATTTTAATACTTCTCAATGGTAAATTGCTCACAATCTACACATGAAGCATTTTAAGGCATTATAGCTCATAGTTATTCGACATGATCGTCTACTTAGTATTACAACAAATAAATTGAATATGAGAAAATAATCAAAAAATATTTCAAAGTACTGAAATAGACTGTTTCTTAATTTCAGTAATTTGTTACCATAGAAACAGAAACAATTAATAGCATTACTAGTATTAGTAATGCAAATCTCTCATGTTAAGTGTAAACTGGGGTAATTTCCAGTATAATGGTAACTATCAATAGCCTCTACTGGAAAAGAAAGGTGAAAATTCCATGTAATGGCGGCCATTTTAAAAAATGGCTGCCATGACAACCATCTTGGCATATATAAAATGAGTCCCATGCAAAAAATGTTTCTTTTGCCTTTTATAACATATGTGCCAAGTTTCATGCTTTTCCCATTTCCTGAAGTATTTTAGCATATTTTGTTACAAATTGACTGGACTATAATTTCCTATTATATATTGCGCAACAAAAAAAAAATAAAATAAAAAACTTACAAAGTGCTAATTTGCTCTACCCGCAACCAACTGATCTACTTACAACCAGTTAACGGTAGTGTTTATAATTAAAGTCAATATTTACAAAATAAAAAGTAGCAACAGTTTAAAATGACATCTAGATAAGCATCACCAATACTTTACTAAGATGATTTTGTCGGACAAGACATGTATTAATCATCTAGTTCCATTTGAATGTACAAGCCTATGTTGAAATTTTATCTTTTGATGAAAATTTTATTTAAAAAAAAACGACAAAATACAATGTGTGGGATAGTAGCGTTTAACATCATCCATTTCATCAATACCTCATGTTCAAATTCTTATATTATTTTTAACGAAAAATATATATGGAAGTATTGCCAGTTTATCCTGACATTAACTGAATTCTCAATGCTTCCTCGCATCTATAAATAAAAAAATATTATCAATGCATATTTTACTAAAATGATACGAAACAATGATGGTAACCTCATAAATGATTAAAACATCACATACCTCTTTGACAGACAATATAAAAGTCTATAAATTCAATCTGGATTCCGTGATGATTGCGAGCTTGAATTTTAAATCTTTCTTCAAAATTTTCAAATGGAATATTTAATATCGACATTGACGTAAGTATCATTTCTGGATTTGTGCACGCTTCATTCCTGCCCCGGCTCCAATCTACACTTGAAGCGATGGACAAACACGCTGGGATATCTAGGAAAAAAGAAATTCGAGCTAATCTTAGAAACAAGTTCGTTAAGATATAAATATTCTTCAAAATTTGCAACAAATAAAAAAAAACTCATGAAACAGTTCTTTTTTAATTTAAGTTTCCTTCAAATACCTGTTTATTCTTTAAAACAACTTAAAGATAAAGATCTTTAGCAGAACTTATTTTACGAAACAACTGAGTATTTATTTGACATTATCTACCAACTAAATTGCATTGTGTCAGTGAGACAACCATGTTGTCAATTTATTCAACAGTAATACAAAAAAAAATGCATTTAAATAATTATATAATTATACAATATACAAATTGTAAAAAATTTTTTCATGTTTAATTAATGTCGCCGAAAATGGCCGAAGGAATGAAAGCTCCAGTAAACTAAAAAAGCAAAATCAAAATGATTTATAGAATAATTCTTTATGATTCAACTTTTTTATATTTGCCAATGTTGTTATAATAAATCTATAAACGACACACTTAAGCTCTAAACCATATCACATACATTAGAACCAACAAAAACTTTAACTGAATATAAAATGCTTGACGAGAGGCTTTGATAATTAAAATAATCGATATATAGACACGTTTGCTGTGAAAGAATGTCTACAATACCTACCTTCTTGATTAACAACTGCACGAAATGAACTTCCCCTAAATGTATTAAAGCACGGCTGAAAGGTGACTAGAACAAGAGTCCTATTTGTTTCAACAATAAATATTCTTTCGTTAAAATTTGTATTGATTTGAACGCCCTTCAATCGCTCAAGTAAGTGTGTCCCTATAACAAGCATATCTTCACAACCATTGTCATTATTTTGCTTCTAGAAAGAGAATAATTTGATATTTGTGTATACTTTTGTTGCACTAACATCAAGTTTTTTTTTCTATCGAATTAACAAGTTACTTAAAAAAAATACACAATACATTTATGATAAATAAATCTAAGTTACTAAACATTGAAAAAAAGATTCATAAATGATTACAAATAGTATTTATTCAAACATTATATGTATACGTTTTTCATTGTATCTATGGTGTATGTAAGATAATTAAAAGACCTTTTTAAAATATAGCATATACTTTACGCCTTTTGCCCATGCGCTTTCAAACAAACGAAGGTTTACATGCAAACCCTAACCTTGCCTATGCAATTGTTATATTTCAGTGCTATCAAATTACAAAAGGTCAAAGTGGAACAAATCTTAAATAATTTCTGGGTTTAGATAAGGAGTGTTGAAGAGAAAAAAAATGTTTTAATATACTTGAATCGAATGAATTATCATTTATACTTAAAAATTCTTACTATTTGGTTTAACGTGACGTTTGTGAAGATTAGTCTCACATAGTGCTCATATTTAAAATCTATTATCCATGTATAACTGTAGCCACTTCCTGTCAGAAAAGGATAGCCTATAGACATTATTACTGCAGCCTTTTGGACATACAAAGCGTTCGTTGTTATCGCCACCCGATTACTTTTAAAACTCGGAAAGAGTTCTATTGAATCTAAAAAAAAGGCATTTTTTATTACATATTTTATGTATTGCCTACAGAGTCTATATATAAGGGTTTCAAAGCTAACGGCAAACATGCTTTCAAAGTATCGTTAGAAGCGGGGTTTCCTCTTTAAAAATTTCATTTTTAATTAAATTTACAGTATTTTTTATATTTGACTTTATGTGCAGATAGAAAAAGTCTCATCTATTAAGTTTTCATTTATTCTAAACTAGTACACGGTATATGATTTCCTTGTAAGTGTCAACTGACATAAAACTACTCCTTATATACATTGTAACAGCAAATGAAGTAATAATTTGATATGCAGAAAATGACCATTAGTCTGGGATTCATAACTTGAGTGCCACTCTTCCTTGTTGATCTTTGATTCCATATTCCATATTTTAGTTGGGAAATAGTTAAGTAAATCAAATATAAACAAGAATGCATTTGTGAAAAAATGCTATGCCACCGCATTAATATAACAGAAGTAGATTATTTTGTTACTATACAATTGAACTTCTCAATAATGCAGTAGTGTCCAGTGAATTTTGGGGTAAAGGTCATATTTCAGCATGTCAAATCATTAGACACATGTGCAGATGTGTCTTATGTTAATATACAAAGGCCATAGTGCGATATTTGATTAAAAAATAAAATATTTTTTTACTGAAAACATAGGTATCCCGGCACAACCACAATTCGGCAACAACCCGTTTCCGGCGGCCCTAGAAAGTTTTAGTTTTTTTACCTTCTTTACATCACATCCGGGTCAAGTGCGCGCGTTTTGTTTACAAACATCACAGAAATGTCACGCAAATTTATCTGACGCAAAATGGAGATAAGAACCGTAAGTATACGTAAAAATAAGTATGCACATACATTTTTGTATATTTTCACTATTCCCAAAATTTCAGCTTTTAAAAGTTCATATTTTTTACATAAAGACTGAATGTTTGTAAAAACGAATAGGCTCGTCTGCAGAAGTAGGTCAATATCTAAGCTCCGCCCCCTGTCAATGATTCGTAAAGTATACTTCACAGAAAAAATAACGTGACAACATAACCATAGTTCCTTATTAATAGATAGGTTAATTGTTTACTAATTGAATTTTAATTGAATAAATGCTAATAGATGTTGTTTTGATTTTTTCAGCATCATGTGCCAGACAGGGGGTCTTATAGAACCTATGATCCTGACAACTTGTCAAAAGCTTATTTTGCTGTCAAAGAAGGCAAAATGTCAACAAATAAAGCTTCAAAAGTATTTAATGTACCTAGAACAACCCTACAGGATAGACTATATGGCAAAGTTGATATAGAGACAATCAAATCAGGTCCTCAGCCTCTGTTTAACCAGGAGCAAGAAGCACTTCTAGTTGGTCATTTGAAGACAATGGATGACGTGGGTTATGGCTATAGCCGCCAGGAAACTTTAAATTTAGCATCTGACTATGCTGTTCATTTAGGCCTTAGAGATAAAGATCACCCACTCACTGATAGATGGTTGTATAAGTTTTTAAGCAGGTGGCCTGAAATTGGTGTCAAGAAGCCACGTAGTTTAGAAATTGCAAGGGCAAAGTCTGCCACAAGGGGGGCTGTAGATGCATATTTTGAGGAACTTGGTCATATCCTTTCAAAGTACAACCTTCTTAACAAACCTCATAGGATTTATAACATTGATGAAAAAGGTCTTAGCACAGAACATAAGCCACCTAAAGTGATTGGGGGGAAATTTTCAAAATCTCAAGCTGTAACATCTGGCAGAGGCAAAACGGTTACTTTGATAGGCTGTGCTAATGGTGTTGGCCAAGTAATACCCCCCTACTTTGTTTTCCCTGGAGCCAGGATGCTTGATTCCTTGCTGGATGGAGCAACTGCTGGTGCAGATGGTGATGTTTCTGAGTCTGGATGGTCTAACTCCCAAATATTTTGCAATTACATTCAGGAGCATCTTATCAAGTTTTTGCCTCCAAGAGATGATGATGATATTCTTTTACTCTATGATGGACATAAGAGTCACATAACCATACCGATTATTGAGTGGGCCAAATCTCATCATATTCACTTGTTTGTGTTACCACCACATTGTAGCCATCTTCTCCAACCACTAGATGTTAGCTGCTTTGGTCCATTTGAGATTGCATGGAATTCTGCATGTCACAGTTTTATTCGTGAATCTGGTGGAAATGTAATTACACGATATGAAGTCTGCAAAATAGCCTGCAAAGTGTATGCCAGCACTTTAAATCCTGGAAACATCCAGTCTGCATTTAGGAAAAGTGGAATTTATCCCTTTGACAAGTCTGTAATTGAAGATGCCAAAGTTGCTCCAGCCACATCTTTTGATAGGGATTCTATATCTGCCACTGATGCCCCTGATCCTACATCACATACACCAGTAAATGAAACATCTAAGTCTGCCGAGTCATTCTTATTGAACCGTGGGGGGAAAATTCTGCAAAATGTAAAGAAAGCAAAAATAAGAAATACTTTGAGTAAAATAGTTGGTGGTAAATGCATCACAGAAAATGAAGTATTTGACAAAATTATTGATCATGACACAAAACAAAGCTCAAAGAACAAACAAACAAAAAAAACAAACAAAGCAAATCCAGTTAAAGGTAAAAGGAAAAAAAATATAGAGCCCTCTACATCTGGAATTCAAACAAAAAAAATGACACTTAACGAGAATTTCTCAAGCTCTGAATCTGAAATTGATGAAGAAACCGACAAATGTATAGTTTGTAAGAGTTTTTACCCAGATTCATCAAAGAAACCACAACTATTAATAGTCAACTGGGGACAATGTGATACATGTAAAGGCTGGGTACACTTGTCATTTTGTTCATCAGTAAGGGTTATAAGAAGAGGTGACAAATTCCTCTGCCCTTTCTGTAGTGACACCAGCAACTAAACTTTTGATAAAAAAAAAAACAATTGTAAATATGTTTCTAACAGTTAAAAGTGTTATAACAGTTAAAATATTACTTACAGTTTAAGTTGTGAATGTTAGTTAACTTATGTGACGCATAATTTTTCGTGAAGTATACTTTTACTACAATTGCCGGAAACAGGTTGTGCTACTTCCGTATTTGGGACATTGGATCGGCCATATTGAATATGGATAACTAAAACAAAAAATGCCGTAAGTAGATTTTATTTGTATCATGAATCAGCGGGAAGACGATTTTATAATATCCATGACAAATATTTACTTTCTTCAACATAAATAGTAGTTTACGCTCCGATATCTTGTTGAGTTGCCGGAAACGGGTTGTACCGGGATATTAACTGTATAACATAGCTGTATAAACTTTGAAATGCAAGTACCACCTTTTCAATTAAGCATTATCAATTTCTAAAAACATAGTCATTATTATAAACGTGGAGTGAATCATAGTGTCCTTAAAATGTGCTAAAAAAATTTCATTTAATATATCTACAAAGCACACAAGAGTTCATTTCCTGAATCATTTCATAAATATCTCTGAAAACATGACCTTTACTCCCAGCTATTGAATATTTTACATAAAAATTGCATAACATATATTAGAAATTCCTAATGTTTCCTTTCACACAAAAGATTGTTTAAGTTTTTACTATATGTACATTATGAAAATCAATGACCCCGGGGCGGGGCTAATTTTGACCCCAGGTCTACAATTTGAACAATTTTGGTAGAGGTCCACTACACAATGTTTCATGCCAACTATCTAACCTCTAGCCTTTGTCAAATCAGAGAAGAAGTTATTTTGAAAAATTAACTATATACATATATGGCAAACCTATGACACCCCGGGGACCGGGCCAGTTTTGATACTAGAGGCAAAATTTGAACAATTTTGGAAGAGGACCTATAGATGATATACTATACTAAATATCAAATCTCTAAGCCTTGTACCTACAAACAAACAGATTTTTTAAGATTTGACTATAATTATTTACATAGTGGAAAACAATGACCCTAAGGGGGGAGGGGGGGATCTTGGTAGAGATCTACTACATAATGATTCATGTCAAATATCTTACCTCTAGCCTTTGTCAATTCAGAGAAGAAGATTTCTTAAGATTTTACTATATGTACATAATGAAATTCAATGATCCCGGGGCGGGGCCAATTTTGACCCAGGAGCTAAAATTTGAATAACTTTGGTAGAAATCTACTACACATTGTTTCATGCCAAATATTTAATCTCTAGCCTTTGTCAATTGCAAATTATAGCATGATATCATAAGCCACTGTCGCAGGAGCAATTACAAAAAAATTAAAATTAATAAATACATATTTGATTATCTACTACACAAACTTTTCGAATCTCCAACGTTTCAAGTGGTTGAATCCCGCTTTTTCAAGGAGTTTCTGTTTATTTTTATAAATAACTTATTTATCTTATTATCTTACACTATGTTATGTATACAGGAAATGAAGTTGTTGACGTCAACATAAAAAATACGCAAAACATGATGATAACGTTTTCCGTCAAAAATGTTCCACTGCATACCGTTGTTCCCCTTACTCACTGTTTGTAATAATATTATATACATAGCAAGCAATGTGAAACTGATTTCATTGTATTTCATTGAGAATACATTAATAATAAAATAATTATAATAATAATAATAATAATAATATTATTATTATTATTATTATTATTATTATTATAAATAATAATAAATTAAATAAATATTAAAATAAATACTTAACAATTTTAATAAAAGTAATAATATTAATAATAGCAAATAATAATAATAATAATAACAATAAAATATTTACCTGATAGTTTACATCCATGGATTTCGAATCGTAGACATGATTGATTTACCCCAATACTTCCATTTAAACGTAGCATTATAAAACGAGTTGTAACTGCATTTTGAAGAAAGAATGACAGGTGCTGTTCAGACGTAAATGTGCGACATCAATTGTAAACTGTTAAAGGTATGAACTTTTAATTAATATACTAAAGCAAACCATCACTGACATCAACGACAAAAACCTATATTGAAGGCTAATTACTACACATCATAACAATAATGATGATGCAATTACTATGATTTCAGAGATAATCTATGACTTCTGTAATTTACAACAATTATAGAATGGTTCGGCATACTTACGTACATATTTAAGTACGAGAAACAATTGACAACAAAATTTAGCACTTGAAGTTTTTTTTTGTAAAACCAATAACATCTTTACCTAAATGACTAACAGTGGAAATATTTGATGAATTGCAATCCTAATTATATTTGTTGCTATGTAAACTGCTTTTGTACCATTCTTTCTTATATTTTGCTTGCCTACAATGATACATTTTTTGCATGAACTATCTCCGAAATTTTTGCCCAACTTCATTACCTTCAAGTCAGTTAAATTGTCCGTCTGATTTCCATATAAAAGATGAAAAGACTCCCAAATGTCATTTGAAAAAGTATGTACATCTTCTTTCATGAGGATTAAAGTCATCCCTTCAATTTTTGTTTTTGATTTCATATCAACCTAAAGTAACAAATATATTTAATGTTCCAATCATATGTTTAGCAATACATTATTGTAAAGTTTTACCATTTAATGCACCGACTTTATGTAAGAAAATATAATTTAATAGTAGCTTTGTCTTCAATGGTTCAAACATGGACTTTCATTTACTGTTTAAATTGTGGAAAATAATCCAACATGTAGCTTTGCTAATCTTAAGAAAGCTGGCGGCTTGATTTCATTGCAAAACCAAAAGATGTATTATTATGATTATTATGCTACGATACACAATTTAATTTATAAATCTACGCATTTTTGTTTCTGCTTCGTATAATCCCAGCTTGGATGTAACGAAATGAACTCTTTTGAAAATACATTAATCTTGATTAATTGAATATGATTTTCAAACCATAATCCAAGGATTTGCATCCATCGTTTTGTCAATGCACCAACCAGTAGAGGAAGGCCGTGCTAAGAACGGTGGGTTGCGTTTTGAGAATGATGAGGCTAATATTTGGTCATTTTGAATGCTCCCGTCTCTCATTCCAAGATCTTCATTACACATTTCTCCATCCACTGTCAATATGAATATTGTGTCCATGTGATAAAATATAAAATCCCATTTACATTATCAAATCATTATGTCTTGTGCTTGTAAATGAAGGACGCATTGTCCGCCAAATAGTTATTAAGATTTGATACAATGCATGAATAATAGACGATAGTCAATAAAAATAACTGAGTATCGATTAGTATATGGTTTTAACCGGTTGACACACCTTTATTTTGACACACAGCTACCTTATCCTTTCCCGAGTTCCAAAATTTTGAAGTAACGTTTTGTTCTATGCATGTAAATATGCTATCATTTTAAAAACAATAATAAAGAAAAAAGGAAGAACTCTTTGTCATGTATTAAAATTGTCTGTTTGCAGAAGGAAGGAGAACGATCAAAGAACACAGTGTCCTGTAACATATGGTAGTCTATTCAAGTTGCAGAAGAAACATTGTTAAACGTGAAAAATGATTGTGATTTTAAGCGTGATAAAAAAAAAAACACACAGGGTAAATACAAACGTTTGTTTTGATGTAACATGTTTAATACTTTTTAGCAAAAGAAAATACAAAAATTAATTTTCTTAAGGTAATCTTTACAAGGAAATTATTATGAATTTAGACTACTTACAAGATTCAATAGCAGATGTGTATATCTGGAATAATTCTTTGTGTAACCATATTTTGGGATTTTCAAAGCGCAATAAAATATAACGGGCACGGAACTGACTGTAATAAAATGGTACATTTGATATATATAATACTTACAAACATTACATGGTTGTTAATATGGCTAGTGCATATGTAACATACAAACCTGTGTATAATTAATGAGATGCGTACAATAGAATACGTAGAAACAACAAGCTTGACACTTTGTTGTAAAGAAATGAATTTATGGCACAAACAATTAAATTAATTTGATTTTAGTCAGAACGTTTTATTTTATCACTGTATATCCAAAAACTTATTTCCTTCAATGACGACCTTAATTGGCTTTTAAATCGTGTTCAAATTTGATAAATTGTATCTTTTCCTTCATCTTGATCTGTTTTGTGATCAAAATATCTAACTGACACCTAAATGATTGTATGTGTTTAAGTGCAGTCGGCATGATTTTGGACCAGCTCCATGAGCTCTGTCAATGATGTCACACTGTCATCATTATTATTATCATCATCATCGTCATCATCATCATGATAATTATTATTATTATTATTATTATTCATGTACAAAATATTTTCTACAGCTCGTCAAAGACATATGTACGAAGCTTGTATGTAGCTCCGTAAATATGAACTAAGCCTGTAGTTCGTTTGAACAAAAAAAGCCAATAATTACGTCACCCCACTATTTTTGTCAGTACACTGAACATACTGATTTAGGCCTGAATTTGTAGGCGACGTTTAGATGTTTTGCTAACTGAATACACCTATCGCCGATGATATTTGTTTTTGTAAATGCAAATGTGATGTTTCTTTTACATAGGGACCTGGAGAGATCATTCTTACATGGAGCCTTTTTTAATGAATCAATATATACATAAATCAAAAAATATAAACTAGAATTTGTTCGACTACGTTGATTTATAAATATAAATAATAGATATGTGATTGTAAGAAAAAACAGTACCTGGCAAAACGTAGTTTTTCAAATAGAGAATTCGCAATTACAATAGAATAAATACACTTTAATCTTTTGTCAAATAGAAATTCCATTCTTTTTTCGTCGTAGAAGCATTCTGACACACTCGTCTGGAATGAAAAACTTCTTTGAATAAAAAATTACCTTCATTTTGTATATAATCTTATTTAGAACGTACTGCACCACAAATGTGAATACAGGGAAAACATTTGAACACTTTATTCAAGTGACGAGATATTCATGACAGAATTAACTTTTGATAAATATAGCGTTTTATGGTTGCGTTGCCATTAAACCTTTCAATGTCGTGACATATTCTATTCTTTATAAATGTTTTCAAGTAAGGAAGATATAAGTAAATGTAAGCAGTAGTTCTTTTCAATGTAAGGTATGACACTATCTGTAATCTGATGTCCTTTAGATTGTTTGTGCGATTAATATCATACAAAACATTTATCTGATAAGATTTAACTATGGAATTTTAAAGATCGTCTTTTAATAAAGGCAAACTAATATCATTTTAAAAGTTTATAATTTCTAAAATATTCTAAATATTTTAAATTTCGTTTATGCATTTACAGATGCGTAAATTCAATTATCTCACCTGATAACTGAAATCAGGTTTATAAATTATGACACTAGACACCTTTGTTGATCGTCGCAGATCAAAGTGATAGAAAGCTTCTTTTACTTGATTTGGATTTACTGAAATACAAACTAAATTGTAAATATATCGTTTATACAAATTATGATATTAAACTCGATTATATTATTTCAATCTCTTTCCCGAAACGAAATAAAATACAACACATGAAAATTTTAAAAATAACAATAAAAAAAATTCAAACGATTCTACTTATACTTTTGTTTTGAAGAGCACTAAAGAGTTCATATTTGGCCTTTACCGAATGTGTGTTTAACTGCTAAGATATTTTCCTTAAATCTGTATTTGAAATTCAACTGTTTGCTGTCCTATATCGGAATGTTTCCATGTAAGATATTTTGCATTTGTGTACTTATTGTACTAATCACGCATGTTTTACATCAGTAATTTAAAGTCATACCACTGACATCCGAGTTAATTTGAAAATCAAAGTCCAACATCAGATCTGTAAAACAATGGGTAACATAAATATTACTTTGTTTTCCATGCTCTCTAATATTTTGACACACAAGAAAACGCATTCATAACATAATTGCAAGGTATAAAAATAGGAAATCAAAATGTGACGAAGACAGACTAAGATGTCAATGACAAGGCTGTCCAAAATACAATGTTTTTTATCTTATCAGTTCACTAGAAAAAAGAAGCATTTTCTCGTCGAAAGAAGCAAGGTTCATGGTCTTTAATAATGTCTCTGCTGTAACGCTAGATAGGTGAATGTTATACAATGTTAGGCAAACAACGAAATTAATGCACACACAGTAATGGTACATCCTTGTTGAACATTGTACATGTTATACCTTCTATAAAATGCATATACAACGGTGTCCCTTAAGTGACATCCTTGACACTTTTTCCGAACGAAGGCCAGTCTAAAATCCGTTAACCTAAATATTCTGTCTGTCCGTCCATCTGTCTGTCTATCAAAAAACTCGTCAGGAAAACTCCACAAAAACTACTTGAGCAATTTCATTCTACGTTTACGGAAATCATTAGTAGCAAATCCTATAGTGCATAACGTTTGTATTTTCGGGTTCTTTGATCTTTGTAACTGTAATGACCCTTAACTGTAGGGATATTCGCCCTTGAGGCCAATTTGCCCTAAGGTCGAACAACTTTTACCCAAAGTTTCAATAGCAATCGGTCCTGTATGTCACGTTAAGACATCATTTTCGTGTTTTTTTTTAACTTTCCGGTATTTTGAAGAACCAGTCTAGCCGCCTCGGCGTCATCCAATCTCTTTCATGTGGACGCTTTTACCTGTAGTTTTGAAGTGTACCAAGAAGCGGGAAATTTGAATTTTTGTTTGCCGGGAAAATTCAATAACTGTGAAAATTAGTAAAAAGAAAAGAGTTGTCGAAAGTAAGCGTTATCATCAGTTATGACACCATTCTCTTTGCTTTTTAATAAAAAATATATTTCAGATATCCACCAAAAATGCAAATTAATGTCTAATCTATGTAATATAGATGTTTGCCCATGACACGAACAGGATCCGCCCTTGAGTCGTACAGTTGTTCAGTCCCTGTGGCTCATTGAATTTATGATCAGTGAGGATTTTAATAATATGAAAGTGCTGATTTCGAACCAACTCACAAACTTTTCATTATTAAACATCAGAAACGCCGAATCAAATGTTGCTATGTTGTTTTCTTATAATATAAATTTATGGACTAAAAGTATTTTAGCTCATTTTTGGGTAACAGCTTCAAGTCATAATAGTATCAACGCAGGTTTGCTTGACGGGTGTTTACATGTATAAGCACTCTTTCAGTTCATCCTCTCTGAAATTAAACTCGGCTTTATGATTTTGTTATCATTTCTTCTTATTGAAACTTTTATGAGAAACAGTCACTCTATTTAAATTGAATTGTAAAGAGATAAAAAAGAAAAAACGTTTTATAACAAAAGAAACTTAGATCGACTTTAACGTTTCAGATGCCAAAGTCGTACTCGGAGGAAGCGTTAAGTAGCGCTTTTGAAGAAGTGAAGAACGGGACTTTAGGTCTCCGTGCAGCTGCTAAGAAGTACAATGTTCCCGTGACGACGCTGCACGACAGGTTATCTGGAAAAGTCCAGGCCGGTTCCAAATGGGGCAAGATATCCTTGCTTCCTAGGGAAAAGGAAGAGGAGCTAATAGCCTTCGGACTTAAAAGAGCTGAGCTTGGAATAGGCTTTTCTAAGCAATCATTTCTAAGATTTCCCGGAATCTTTTGCAGCTTCTGAGGGAGTAATTTTCCCGAAAGGTTTCGATACCGAAAAGTGGTGGAGAGGCATTTTTCCGTAAGGGTCCCGGAAGTGACAACAGCTGGTAGGCATATGGCTATGACGAGGTTGCGTATTACACGCTATTTTTCTGCTTTAATGTCTCTGTTTGTAGAAAATAATTTGTTTGACAAGTGTCAGTACATCTGAAATATGGACGAAACTGGTTTGACTCTTTCACCAAAGCCTCCTAAAATCATTGCACATAAAGGTAGCAAAGTAATTCACGCTAAGTCATCCAACTCAAAGGAGCTGATCACCTTACTTGCCTGTGGTAATGTATCAGGAAGAGTGATACCGCCCCATGTTATTATTCCCGGCAAGACCAAAAGAACTCTTTTGAGTTTTGACACCGCAAATGCTCCTGCTGGTAATGCCTTAATTAAGTACCCTTACCACGGCACTGTAAAAATCATTCCTGTTAAAAAAATTACGTTTTGTATACCTCAAAATTAAAAACCCAGTTAATCATTTTAGTTCAGCATATTAAATGCACATGGCTATATATTTGATTGTATGTGCGAAATGAAAATTTCCACTTTGATACATTTATAATAATAAACTTATTTTGTTCGGAAAGCGTCAGTTTCAATAGTAAAGTTTGTCCGAACTGCTTTTTCTTAAATAGAATTCAATGTTACAGGATAAATCGGTACCTCAAGTTCTTGTGCACATTACAAGACTTTTTTCGGTTGAATGATTTTTGGCTGAGTCATGGCCATTTATTTATGGCCAGTGATTTTTGTGTCCCTGTAAAACAGTAGCTGCGACATTCCGCAATGTAGCATCATACAACTTGCTTGTCCAGGAGAGTTGTGGTTAATCGTCGGTATTTTCTAGATCAAACAATTATGGCTGTGTTTATAATTTAAAAGTTTATACTTAATGCTTCTGTTTTACTTTAAATGAAATTTGATATATTAAATGTTACAAGAGTGAATAGTCAATACCACCGTTGACTTTGAATGATTTTTTCTGTGAAAAAATCCTAATTGTTTGGCATGTTAACTATTTATGTGTCGCCTGCTTCACAGTAACGTTTGGTGCATTTTCATACAAATTCATCGTCAGAATGTGTACCCTTTGACATATAGGGAGCACTCCTCCGTTGTTTGTTTGTCGTCCGTCTCAAAACTTGTCCAGACAGCTCTTCAGTTACTTCAGTTTCAGTTTTACCCAAAATTTACTTCAATGATAAGTGCCTTTTCTAGTTGTACATATTGTCGGATTTTTTTATGTCAGAGTTATGGCCCTTCAATGTTCTTTCAAAGTTTGTCAGGACTACTTCTGTTAACCTACTAACCCAAGTTTGTATTTTATATTTAAATAATTGATGCAAAAGGATCATATCTATAGATGTACATTCACACATTGTTGTTTACAAAACAGAAGTTTAGTGGACAAGTACACAACTAGTTAGCATTAAAATAAGACGAGGTGAAAGCCGACTCATATATAGATTTTGCAACTGTATATAAGTTTTCATGCCCACTTTGTTTCAGAAATGATTCTATTTTCATAGCTTATTTCTTATATATTTATACATTATAACCAACTTTTTCACCTGTTTCCGTTTGGCATTGGTGAAAACTTGAAAGTGCTAGTTTTCATTTTAAATCAAATTGCGCGATGTTGTCAGCCAATTTTCCAAAAGACTTAGAATATTGGTGAATTAAGCGGAGACAAACATTTGCTCAAAACTGCCTCAGGCAAAATCAAAAAAGATTTCGAGCTTTACTCCAAATCTAAACGTTATCTCTTCCGATCAGTGTTGTGAACGTTATTTTAGATTAAAACATTCCATGCAACTCTTATGTATATGTACCTTTGAAAAGACACAGAGTGCAAAACGCCGATTAAAGCAAGAAAATGATATAAATCGAGAAAACCAAAGTGTGTTTATTGCACTTCTCAATTCGTTTTTAAATTAGTTATGTATAAAGAAAATAAGATTGGATTATATGAATTGGTATCGGTATGTTTATGTGTGCTGCTATTCAACTCATTATTATTTCTGATGTCATAAGTAATGTTGTATGGCCATGAACTTTCTCTCAACCTGAATCAGTCAGATAAAGCATTTTCTGAACACTTTTCAGCTTGAATTTCACGGCATTTTATCATGTATTTACATATAAATAATCGTTACAAAATTAATTTTTACAACGCTACATATATTATATGGCATTGTTCATTTTTTAGTGTGGAGAAACCATTCTTCATATTTTTCTGTTTTTTAAACAAAATGTACAAACAGAATATCTTACAGTGGAATCAATGGGTTTGATGGCATATCTTGAACTACACTTGTTGCATGGGTGAAATCAGTTGTTTAACTCATTACTGCATGAGCATTACGTGAAAAAAGGCCGTTTTCATTGAAAAGTCTCCCGTTACAAGTTCAAATTGTTATAAAACTATAAAAACTGATTCAATACTAATCAAACTTGACACAAATGTTGACTGGACCATTGCCTGCCTTTGTAACAACTTGTTCAGTCCTAAATTTCCTGTAACCATGGCAACGAAGGGACATCTCAAAATTGCCACAATCACTATTTTGGGTTGATTTTTTCCATCAAAATTGATTTCGAAGTGCTGCAACTTCTCAATGGTTTCAGATAGGTCAAAGGCTTTTCAGTGTTGGTTACACGTTACCCTATGATCAACCTGAGGTTACTTTTAGCCTCTCACAAGTCCAAAATTTTCTTGGCGATGAGGGGGACTGCCACCCTCTTCAAACCCCCTAATTATAAGGGGGCCAGCCCCCTTCTGGCAACCCCGTGATGTACCTTATTGGTGGGATCGGCGCCGAAAAAGTGATCACTTTTTTGATCAACATTTATCAAGCGAAAACATGTGTTAAGGGCCCAAACAGGACGTTTTTTCACTATTTGAGGCCTAAAAGAGGGTGGGGGTGGGGGAAGTTTCGAAAGTGCGTTATTTCGCGTATATAGGAGGTAGAGAATTTGCTATGTGGTAAATCGTAGGAAATAAACAATTTACTTACGTGTTCCAAATCCCTTAGCCTCTGAAATAATTAAAACAAAGTATTAGATGTCGGAAATCTGCATGAATCTCAAAAATATATATAATTTAAATCTAAAATACATATAAATGATCATTAAGTTTGAAGTACCTATTAATAACGAAAATGACTTTAATTTGAACGTTGTTTAAATACTTAAAGTATAATAAGAATTACACTAGATTCACAAAAAGCGAAAAATGTCTAACAATGTCGATTAATATGTAAAATGAAATATCATGAGTTGTATTACATAAATAGGCAAAAATAGAAAATCATACGAGAAGGTTAGCATTATTTTATTATGAAATGAATATTTACTTTGGAAGTGTTGTTGTAGAATTACGTACGAATGTCCGAGTTCAGATGTAAGATTTTTCCATGACGATAGGAAGAGCCGAATGATTAATAACGCATCATAATTCATCATTATTTACGAAAACAACAAAACCTTGACAAGAATACTAGATATATAATTAAGCGGATTGGTAATTTCATGATGCCGTTTTATTCAATGACGTCATATCTCTTTGTTTGTTGTGTTAACGTTAATTGAGCCGCGCCATGACAAAACCAACATAATGGGTTTGCGACCAGCATGGATCCAGACCAGCCTGCGCATCCGCGCAGTTTGATCAGGATCCATGCTGTTCGCTTTCAGTTTCTCTACTTGTTATACCGTTTGTAGCATTGATCCTGATCAGACTGCGCGGATGCGCAGGCTGGTCTGGATCCATGCTGGTCGCAAACCCACTATATTGGTTTTGTCGTGACGCGGCTCAATTATTGTTCTATGGATAAGCATGTGGCAAAATAATTCTCATATTATTTTTGTATCGTAAAAAATAAGTCATTTCAATATTAATTTAACAAGCCATAGGCATATATTTTTTAAAAAATTCTGAAATCAAGCGATAAAATGTCGCACACTTTACCCTAACGCATAATAGGTATTTGCGATTTACTTAGTTTCAGGCTTTCATATGTATTAATTTCTGAATACTTTTAGCAATGTTATTTGGCGATGCATATTTAACTTCATATTGCAATGCTGTCTACAAGAATCAATTAGGTTCAATCTAACTGACTAATTACAAAACTGACTAATTACATTGTTTATGTACCAAAATAGTTCTATCAAACCTGGTTTAATGCCGCAATAGTTCTTTTCTTGGAGATAGTTTAATTCCTTTGGGCAAGGTCTAGAATTTTTCTGTAAAATTAATGATTGATAGTTACTCAACAACTGTACATATGCTGTTTTTTAAGTTTGAATATATATATGTATCGTAACTTTATATATACTGTAAGCAATAGAGCATAATTTAACCCATACACTCTGTTATTTAATATGGAAATCTATGAAATAGAGAAAAACCGAATCCCTAAAGAAAGCCCAACACGGCAAAATTGAAAATGGTGCAGGCCCGGTTTAATTGAGCTTGTTCATGGAAGGTACTGGAAAGAAGTGCAAGTTACCATACACGCAGCACCGGCTGAAGCAGAAAAATGGTTAAATTTGGAATAAAGAAACATTTGCAGATGTCTTCATAAGGCGGTTACTATGAAACCTTCAATGTGACACAGAAGTGTCATTCCATGAATAGCGGCGTATGGTCCCCAAGTAAAGGAATGCGTGTGCTCTAAACAAGAAAACATAGGACATAGGACGGAACTAAATAAAATGGAATTCTGAAAGGTAATCTGAGTTTATGAAGCCTGCATACCAAAATAAGACATCAAAAGACAAATTTAAAAAGCAGTCAACATATCCTAAGGGTGATTATACTGTTTTCAAGTAGGAATACTGGAACCACCCAAGTTGAAAAAAAAAATTAAGAAACTAAAAATGCAACATAACATGTATGCACAACAATAATGTCGTGCTGAACGATCTTCAAGGATAAAAAATACTACATCTTTAATTAAATGTACGGGGATACTTTCTTTTACAAAAGTCACACGGCACAAATTACGCTGATAGAGAAAAACAGACTCCCTAAAGAAAATCAACACGGGAAAACTGAAGATGATGCTGGCTCGGTTTGATTGAGCCTGTTCAAGTTTGCTGATCACTTGCCCCTTACAACTGTTAGTCCTAATGTGGCCAAGAACATTGGATATTTCAATATGGGATTGCTACCGCAATGTCGGTGGTTATACTCAGGTGCTAGCTTGGGTCTTCCTCCACCAGTAAAGCTGGAAAGTCGCCATATGACTTATCTGTCTTGGTGCGATGTAAAACCCGACAAAAAAAAAAAAAAAACACCAGAAAAAAAACACCAAAAAAAAAAATGGTTCGATATAAATACGATAGCCTGTTAAACACCCCTAACTATGTTTCAATATCAGCATAATTAATCATTTAATTCTTATATTGCTATTTAGTTATCGAAGAATATGCAAAATTTGAATAAAATTTACCGCGTGGCTTATGAGTTATGGATATATTTCTGAACTAAAACTTTGCTATCAGACATGAGGAAACTATAAATAATCTATAATATAATGTTTTCCTATTGCTCATTGTTAAGAAACAAAAACTAACGTTTAGGTAACAAATTACAGGCAAAATGATTGTTTGTAAACAAAATGTTTTTCATGCATATAAAAATGTTACCCTACCCCACCCACTTTAAACACTAATTTGACAATTTCCCTTTATAAAAAGCCTTAATCAAAATATCTCTAAAATTGACTCCAATGAGGGGCTGTTTTCAAAGTTTGCTTACATTTTTTTAAAGGTATATTGGTTGAACCTGCCAAAAATAAAATACTTGTATTGTGTAGTTTTATTTTTATTTAACTTTGAAAATATCTGGTATCATATTTGCTATTAAATTTGACACTAATTAGCAAATAAGTACTTCCAATAATTATATAATTAAAATCAAACACTTTTGTCTTCCATACGGGATCTGAGAGATGCAAAAATGATGTTAAAAAGAAAAAAAGAAAGAAAGAAAAAGTTGACCCATTTGGGGTTTGAACCCTCGCCCCTGCATTTCAATGTAATTGACAAGTGATTCTATCCTATTAGTGGATGTAATGCATTACCCATGGTCTACCTTAAGTTTATCGTCGTTTGAAAGTATTGAATGGATGGATTTTAGAAGTATAGGAATCGAGGAGCGGCGGTAAACGGATTTGTTGTCAAATTAATCTGGCACGACTGAAAACAAATTTTGAAATTTACACCGTGAATAGTATCAATGAAGTAAGTAATTAGGCAACATAAATGGTTCATGATGTGAGAATACGTAAAATATTTTTCAATCGTTTGGTCATTATCTTTGAAACATTTTGCTCTGCTGACAAGCCGATCCGAAAACATTTAGTTCTGTTCATAAGATCCTGATTAACCATTTCTTGTGCATGCTTCATATTCTATTTTTACTCGAAGTGCTTTTAGCATCTTGTCACAATTCCAATTTGAAATGGTTAAAATTGTTTCACTTATCACTTTTTTGCGTTTTTATAAATAACATACAATCGATGAAAATGTTGTTCTTCTTTTAAGAAAAGTTTAAAAGCTATTGTTTTTTAAGTTTCTACTATAATTATTATTTGTTAAACCCTGATTATATCAAATACATTAAACAAAACTATGTATGATTTTCTTGCATTACTGTAAGGTAACTTTAGAAGTGAGCTTCAAATACATGTATATAAGCACTGTCCCAGAAAAAAAGAATTCCAATTTGTCAATTTGTTAACTCTGAATTATTCTTTTAGTTTTTTCTCTGATTTACAAACAATTTTATATGCTTCACGATTTTTGTTCGATAATTAATATTTAAATCTTATTTTTCAGTATTTAATTTATTGCACTGAATTCTTTTCTTAATTATTAATATTTGTTTAAAGTTTTAATATGTTGATAAAGTGCACGCGTAAAATTTAACTTATGTACAATCAATTAGAAGATGGACTTAATTTACATTATCATTACCTTTAAAACAACAAAGGGTGTTTCTAGCATTCTGTATGTAATCTCATTGACCCTTTTGTTTTCCTTTGATATATTACCGATCTTTTCGCAAGTGCCTATTCTTAATATCTTTTTCGTTGATGTCCCTGAAATATAAATGTTTTTGTTGTTGTTTTTTTTCCGAAAAAGTATATATTGACATGATTATGCCCCTTTCAAACATTGACCTTATAGTTAAAAAAAATTCCTTTCAATAAATAAAGAACGCTAAGAACTACAAACTTGGTATGGTGATTGTTCATGATCAGGAAATGACCCTATCTATTTTGGGGTCAAGGGGTCAATGTCATATTGATCTTGTAGGTAAAAACGTTTTCCGATCGATAACTTTGATAAATCATAGGTTGTTGGTTCCCAAACTTCGCAAGTGCATTGGACTTGGCAAGTAGTTGACAACTATTGATTTGGGTCAAGCGGTCAAAGGCATACTGACCTTGAAATCATAAAAACAGTTTCCGGTCAATAACTTGACAACCCATGGACCCTTGACATTCAAACTTCACAAATACATTGCTTTTGGTCAGAAGATGACCTCAATAGATTTTTGGGGTCAAGGGTTCTGAGGTCAAGATCAGATTGAACTTATAGGTAAAAATACTTTCTGGTCAATATCTCAACAACTCATAACCCCTAACCTTCAAACTTTACAGGTTCATTGGTCTGTGCCAGTAGATAACATCTATTGATTTAAGGGTCAAAGGTCAAAGTTACATTGACCTTGTACGTAAAAAAGGTTTCCGACCAATAATTAAACAACTCAAGTTGCCTTGGTTGATATTATTTATCAAACTTAAAATTATTTTAGTATAATCATTTCAAGGTCATAAGTAATATAACAAATTGTCAATCATCATTAAGGAGGCCTACACGATTCAAAACATTCAGCATATATTATTTGGTAAGATTTGTGATACTTTGTCATAAAATTGCTGCAAACAATCTTTGCAGTCACAATTACCTACTGTCTAGTCATTACAAATACTAGGTAATTCCTATCAATTTTGGTCCAGTCATAATAACCGCAGAGAGGGGGCATACATGCTTTACAAACATATCTTGTTATACACTTGATTGAAAGCTAATAAATGTCATTATTATGGCACTAAGTACTACAAATGAACATAATTGTAGTGATAAGTATTCTTGCATAGAAACTGCAGATACACCAAAACGCAGCAGAAATAATTAACGAATAAAAGAACGCGAGTACACACCGTACGTTTTTATTACATTTACAATTTTGACAATATTTTAGCGTGATTGGTGGGCGGTTTATCGTTCAGGCGGGCGTCAAACATGCGGTTTCTGAACGATAACTGAATTTGGGAATGAAAAATTGAATCAAACTTGTTATATACCTAGTTTTACAACTGTTTTAGTTAACACTACATTTAATATTTTCTACTGAAAACGTTATTTAACATGAGAAGTAACTGTGATATAAATGTTTTTGTAAGTTATGTCTAAAATAACGAGACAACCAATAACGATTACAAATTTGGAAACTCATATAAATAAAATACGGAAACTCCCCACATAAGAAACTCCGAATTCATCTTCATTATTCATAATGTAATACGATGGCTGTTCGAAAAGAATTGCTTATTGTCCTCTATCTCGTGATCTACGTGGGGCACGATAAAAACCAATACATACCTGTATAGGGTATTCAATACCTACACAACGGTGTATGAATGTACATGTTAGACTAAGTGTAAGATATACAATTTAAATACACGCAGTCATTGACCACTGTAGTAAAATTGATTGGTGAAAGCGTCGACAAAAAAGATGAAATACGGGCTTACATCAAAGTTCGCTCAAAACTGGGATGCTCTTTGAGGCAGTTGAACTCCCGACTGCTTATGGGCCTTCTTTTGTGTCTTATGACACAGGCGATGGAAAAAGAAATTTAAGTCTGGCGTAGAGAGCATCAAAAATGCACCAAAATCAGATAGGCAAAATCTGCATCTCGTTACGAAATTGTTTCCAAAATAAAGGATATCATTTGAGGAGATGAAGGAGATACCAGATTTACAGTTCGTGATATTGCACGAAAGGTAGGCACATCACTATCAACGGTTTACTTTATTTTCAAGAAGCATTTGAAAGTCAGAAGATTTCGGCTAGATGTGTGCCACATCTGTTGACCGATGAGCAAAAGAGGCAACGGGTAAAGGTGACCAAAAAGCTGTTTCAAATGTTTCCAAAATATGACAAAAAAAAAACAGTTTGCCAATATCGTCACAGGTGATGAAACTTGAGTCCATTATTTAGAGCCCGTCAGAAAAGTTAGCGACAAAATCTAGGCCACTAAACACAACAAACGCCCAATAATTGCCAAACGGTCTTTGAGTGCAAATAAGGTTTTGCATGCAATTTTCTTAATTGGTGAAGGAGTCGCAATTAAAGTGCCGGTGAAAAAGTATCACTGGGAAGTATAACAAAGAAACTGAAAAAGTATTATAAGAAACGACGCCCTGTCACTGGTTTTATGCATATCCGTCTTCTACATGACAATGCCCCCGCTCATACCTCCGCAATAGTTTCGGCGTTTTTATAAAAAGAAAACGTAACTGTTTTGCCTCACCGCCCGTATTCTCCAGACCTTGCCCAATGTGATTTCTTTTTGTATCCGAAATTGAAATCCTTCCTTGTTGGGCGGAAATACAAGTACCGACAGGCACTTGGATCTACCATTCATCAGGATCTTATTCCTGTGCCCAAATCAGCGTACCATGACGCCATCAAGAAGTGGATACATCGGCTGAAACTTTGCATTTCTCGCCACGGGGAGTACTTCGAGGGCATGAAATGAACACTTTGGAGCTAACTTGAAATTTGAAGTCTCCAGATAGAAATAGGCAATACATTTCGAACATACCTCGTATAACTATTGATGTATTCAATTAGTTTGAATTTAATGGTTTTATAAAAAATTTTAATGTATCTTTGCATATTAACAAAGTGCATATAAATATGTACATAAATACGTCATTGTAAGGTACAATACAGTTTCATTTAGACACGTATCTTACAGTGTGTCCGGGATCTAACCATAAAACGCTATGTCAATTGTAGTGAAATATTTTAAGCATCTGAAAATTTGCACAGGTAATAAGTCATACAGTATTTATTAAAGAAGCGCTGCGCTAACATTTCTAGTCCAAAATAACCTAAGTATCCAATTAAACGCATGTTATTTTTGGCATTAAGATACTTCCTGTTTATCCTGTAATCAATTACTTCACAATATACGATATATCCTATATCATACAAATTTGTGTCTATAAAAATGGCATAAAAAGAGGAATTTATCTTGTAAGTTTTATCTACAAAGAGCTGTTTTATTCGCCACGGGTTAACCGATGTGATAAACAGCGGTGTTGATATCTCAAGTGAGGCATAACAGGTCACACTTATCTAATAGCTAATTTTACAATTATAAATAACTATATAGCTGTTTGAGATCCGTTTTGTATAGGAGAGCATCTATATTATACATAACTCAAATAGCTAACTCTAATGGCGTCCCCGGTATTTGCAAAATCAAATCAAAACTTACAAATTGCATCGCATTAACAAGTGAAAATGTATGACGAAAGCAATTTCTTTATACAAAAATAAATAACGAAACGCTGAATTACCTAATGAAACGGGGCGTCCGTGGCCGAGTGGTTAAGGTCGTTGACTTCAAATCACTTGCCCCTCACCGCTGTGGGTTCAATTCCCAAAAGGGACTTTGGATTCTTTCATGCGAGGAAGCTATCCAGCTAGCTTACGGAACGTCGGTGGTTCGACTCAGGTGCCCGTTCGTTCCTGAAATAATGCACGGAAGGGCACCTGAGTTCTTCCTCCACCAGTAAAGCTGGAACGTCGCGATATGACTTATACTGTGTCGATGTGACGTTAAACCCAAAACAAACAAAGAACCTAATGAAACGTTTACTTTTATGCAAAAATTGGGCTACGTACTGCATGTTTGTTCGTGCTTTCACATCTGCAGACGCCTTTGGACTTATTTAATCCTCCAAACTGCGGATTTAGGCTTTAAATGTGCCCAATATTCTGCAGATGTTAATCAAGGAAGAAGGTGCATTTACTCTATAATGTAAACCCCGTTTAAAGAGTTATCCGGTTTTCGACAATTGTCGGCTTTCCCAGCTTATATCCGACAAACTTCTTACAAACAATATTAAAAGTTTATTTGTTACGTGATCAGATAAAGTTAAGAAATAAAAATAGTCTTTATTATTTGGTAAACATTATGATCTGTAAATAACATTTATCAGCCGTTGTCTATAACAAAATTTGTGTACATTAACTGCAAATTTCTTATTATGTCATAAACTTACTATGATTATAAGACATACCAATTTCTGTAATATTTGGAATAGGTCCAAATGAATCATATTCAAGACAGGATTCTTGTATTGCGTCTTTTCTAAAACCTGAAATAAAATAATGTAATCACATATTTTGAATTGTATATTTTCTATCCGTATCTAATAAACTTCTAACAAGAGATATACCTGTCATTTTACAGGTTAAGTATACATCGATAAATAAAAAACAAATCTGCGAATAAAGATCATCTGCGAGGGATACAGATCATAGCCTTTAAAAGCACATTGGCTTTTTGGTGTTGTTTTGAAAAGTATTTTTGTTTAACACACTTGAAGACATTGCTTATTTCAAGGATCATTTCTGATATTCTTTTAATGCAAGAAAAACTTATATCACTCTAAATTCCCAGGTGTGAGACAGATATATGCTCTGAAAAAAAAGGCCTGTAACTAATACAAGTATTGCAGTCACTTACTCATGATGGCCAACATCTACGAGGTTGTGTCAATATGTCATGCAAAATGGTCAATAAAGTAAACAAGCAAGCAAATATTTTACACTTTTCTATTTCAGCACTGCAAATAATCTCTTCCAACAAAAATAAAAAAGTTTTAGACTTATAATACAATTTTAAATGCTTTGATATAGTCCTCCTTTAACTGAATAAAATTGCCGACCCAGGCCAATTTCTACTATTGTAGTGATGACCTCCAAATTTTTATCAGTCTATGAAGTAGGAAAAAGTCTCAGAGTGAAATATTGTGATTGTTAATGATAAAACCCTCCTTTATTCGAACATAATCAATTAAAGTATGTAGCCCCTTTGTTTACCAGGAGCATTGTTTATGAAGAACCAGAGAGACCTTTCATATCAGTCGAATGAGGTTCTTCAACAAAGTGTTTCTCAATTTTTCTAAACATAATATCTTACAATGCTTTGATATGACGGATTGGTATCTAGTAAAAGGGACCTGGACAACACTGCCAGGGTAATGAAATCAATAACGTACATATTTCATGACAATTGACAATCGCTTGCCTATGCAAGGTCGACGAACGTGTTTAGTTGAATAAATCTAATCGTGACACTTAAGAATTCACGTAAAATAATTCAACCAGCATTTATCACCGGTCATAAGAAACATTTGTAATATTTAGGAAACATTTCAAGAAATTTTCGACGCATTTAACTCGCTCCTTCTTCTGGTCAGATGTTATCAAAAGGGACAGTTTTTCGCTTAACTTTCAATACAGCAATACACAAAATGTTTAAGAAAAAAAACCGAATGGCGCGATTAATTGACGGATAAGATAATTTCATTTGAATGTTTGCACTGCGAAATTCTCTAGTTCGCTATTCATTGTTCGCGACATTTCATTTTTGATAATCAAACACCCTCATACCAATCGGAATGATCGGCTATTATGACCGACGAAAAGGCTCGAGAAGTTGCTGTTGCCCTTTCACAAAATCTGATTTCATTCCATAAGGGGCGTCGCGATTCGGCGCGGACGCAAATAAACCTTAAATTGGTTCGCTCATTTTTGAATTTGTGTTTCCACCTGCAAGAGCTGCATAAGATACTTCATTGTTCTCTTAAATATATTAAATATTAATTATAGTGTACAGTTATAGTAGATTTCCCTGGTTTTTGTTCAAGCTTTTATAAATGCCAGCTTTTCAGCACTTTTTACATTAGCGTTTGCCAGTCATTTTGTATATGGAGATAGTCGTGTAAGGTATATTTTAATGTGATAAAATACTTAATCGGTTGACTACACACATGATTTTGGTACCATTTACAAGCAGATGCTTTGAAGCAAAGCGTCATGTACACAACAAGAATAACATGAGCTTAATTAGAGACAAGGAGGTACTTTTTTCACAAAAGACATACGTCTCCCACGTACAGTTTGGAACAGGCATGTAAATCCAACCAGCAGTTTGACTTGCGAAATCCAGATAGTGTTTTTTCTATTTTTATCTCTGGTGGTCATTTTGTGCAGTGGAGCAGATCGTACAAGCGATATGCACAGCAAGGTTTCGCACCAACCATATGCCAAAAAGGGTTGGTAATGATCAAACCTGTGATGTTTTGTCGAATTTTCTCTGGCATTTTGACCTGAGAAAGGCGGAAAGATTTCTATTTTTAGCTATGCTGGCAATTGTGTGAAGAGAAACAAAACGTGCCGGCGAAATGCACAACAAGAGTTTATACTGATTACTACCTTGCAGTTTCGTCAAATTACCGCCATGCGTTTGATCTGTGAAAGCAAGACAAGATTAATGCGGAGGGACGGACAGACGGACAACCGGCGTAGGCGAATACAAAATGTCTCCCAAAAATTTTAAAAGACGTAAATGTACTTTAAAATACATAACAAATTGATCCCCTCTCGTAATTAAGGCTGTGATTCACCTTGCTAAATCAATATCTTTACTAATCATATTTTATATTATACGGCAAGGTTTCACATGATGTTTAGCAAGACTATGAAGCCAGTTCAGGTGTTGAACAACTTGCAAGTAAGAGGTAACGAATTTGGCACTCATTTGGGCATTTTATTGGCAAATGGATTCAGGATTCTGCATACTCTATTTGGGGGTATACGTTGGATATTTAAAGATATATTATGCTCAAAATCGAGATTTGGAAATAGTTATAATTTCTATACAGATTTTTAGTAATGTAATAACACACACGAAAGATATGCTATGTTTTTAACACTTTTTAACGCAAACACAGTATGAATACATATGTCAATAAAAAAACTGTTAGCTTTGTTTAAGAAAAGGCTTAATCAAATTTACCAGTCATATAAAATAAAGCTTTCCAAACATAGTTCGTTCATTCTCTTTTTCAAATGAGACATGTTCAGTAAGAATGTCCGATATTTGCTGAAATTCTGCTATGAAAGTATTTTACATAACTCGTGACGTACCTAGAAAATATAAAGTATTATGAATATTTGCAAAAGAAGGCCACATAAAAGGTTTAATTTCATTTTTCACTTTTTTTCATGTTTAAATTCTTTAATATTCTATTTGAAGATAGCTAATAAAACAAACCTTCTGGACACTCCTCTCCAATCATATAAATTTTAAAAAGTTTCCCGGGGAAACCCAAATTTTTGGGATTCCCGGTCTTATTATTTCGTATTTTAAAACAAAAATTTTTATTTTCCCAAATTTTAAATTTTAACCCTTTTTTTTTCTTATTTGTCTTCCCAGGTTTTTTTTGGAGAACCCTCTTTTTCACAAAAGATTAATTTTAACCGGATTTTTGCCCTAGGGATTTGCAAATGGGCCCGCTGGCCAGGGCGGCTTTTCCCTGAACCTTTAAAATAAAAAAGGTTTTGGGTTTTCAAAATTAAATTTTAAAAAAACCCGGGTGAAAAGAGGTTTTTTTAAAATTTTTTAAATATAAAAACAAAAAATATCATTCTAAAATGCAATAAATTTTAACCCTTTTTTTAAAACCCCTTCAAAAAAACCAAATTTCCAAGGGTGACAAAATTTCTTCCTTTTAAAAAATTTGGGCAACTTATTTTGGAAATTGTTTAGTTTCCCCAGGGGTGAAAAAAGGGAAAAAGACAGATAGTCCAATATCTCGCTTTTAAACCATGTTTTGCAAGAACTTTGTACATGTTATCGCATAGATGGCTGTGTAAGATCTCAATTGATAAATACATGAGTGAATCAGTTCAGTCTAGCTTTGACAATAGCTCGATTAACGCTATCGACTCGTGCAATCTAAACCAAACGATCTCCTTTTCACTAACCAAAATACGGTCCTATATCGTGAAACCGCTGTATTCTTGGTACACAGACTAAAAAGACATAATTAATGAAATATGTCGTGTTTATGGGAACAATTAACTATCTTTTTCATCTGCCACACGGTAATATAAGAAATTTAAAAGTGGTGTGTCAGAAAAGGAGCACCTCGTGCACCTGCCGTCCGGAAAAACTGTAACGTCGCCAAAAATGGAAAGGGAAAAGATTTCAAAAGGATTTGTTTTGCTACTTATCAAGATTTAATAACTTAGGTATAGTACTTCCGTAGCTAAAATTGCATTTGGTATATTTGTGGAGCCTGCCTCTATTCAATTGAAAAGTAAGTATACCCCATCTCCTTACAAAAGAAGCAAAACCACGCACCCGTGATAAAAATCTTTCCCAAACAATCGTTGTTAAAAGTTCCCGTGACATACAACAAGTGAACTTGCTATTCAAATTATCATTCACCTGGCGATGATGAATAGTTTGGGGTTCACTTTATGACCCCAAACGCGATAGAGTAACAAAAGTTACTTTGCAACTAGACGGTGTTTTAAGTATACCATTACCATAGCAAAAATTTGCTCCCCCTGACGTTTTTAAAACATAAAATTAAATGTAAAATTTTCCCTTTACCTATAAAAAGGTCAGCTATTCAAAATTTCCGTAACCAAAGTATAAACTGTATAAAAGCAAGGTCCGGATCTTAAATTAAAGAGAATACTTCAACACCCCGAACCAGCAATTGATCACTTGGTATTCAGTGTTTGGTTTTGCTGCACAATGCTTCGTATCAATAGGCCCCAATTGTTCGAGTATCTTGAAACAGGATAATAGGTTGTGGAGCTTTTCCTCACCCTCCGTATTTCGCCAAAATGTTTCACCCTTGTGTGATTTTGCTTATTTCCGAGGTTAAAAAACACCTTGCTGAAAATATCAAACGCGAAAAAAATTCGCATGGGCTATTTTCCAGTGTCTGGAGAATATACATGTACCTCGAAAAGATTATGAAAATCTAGAAATAAAGTGATCCCTCGGAAGCACTTATCAGAAAAAAAAATACATGAAAATTGCAGACTATGTTTGATTGAGTCTGTACATTGAGTCTGTAAATGAGGGATAATAAACAAATGCAACCCCTCAAGCCCCCTAGGACCGGCTTGAGCGGTACGAAATCGCATTTAAAAAACACTGGATTAAAGACAAAAACTTTGTATATCACATGGTGGTGAGTATTTTGAAGGATATTATTTTTTGGCACTATAGTTAAGCACTTCAGTTGCATTTATATTTGAACACCCCTCTTAATGTCGAGAATGTTGTGTTGTGCTTAAATGAATTTCAAAATTACAAAAATCATGCGTTTAATATAGGAATATTCGAATTTTTATTTTGTGTTTTCCTTTTTTTACCTCTACTTATGTTAAGTGCCTTGCAATATACTCTTTCCAACTTCTGTTCACATTCCGAGTACTGAAAATTTGTAATTTCTTCAACATATTCTTTTTGTGTCAATACTGAAAAAGAAACATTCAAGTCAGAACACAACATAAATGAAATTATATTCAGACGAGATCTTAACAGTTCATGTTTAATCAATGAAATATGAGTATTCGAAAATCATAGTATCCATATTTTATAGCTATCATAACGTCATGATCCACCTTTTAATCTGTTTGTCTAACATATATGTCTTATTAGTATTAGATTTGATTTAGGGGCGTCCGTGGGCCGAGTGGTTAAGATCGTTGACTTCAAACCACTTGCCCTTCACCTCTGTGGGTTCGAATCCCGACAAGGACTTTGGATTCTTTCATGTGAAGAAGCTATCCAGCTAGCTTACAGAACGTCGGTGGTTCTACTCAGGTGCCCGTTAGTACCTGAAATAATGCACGGAAGGGCACCTTAGGTCTTCCTCCACCAGTAAAGCTGGAACGTTGCGATATAACCTATACTGCGTCGATGTGACGTATACCCCAAACAAACAAAAATTAGATTGATTTAATGAAGTAAGAACAAGAGCACCGCAAATGCGGGTGAACATACCCCCAAATGCAAATTAATTTGTTTGAGTAATCAAACATAATTTTTTCAATAAAGTGACCCAATCAAGAAAAAAATTAAACTTTACGATCCTATTTGATTTCCATGGTCGAGGCATTTTTAATCCCAAAATGCATTAATGTTTTTGTTCCTCGCCGTTTCGAAGAAAAAAGGGGACATAGAAATAGACTCCGTCCTTCTGTCCGTCCGTCACACTTTCGTGTCCGGTCCATAACTTTGTCATTTATTAAAGGAATCTGAAATAACTTGACACAAATGTTTGTTATAATAAGACGATGTGTCGTGCGCAACAACCAGACCACTAACTCCACGGTCATGGTCGCACTTGCTCATTCAAGGTCAACATTGTCTATTTGAGGGTATATCTCGTATCTGGTCCATAACTTTCTTATCTTTGAAAGGATTTTGTAAATTCTTGCCACATTTTTTCACAATAAAGAGACAATGTGTCATGCGCAACAACCGGTCACCTACCTCCAAGGTCAAGGTCACCCTTGGAGGTCCAGGATTAACATAGTCTGTTATAGAGTATATTTTGTGTCCGGTCCATAACTGTTTCACAGATCAAAGGATTTTGTAAATACTTGCCACAAATAGTCACTATAATAAGACGATGTGTCATGCGCAACACCTGCATCCCTACCTCCAAGTTCAATGTCACACTTAGAGGTCAAAAATAATAAAAGTCTGGGTATATTTTTAGGGTATATTTTGTGTCCGATCTAGAACTTCTTCGGAATTTTGAAATAACTTTGCACAAATTGTCACAATAATAAGAGGATATGTCAAGTACAACACTTGCACCCCTACCTCCAAGGTCAAGGTCACAATTAGAGAACAAATGTGAACAGAGTCTGTTATGTAGTATATTTTGTGTCCCGTACATTACTTCTTCACAGATCAAGGGATTTTTAATAGACTTGGCACAAATAGTTACAATGATATGATAAGATAATATGTCATGCGTAGCACATGTGTCCCTACCCCCAAGGTAAAGGTCACATGTAGAGGTCAAAAATTAACATAGTCTGTTATAGGGTATATTTTGTGTCCAGTCCATACTTTTTTCATAGATCAAGGGATTTTTAAAAATACTTTGCGCAAATAATTACAATAATAAGACGATATGTCATGCGCAAAACATGGGTCCCAACCTCAAAGGTCACATAAAGATTAACATAGTCTGTAATAGGGTATATTTTGTATTCGATCTAAAACTTCTTCATAGTTTAAGGGATTTTGAAAAAAAACTTGGCAAAATAGTTGCAATAATAGGACAATATGTCATGCACAACACCTGCACCCCTACCTACAAGGTCAAAGTCACACTAAGAGGTCAAAGCTTAACATGATAGATTTTTAAATTCCGTGTTTCATTTTATTTCTTTAATAAATTTAGTGTTGCATTTGCAGGTCTAGCATTTATCATAATTTTGGACTGAAAGTCCTGAGATCCATAACTCAATCTGAAATAACACAATTTTATGCTTCATATAAAACTTCCCCGAGGCGGGGGACGTTGGTAACTCTGTTACAAATTCCTGTTCCATATAAGTTTATATATTAAATCAAGTGATCCCGAGCGGGGCAAGTGGCATGCTTTATAACACTTTGTAAAGAACAATCAGGCAGACTACATGCAATATATCTAAGCTCGCTCTAGGCATTGTAGTTTCACACAATAAAAATAAAATGTGTATTCATTTAAAAGTCTGTATGAATCAAGTCATCTCATGAAGCCTAAACTTGTGCCCTGCACATCACCTCATGATAAGTTATATGTCTTTTCATCGGTTCAAAAGATACAGAGTAGACACGAAATTTTAGAATTGATACAAAATGGCCGTGACCTGATGATGATCAAACCCACGCTATGCACATCATCTTGTTATGATTAACATTTCTGCAAAGTACACGAAGTAGTACCGATTCAAAAGGTACAGACCAAACACCGAACCTACTAATAGACGTATGACCAGGTGATAATATTTTACGCACAAATTTTTTCGGGCATATCTAATCATTCTTCAGGCAAGAAAAAAAGTTACCTTAACAGCTGCGGAAGCTATGCATATGTTTGTCTCCACATGCATCGATTTAAAAGTGATGCATCGCTTCCCTAATCAAGATGGTTCAAACAACGACGTAGTCATTCGTACCACGACAATGTTGCCTGACGCAAAAAGGAAAGAAATTTTGCACTGTGTTCTAACTTCTTTTGTTCATGTGGAATCTTTAAAATATTTTGGAT